TGCATATAGACTCTCAGTATGACTGGTTGACTATAAAGAAGTCAAATCATCTGATTTGAGTTGAATCAAGTAGATTTGACAACATTTGACTCCATAGCAGGTTGCTGAATCTACAATTTGAGTTAAATTGAATTGAGTTAACAACCTTTTCAACCCTCCCTGTTAGCAACTTAATGAATATATTTTAAGTTTTTTTCTAGTATGACATGTTAACTTAAATTGAGATGAGTTGTTCAATTCGAGTTGATAGGAGTGGCTTCGACAACATTTTCAACCCTTGTCATTAGCCATTTTCTAAGTGTCTTAAATATTGACGTCCGGTTTGACATTTCCACCTCAAGAGCGATGGTTCATTCAGATTTCTGGTATCACAAGATGACTTAACTGCAAATTGACTTCTGGTAAGTCAATTCCTAAAATGCCTTTTTGCTAATTTGGGGGTATTAATTGGAAAGCCCTCAGGTAGTGACCTTAGAAATATATAACCTAAACCCATAGCTAAATGGTACACAGATTGAAGAGTTGGAGAAAATGAAATAGGAAGAAATGATAGCGACACTAAATATGGTTCAATCAATAATTCAGTTCAGTCATATCTACATAATTCATTGAGAGGAAACCCATCACAAGTAGAAAAACTTCAGATTTTGTTTTGTTTGTTCGTCAACCTTTTTTACTAAGAATACCCTGTACCGGAAAGATGTTACAAATTAATATTAGTCCAGAATGATAGAAGAGAAGAACAAAGCATAGAAGTAGTTAAAAAAAAAAGGATAGGTGGACATCAAAGTTAAGAGAAGAATTAAAGGAAGACTCAAAAAACAGTTTTAGAGGACAAATTCATATAAGCACAGGTATGCTGTTGTTGAAATGTGATAATGTTATGCTAAAACTCTTTCTGGGTTTTATTTTTCCAATTTCCATATTTGTTGTTTTACTTTGTCATAAAGAATAAAAGATAGGTTCTATTGGGAAAAAAGAAAATGAAACTGCATTGAAAAATGTCAAAAAAAAAAGCTTCAACCATAACAACACACAATAATAACTAAAGCAACTTTGTAATTTTGATAGTTTGTACCTCTCTTCTTCAATTCACATTCATCAGAGTCACATTTAAGATTAAGTGAGTGTAATAATATCTAAGTAAATCCATAGATTATGTATCAGTCATTACATCTTGGAAAACATGGCAATGGGACAAGCTGCCCAAACCTATTACTAACAGACAAACTTTATTAAGATCTCACCTTCAATCCTAGATTCCTGTCTTATAGATTGTTAATCTCATTATTTCTTTCAAGCCTTCTCATCTCCAATAGTCACATCTGGAGAATATAAAGAGGTATAAATTGAACATAAAGTTGTAGGGTCAAATTGAATGATAAATACACAGTAGTCCCATGTGGAAAAAGATCAGCCTGATCTCAAGGCAGTAAAATACTTGGATCCATGTTATATTTTAAAATATTGATATATAACACTATGTTGATCTGCAACTAATTGTTGTTGTGTTGTATTACAAAGATGAGGCGTCCACTGGTGCACTTAATATTGATAGTTGAACTATTATCCAAACCTAGCCATTATAATTAGTGTAAAATTTTATCCTTGCCTTTTTGTATTTTCCAAAATTATCTTTTTTATACTAGCTCATTCTAACTGTAAAAAGCTACTTAAAAAGTTGAAAAAAGCTAGTCAACACATCAGCCACTTAATCACTTCAATGCTTCTTCATACACTCATTCTTGATTTAAAAATCATGTTTGATATATATCAGCACATAGTCTTGTAGTTTAATAAATGAAAAAAAAATTAAATGAATATTTTGTATGTTCATCACTTGTATAATCTGTTGTTCAGGTGACCGTTATAATCATAGTGACTGCATGTGAAATAGTAGCTGGCAGTTTTATAGATGCTTGGAAGCCCTGACTAGCAACGAGCCATAAGAGACTTGGGTTAGAAAATTGGAGAAGGTGTTTGAAGGGGTGGTACTCAAAATTAAATCCACCAAGATATATTGGTTGGTATCTCCAGTTAAAGCTTTTTTCACCCTTTTTTCTGGCTAAGCCACACATATTTTCATCTAGACACCAATAAAAGAACTTAATAAGGACGTCATATCAAAAGTAACCTAGGACACCCAATCTTTTGAGTGTCTGCCTTGTCACCAAACCATTTGGACTGCATTTTAGTGAAGTCATTAATACATTCATGGGACTGTTCCATAGTTGCAGTTAGTTTCAAATTGTCATAATGGGTCCAAAAAAAACCTAATGTGGGCTTACAAATTAGGATAACAATTAGCAATGTTGTACTAATGGACTACAATTTAAATTGAAATCAAACTAAATTAAGTTATTTTGAAGACAGGTTGGATGCTTGTATCACAACTGAACTTGGCAACCTCTATGACCTCCTTGGGTCATAAGTTCTCTGCAGTACCCATAGGTATTTGTTTGTAGGACATAAGAAACCCCTAATTGCGTTAACAGTCCTTTTTGAGTTATTTTTTTTAGTAAAAAAAAACTCTGTGTTGCTGCATTTGGTGGTAAATTGCTCACTCCAGGCACATAGTTGCAATAGGGTATGTATCTCACACTAATCAGAATTTTGCATGAGGGTATTTATCTCCCACCAATCAAAGCACAGCATTGAAGTATGATTGCACCAATCAGTGTATTGTCTCTCATGCCAATCATATCATGAAATTAAGGCACCTCAATATGTTGCCATCAAATTAACCCAACATTGACACACACCAAGAGTGACATTTTAACAAAGAATTGTGAGCTCATCTACCCAGAGCTCACATCTCTCTGTTTCTCATGATGACTTTGTCACTATGATCTGTTGTGGTTAGAAATATTATCAGGGAATTTTTCTACCATTTAAAATGTGTTTTCTGTACAGTTCCTTCGCTCAATGCACATGCCATCTGCTTAAGGCCTAACACTAAATTACCACTGGATCATTTGTTTTGGAAGGGCCAGTTTTGCTGACTCAGGTAAAAACTGCTATGTTAAACTGCTTTAAAATGTTTTCCATGAATTACATCTTGTTTTTAAATGGTACTTTCCTAAAAAAATTAATTTCACTTGGAAGTAAATGCTATGGTAAGTCAATTTTCCATACAGTTCTCATGTGTTTAAACATTTTCTATCAATCAAATTCATTGTCAGTTACCTTAAAAGTCACCCCACCTGTCAATTCCTTGTAAACAACCTGCATTTTATCATGTATTCCACACTCAAAGTAGCCAACAACCAAATAGCCCGTAACCAAATAAGGAGCCCACATGAAAGCCTTTCAAATATAGTACTATTTTCTTCATTCAATTTATTTTCACTTGTTTGAGGAACAGAGACAACAAAACATCTTCAGGTAGAGGCTTTAGGAGATAAAACACCTTCTTGGTTTGCCTTCCACAGCAAAATTATATGGAAGAAAAATGTTAAGGCCACAAGCTGTAACTGAATAATATTGATTATGGCTCCACTTTAAAAGCGCATAACTGTTTGCTGAGGTGCTACACTCATGACAAACACCTTGACAAGAACGTAACCGACTTTCCGTATGATCCCAATTATCAAAAACTAAGGGGCCATCACATTTAGGGAATGTGACGCGGGGTACGGAAAGATTTGCGGGTACCAACGTACTTTGCCAAAACAAAGCAGTACAGCCAAAGGTCAACTATAATTATTACTATAATTGCTTCCTCTTAACAAATTGTGTGTATGATGAAGTATGAGGTTCCACTGAAATCTTGCCGTAGAATTTTCGAAAGTGTCCTCAACTAGTGGTTAGCATGCAACCAATAGATTTTATTTACACTAATTTGATGTAAGTTATTATTACCACCAATGACCTAACGCGTGTTGCATACCTTTGGTAGCATGTGAAGTTAACGATGTCAAACAATCAACAACGAATGAAATGATGGATGTTCGATAATGAGAGTTCTATCCGACTCTTCATCCCAGTAACCAAAAGCCATTTCGATTTGTAGAGATATGCAATGAAACGAAGCGAGTCACATAAAGGCGAAGAAGGCGTGATCCTCGGCTCTTCTGATGCTATATTTGTTCAGTTGAGGTCTGGGTTCTACATCTACGCACAAGAAACTGTTGGCATAGTGGAAATGGTGCTAGTAGCTGGAGACAAGAATATCAATTCATTATGATTGACATTCTTTTAGTAGAAAGAAAAGAGAAAATATATCGGAAAGATTTCCTGCTCCGTAGAGTTTTCCGTATTGGTCGGAAGCAACCGAAACAGTGTGGGGTGAAGTTGTGGGCTACATATATATATATATATATATATATACCACACAATGATGTCAATGGAGTCAAGTACCATCAAACTCAAAATTCCAGTCCACACTCTGTAACGATAATAACTTTGATGACTTCCGTGTCTTTTAATCATCCCTTTTCCCTTGATGAAAATCGTTGATTTCCTGGGCTTCCACAGGGTGCGAAGAGGCAGAGGTCTGTGAACTATCCAACTGATAACTAAACTAAAATTTTATTGGGCAGGAATACTTGCTTGTTATGAAAAGGACTTTAGAGATGGCAGACGAGGATATTGTCACTCCCATTTACGCTGGGGTCACCATATAAAAAAAAGTTTCTTTTCTAGCTTGAGTACCGCATGTGAACCGTGGATAGTTAGACGTGGGCGGCAAAGGGTTGGGCGTGACGCGTGATAGGGCCAGTTCGTGAATTAATGAACCACTTTGAGGCATGATTTGCTACAAAAATATTTGTGACCAATGAATTTTTCTTTCAGTTCGTGAAAACCACGTGATTTCCAAAGAAAGAGAGCAGCTCGACTTGTAGACTTATTTCCATGTTCTCGTCAGTTGAATCGGGTTCATGATATCATAAATTATATTACAGAGGTTCGTTAACCATACATTTCCAATACACACGAGTAGATTCCCATTCCACTCAGAACCTGACACGCCTATTGGAATTATAAGACACTTTAATTTTTGAAGCATGCTTTCTCTGATGGAACCTATCTGTGTGCACTGGACGACCTTCAATTTATGTTCGAAGAACTTTTTATTTCAGTTAACAATAAGATAGAAATTGTGTTGTCAATGTCGTATTCTGACCCTCTCTTTGCCTCGTTATGCACAACTAACCTCTATTTCATGGTCAATCTCTCCAACCAATAATTACAATTTGACAGACATGTTTCATCTAGAGATGAAGTAATTTATGTACGAAATGGCCATAGATATTCTTTGATTAGATAAAGGAAATTGTTGAATTTATTTGACATGTTGTGTTGCTTTAAACGATTTCTTTTTTGTGTGTGTGCTGTTTTGCCTTACTCCATATTCATTACTTTAGGTTGTGTTTTTCGAAGGAAGCGTACGTTTTTGTGTGATTAACCATGAAATATGTATTTAAATCTACCGATTAACCTCTCACCTTGCGTAAGGTTTATATCGAAATTGACATCGCACCAAGGTGCCAAAATATCGCAACATTAACGACAAATCGCTAGAAAATAACTCAGTACAGTCTTTTACTTGTACCAAAGAGTATATAGCCTGTTAACGTACTTACTGACGTTTTTGATAAACAACAGTGGAGATGGAAATTGTTTTTACCGAGCAGTTGTTATTAGGAGGGATGAAACAGGTGATGAGACGAGGAGATCAGTGGGTGGAGTTACAGTTTGTTCCAGAAAAATCCAAAGGTTTTTGAGCTGCCACTCTTCGCTATTTTCAGTTACAAAAACAGTCACGGTTTCTTCAACACTAAAATTTTCTACAATGATTTCTTCGGCTGACTAATCATGGTAGTTTACTGCAACTGCACAATTCCTTTTAATGCTACGCTCAGTAGCCAACGCATCCCACGGAAACGCCTTTAGGCGTCTTGTTCTCTTTAGATCCACTTCATCTGTACAATACAAAACGGGTAGCAATTTCAAAGCGGATAATCGAAAATATCCTAAGCATTCATTTGAAAATTTTACAGATTCGAAGTAAGGTTGACTAAAAGAACAAATTTCTTTGGCGTCAACCTCATTCGATCCTAGAAGTTCGAAAATTTTATTAGTCTAGTCGAAACTCAGTACTCATAAACGTTGACGCTGGAACTGATTCTTCATCGATTACTGAAATGAATTCTGCAGGAAGAAGCGCAATTCATCGCCGTTTTCGTTAGTAATTTAGCCAATTCGTTTCCTGAAATATTGCTCAGATCTTAACAAGCTTTGCCTGTGGCTTCTTTTAGTAACCCAAAGCAACTGCTACGTTCAATAACGAGTCAATTCCTACGAGTAAATTTTTTTTTGTTGAATACTAAACTTCATGAACAATGGAATGGACTAAATTTTACAAATATGTGTTTTGTTAACAAACCAAAGAATTATTGTTCAAATAAATAACATCTAAACATCAAAAACGGAGGAAAGATGTCACAAAGATCAAAGGTTCGGAAGTTTGTCCACGGGAGTAGCAAAATGGAAGTCAGTCGGAAAAAGTTCTGCTGCACGTAGATAGATAAGTCTGTACGATTGACGAATCGTAACGTCCGCTACACCAGCGATGTCACCGATTTCTACAAAGGAAATACAAACGCAATCACGTCAGGTAATCGCAAGCATGTCAGAGCCGATGTGTCGTGTTTAAGGATGCCAGAGAAGCTGTGCTGATTTCCAAAGTTTTGCCTCTAGCACTTACTTTTAGCACGAATCAAATGGCTAACAATCAATATTGCATGTCAGAAGAATTTTTGATTGGACGTCTTTGACATCGCCAACTTTCCGCGCTTCTGCCGCTGCTTACGTGTATTTAATTTAAGTTCTGATTGGTCCCTTGTGATACGTTCTTTCCGTCTGATTGACCCCTGGTGTCAATTTGGTTTACGACATCCAGTTGAAAAGCGTTTTACCGTGAAGTAAATATTACTCCCTAGCATATAGGATTCTTACAGATCGAAGGTTACCTCTAAAATTTCGTTAGATTTCAGTACAGCTTAGTCCAGAAATATTTAATGAACATTTATTAAGAACAATAGAGAATTCAAACCTTTCTGTGATTTCTTTGTCTCAGATGCTTGAGACGCCATGTAAATTGCAGCAGCCGCCACTGAAATGGGACTTCGACTAAAGAGAAATAAAAGAAAATTAAAATAATTGGTTATAGGAAAATAGGAACGACGCCATAACCACCGCAGGGTTTTCTCAAAATAGTAGAGAATTAACAGATAAAAACTGGTTTATCCGTGCAAATAGTATATAGCTTCTTAACCCTTTAACCCCTTAGAATGACTGGCATCTAATTTCTCCTCACCATACCACTCCTGAATCAAACATTAAGGTTAGGAGAATAAAGGAACTGATTACCGACGAAAGAGGTTCTTGATTGTTAGACAAATTTTTCATGTCGGCATCTTAGAGAACAGTATGGAGAATATACATACTGATGTTAGAGTGTAAAGGGTTAAATAAAAGACAACGAAGATAATTGAATTCAATCTCGAACTCGATTAGCATTTACCTTTAAGCCCTAAGAATAATTTCGAAAATTCATTTCTCGCTACGATATTCTCTTCTGTCACTCGCAAAGACTTGTTTTGGAAATCTAAACCGCGTAGGGAATAATTCTGCGCAAATAGCTTACATACTTCCCTACCAACATCAATCTGTATCATAAACGAACGTTGAGTCAGTTATATTGAAGACTTACCCCGGCACTAAATCCAAGTCAACCGCCCTCCGTGCGATATGTGTAGCAGCCTTTTGTACGTCAAGTGGAAGACAAAGATTGGAACAAAACCTCGACTAGCAAAGATCACAAGCCGAGAAAAATTAATTAACTAGGGATGTGCACCGTAGTTTGTTATGAGAGTTTATTTCATTTTCAACTCCTAATATTGAATTTCTAGTGTTCTGATTGGTGCAATCAACCTGGTTATCAGCTCATATACCGAGTCATCTCATATTGAAATGCTGTTGCGGAGCTGAAAAAAGCTTCAAACATCCAAACGTTCGAGATTTGATGAAATTTAATAAAAAATGTCGTTCCATTCACACTTGCTGGATACGAGATTGATAACAGCCAATTTACCATCTCATCTCCAACACGCGCTCATGGAAAAATTGTTAAATAGGCAGAAGGAGCGCGTTGATTGGCTGATTAGTGAGCTTACACTAAACTGAGTGGAGGTCTATCTCATTCAAGGAGGAGATAAAGAGAAAAGGAAGAGGGAAGTTTTGAAAGACTGACTGTAACGCAGCTCCGTCAATACTTGGTTTGTCTTACATATTTCTCGGAGAACGGGGATGACAGAAATCCTAAAGAGAATTCAGTTTCCTAAGGTAGGTGAGTCAAGGTTCGTTACATAACCTTGCCTTTCTGAAGGCAATTTTTTCGAAACTAATTTTCTTTTCCTTTTCTCAGGTCAGGGTTATGAGTAAAAACACGTGGAAGGACTTCCTCCATGTTCTCAAGGTGTTTAAACTCACCATAAAATCTGCTGTTGTTATGAGGTCCACACTTGTCTCCAGGGCCTTAAGTATCAGTTTGAAACAACGGCCAATTTCCTTTTTCGAAATTTTGCTGATAGCGCAAATTTCTGTGGAATACAAATTTTTGATTTGTCGCTAAAAAGCAAATGAGCAACTTGTGTGGACAGACAGGGGCGTAGATATGATTATTTAAAAGGAGGATCACACCGTGTCAAACAGAGGGTACTCACCAGTTTTTACCGCCTGAATATTGCGGTTGTATGCTTAAAAAAGCTTACAAACGGGAGAGGTGGGGATTACGGGCACCCCAGACTTCCCTAGCTACACCCTTGTCCCTTGTTTAAGCTTCTACTTTCAATTTGGAAAGTTAACAAAAAGTAATTATCATTTAGACTGCTATCAGTATGTTCACTATATCACAAGGAAGCGAAATCTTGTTAATTATACATTTGACTCTGACAATAATTATTACTTGTTAAATCAAACAATATTCCCAGGTTAATTCTTTAAGCCTCGTGACGTTTTTGCTTGAGAATGTATCAATGCTGTTAGAGAAAACCATTTTAGTCAATCCAGGCTGATACATACAGACTAATCGTTTTACCTTTAAATGTCCTAGGCACACCCTCTTGTCGACAGGCAATGTACAAACAAGCAGAAGCAATGGCATCATTACTTCTCCCTTTTAAACTCTTTTGTTCATGAACTTGTTTAAACAATTGATTTGCCCGATCCTAAGGAACAAGAGAAATCAGCAATAAATTGCTTTCTTCAATTGAGAGTTAGGAATGAAACCATTTCAAATGGGACACAAATAAACCTTTCTACAAAAGCCACTTAATATAATGATCAGAACTTAAAAAACTCTTGGATCAATATCAGTATGTGGGCAATTTCCCACCTACCCCTCCCCTAACCCAACAACAGTCAATTGATAACAATTTAGGGTTAATATTGGATTAGGGGAGGGGTAGGTGGGCAGTTGCCCAGATACTGATATTGATCCAAACTCTCAAGTTTGAGAAAAGAATTTTTCCAGTATATAGGTCAAACATCATCTTCTGATTGGAATTTGCCTGCACTAACAGGTATGTTAAGTATGATAAATTAAGAATTTTCAAGAAAATGAGGAAGTCACAGCCACTCTTGAACCTTTTCAAGCTACCCTCTTGATTCATTGGCTTTCTTGAAAGGAACCTGTGAAGCCCGTTCCAAGCACTCCATGACAAAATGGCAGTATTATGGTATGAGAAGGCAACTTGAAATTAAACTTGGAAAAATGGAGTGGGCAATAAGAAGAGCCACAGAAAATAATGCTCTTTTCTTTTACACATCATTACCTGTCACTCCACAAGTACCATTGCGCTGCTGCTTAATAGCTGAATTACTGGAGGTGAAATTTTTATATGCTAGGGGCCTTACTTTTGGACTACTGGTAAACTGTCAGCACCTTAATTTGAAATACCCCACAGATGGATTTGATTGACTTGGTTTGAAAAAAATGGCTTACCACTATTTTCCTGGGTAGATTTATCCTGTCAGCCATGATACCAATTTCTCTAAAAGCATTCATGAGACTTCTGTCCGAACCAGTCAACTAAGTTTAATGAATGCGGAGAAGAAAGAAATGAAAAGATGTTAAAAGGCCATAGTGAAATCATGAAGCTCCTACAGTCCATGACTGTTTGATTGGACCTTGATAATGGTATGGCAAGGATGAATTAACATTGCCCTGTAATTTCAAAGAGAACTCACCCCGCCCCTATTGTGATATTTGGAGTATCCATCTGTTTCACTGTTTCCCACTGGGACTCTTTCAATGATTGTTGACAGATCTCCTCCACCTAATAATGGATTCTAAAAAATAGAAATTTACCATGTATGAGAGAAATTTTTATTAAAGATTAAGGTAAACCTGATATTGCATTGGTTTTGCTTTACTTTGCTGCATGATTTGTCTAGCAAATTTGTACCACCATTTCAATTATTCAGAAGCAAAACTAAAGCATATCATGACTTGCTCTTTTACATTTTCTTGCCCTTCAGGCAGTTAGCTTATTTTCATTTGGAGTTCTCATAGGCTCCTTTTGAAATTTCTTTCCCTCTCATTGCCAAAATATCAATTGTATTAACAATATGGCTTCTAACCCTAACTTTATACTGAATAATTTTTCATCACCCACATATAATGCAAGACATTAAACTACAGACTGCCTGTCAAAATGTAGAACTCTTGCTGCTTTGCAGTCTCCAAAAAAGAGTCCAATCATGAGCCATTCCCGTGGATTATGATCTATAGCTTAAAAGCTATGCTTGTGCCAATCAAATTTGAAAATGGTCTTTAGCATACCAGCAACAAATAGTGTAAAAGTAATTTCCCAATCAAAAAACCATCCTACTATCATTCTCATGTGATTATAATATGCTGTCTTACCTGTGCTGCTCCAACACGAGAGGGATCACTGGTAGCCTTCTCATTACTAAATGTTCGCCATTCTGAGCCAACATCAACCACTCTACATAAAAGGAGAAAAAAAAGCCAAAATAATAGTTAAACTAAAATTATTTTAGCCTAGTTAATGTATACATCCCTTTGTTATAAGCACGGTTTTGACCTCCTGTAAAACCACAAAGTATGAGAGACAATTGGAATAAATGGAATGATGCAGTTTATTATGTTGATAAGATGCCTCACTTTCATCATAATCACAAACAAATTTTGAAAAATTTGTAATAAAATAGTGAAGGATTTTTTTGATATCTCAGTGCATTTAAATATTTTTCTGCACTATAAATCAGCTGACTAAGAGAAGCTAACATGCACAGGATCACCAAGGCATAAGTTGCTAGCATGCTTTGATGAAATAAAGGAAAACAAAGGGGGAGGGGTATTCTTTAGATTCAGTGTGATGTGGTTGAATGGTATCAGCCTCTGTTGCTTTGAAACACAATATTCCAATATAAAATATCCCTCTCTCAATTTAATTTGCTGTAACTTCCTTGTATAGCAGATGACGTCAGCATAACACCAGATCACATGCTGATGCGCAGGGAATTCTCTCGAATCGATATTAACCGCTTTGCAGAGTTTTACTTTAGTCACAACAACGATGTTTTATTACTTGGAGGAAACACTAAAACGTTTCTGATTACATAAAAAGATACACATGAAAGCAAGAAATAGCAACGACATGAAGGAACAGATTTCGAAGTAGGAGTGTTTCTTAAACTGATCCGATAAGAAGACACGTTAACTCAACATTATCAGCGAAGGTTCTATCATTCCTTTCGCTCAATCGCTTTGAGAAATAAAGGAAGTATTAAGGAATCTACGGCTCTCTTAGAGAGTAACAAAAATGTAGGTATGACGAAAGTTATTGATTTTATCATATTTTTAAGCTTACCGATCTCCGACAACAAGACCGCATTCAGAGCAAATCATATCTCCCGCTCGATAATCTTCGATCAACGGAGCCTCTGGATGATGAGAACATTTTATCGTCTGAGAGCTGAAACGCGAGCGAAATAAAATTTAAAATTATAAAGCAAGTCCACTGCCGTAAAACAAACCACGCAGAAGCGGGATAAAATCATTTAAATTGCTTATAATCAAGAGAGGGCCTGACTAACCTACTAGCCATCGCTCTCGTGTCAATATAAATGTCTAGCTGAGGTACCGCGCTCTTTATAACTTTTCTTACCGGATGTGACGTAATGGAGAAAGCCGATATGCTATTTTTGGTGGTCAGTTCTTAAGCGATCCCGTGTACCTCGAGGAACCTGCTTTGTTGATGGAGATTCGCTGACGATGGCTCAAAATCGGTTGTCGAATGTGACGGTGGAACAAGTTAAAGGTGACATAATCATTTAACTATATTTTGGTTTTATCAGTACAATCTTTCAAAGCTGTAAGTGAGATGTCTTGCTAAATACGGCCTCTGATCGGCTCGTTAAGTCATTTTGCATTGTTTACGTCCCTGTTAGCTATGTAAACTACTTCACATAGTGATCGGAAACGCTCAGAATGGTGTCAGCAGGTTATGATTTTTTTCTATTTGAGCGCTAAGTTAAAACATTCATGATCTCATGTTCCAAAACCGAGCGAAATCGTGCAGGTAGGAAACAGAGCCTGAGGACTAATTATATGCTAAGAGGGTAAAGTTTCCGCACAGCCCCATAATATTGTAAAACAAATCTGTTTTCCCAAGGGCAATGTATTGTTTTTGTCGTTGTTTTCTCTATTCAAGAATTGAATACATAATGTGGTATGAGGCTATACTTCCACTCAGTCTCCCACTTCCAAAGCACTGTTCCCTTTGGTAAAAGGGGATACCGATGAGTGTTTAGGTATCATTATCCTAAACAATTGTGTTATCCATATTATTCAGCTGCTATGAAAGAAATTTTAGAAGCATTTGACAAGCCACAAAACAAAGCTAAAATGCAAGAAATTGAACAGGAGGCTAATAGTGATTTGGTAAAGCTGCTTCAAGAACGACTGCCATTTGCTGCAGAGATTCAGAAAGAGGTGATTAAGTGTCATGGCTTCTCTGATGATGGAGATCAAGGTAACTCTGTAGTAGCTTCCTGGGAAATGGGTAGTGGCAGAAATGGAAAAGAAAAAAAAGGCACTTTCCTCTGTTACCCTTTAGTCACTTGGTCCATTTCCACCCTTACCTCCTAATCACCAGAAATGACATTCACTGGGTTGTCTTCAGAGAAAATTTTTTTTGTTAAGAAAAACTGCCGGCCAGGTCAATTAATCCTGAATCTTAAGCACTAATCTACAGGAAGTGCAAATTAATGTTTGGGAACTATTAAAGTTGCTCTGCCTAGAACCATAGTATTTATGTGCATTTTGTGCTAGAAATCAAACATTGAGTGGTTGATTGGAATAGATATAGATACATATTTAAAATAAGTCAACTAAGTGGTCTATTGATTTGTTTCTGCTTTAGGTTCTCTGACATTTACTCATGCTATCAAGTTGTTTGAAAAAGAGGATGAAGAAATTGCCTCCATGGCAGCTGATCTGAAGATGAAGTTCATACCACCCCTTCCACACCCCCCTCTTTTTGTTCCTAGGGATGTCACATGACAAACTTCAAACCTCTCATTGTAGAATATTCTTTTATTACAATCAAATGGACTACTCATTTGAAGAAATGTCACTGGGTCAAGGTGTTTCATGTCTGTTGTTAGTTTAGGTATGGTACAAGCCATTTTTGAACATGAAATCCAGTTACATCTATAGTTTCAATGTGTATTCAATAGAATTATAAAAGTAACCTTTGGTGTTGTGACTTCATTCTTTAAAAAGTGTAAAAGTGACAACTGCCTGAAATGAGCTGCAGTTTGACTTTAGCTTGATACAGGCAGGGCATACAGGAGTCATTGATACAAAGCCTTTTCTCTCGAAGGAGTGACAAAAAAGGAATTTTTTCAGACAGGATCAATTCATGTTCAAGCAGAGAGGTGATAAGAATTGAAAATATCAACTATCAGATGTTGTCTAAAACTCAGAGCTAAAATTTGAAGGAATGGTGAAAGGGTTAACCATTCAAACTTGTAATGACCATTGAATTCACAACTTGAATTAATAAAAGAGTGCTATAGCCAGTGAACTGGGATTGGTCTAAGAGTTGTAAAAACATGATGAAAAAGCAACTATAAAACAAAATGCTTGAACTACCACTAAGTACATTTATGTATAGATAAACAGATAGGCTAAATGCCCTGCCTGAGATGTGTTTCATTATCAGTGTATAAACAATAGCCTCTTTTTGAAGCAAAAAATATGCATGGATATTTGTCCATGAACATTATGTGTTCCAAGATGCAAAAGATGTTTGGAGAGAGAAGCTAGAGGAAAACTGTGAGCTTTAAAGAACAGATAATGTCCAAGGACAAATATATGAGCATATTTTTGCACCAAATATAGGCTAATGTGTGTTCATTATCCTTCAAATACTTTGTAACCCAAATGAGAAATGTTTACAAACAGCTTACTGTTTTGCTGCATGGGATGTTTTCTGGTACAACTTTATGAACAAATAACTGTTCCCCTTTTTCTGTAACACATCATGAATTAAATTTTAAACAAAGACTTATCATAGTGGACGTAAGGTTTAAAAATTGGGGAATATCACCTGAATGATGACCTGGGATATCCCCCAGTTTTAGCTGGTGAATATTTTTGGTCAAATGATGTGTTTAGACTAATGCATGTGAGCAAAAAATTTTAATGAGTCATAAATAAAGTTACATGTAACATGATATTGAAAAATCAGACAATATCAAGAAACAAAATGTAATGTAACTTGTAAGGAATATCTTTATTTGCACAATGTGTCCATTGGTAAGATTAGGTTCTTTACTTAAAATATACATATATTAAAAAATGAGTACAAGTATCTTGCTATTTGCAAGAAAATATTATTTTCATATGTATCAGAAAGAATAACCACTGCATTCTTAAGTTTTAATATCAATAGTTTGTAAAATATTCTTGCAACTTTTTTATCACCAAAAATAACATTCTATTATAATTAAATGAAAACCACCAATTATGCTGTTTTTTTTCCTCCATAATTTAGTTGGTGTGATTCTCTGATAACATAAATAAGTAATGGGCCTTTTCAGATAAATTGAAAATGTCTTCTTTCTCGGTTTTAGCCAATATGTGACTGGTTGTCTACAGCACCTATGATCCTGATGCAAATTATATAAGTTTTTCATTCATTGTTAAATATTCCATAATGCACTATTAATAGTAAAATGAAACCAGTTATTAAATGCATACTAACTGAATCAAAATGAATTTGATCTATAAAATAATTATATTATGTTGATATCATTTAATGTATATTCTGCAAAATAGTAAATAAGAGTTTCAACACCTGTGTAATAACAGCTTTGTAGAAAATTAACTGTAAAATTACTTATTGTTGATTCATATTTCCCTTGAAGGAGAGCATTCAGTCTAGTATTTGGTCACCCTATTGGTGTCATCTGGTTGATTCCAGTGTATTGTCATCATGCAAGTATTCTCTCACAAGCATAATGCATTGTTCGTAGGTACAGAAAATGAGTGCCACAGACAAACCAGCCTGGAATAGAACAAACAAGATATTTTGTTGTAAGGTAGAGTTTGCCTAGGAACTAAGGACCCTTTCTGGCCAGAGTTAACCCTTTACACCCCAAGATCAGTATGTGTATTCTTCATACTGTCCTCAATATATTACATAAGGTGCTGACAAGGAGAATTTGTTTAATAGTCAGGAGTGGCTCTAGTTAGCAATCATTTCCTTCAAGTTTGATTCAGGGGTGATATTATAAGGAGAAATTAGAAGCTAGTCACTCTTAGGGGTCTAAGAGTTAACCCTTTAACTCCCAAAAATGACCAAGACAGAATTTCTCCTTACAATATCAGTACAATATCAAGTAGACAAGTGATGAGAATAAAGAAAAATATCAGTTAGAGGATTATTAGCTGATCTAGCACCGATTTCTCAAAACTAACATGACAAGAACTGTATGGCAGACAGTAAGGAGAATTACTAATGAGATCTTGGGAGTTTAAGAGTTAATTATGGTTTGCTTAGCATGAAGCAACTGGTGGTATTTTACTTCTTCTGGTGGTATGCTAATCCACCTCAAGTTACCCTTCAGCATTTCCACAAGCCTTGCTGTTAATTTGCTGCAACCCAGTCATTCTCCTGGATGGAGAGAGGTCCCATATGAGTAAAGAGATAATGGCTGCATCCTTCTCACCTTAAGTGTACTTGGAGCCAGTCCTTTGAAAAAACCAAAAGCACCTTCTTCCCTAAGAATAATCCTGAAGCAGTCTAACATGCCATTATATTTCTGAACTCTTCCAAATGTCTCCCTTGCTTCTTGAAATCCTTGTATCTTTAGTAGCGGAAAAAAAAAACAACAAAAGCAAAAATTAAAATTATGAAATATTTATTTCACAAGAGCAAAATTTACATCAGCTAGAGGGTACAATTACAAAGATCTAAAATCAATCAATCAATTCTTTTCTGTCAAAACAGAAGCTGAGGTTTCTAGAAGATACCATCTGTAAGATAAGGTTTCATCATTCTTAGACCAAATGACAAAATAAGATTTCAAAATAACACAAGATCAAACAAAGTAATTAAAAGCAGTTAACTTTAAAATGTATGCCAGTTTGTGAAAATCTCAATACAAGTTAAAATGAATAAATGCTTTACATAAAGTAATACAAATTAATGATATAGTACGCTTGAAAACACACCATGAGAGTGACAAGAATTTAAAATTAATAAATCATGAAATGACATGCAAAGGAAATCTTATGATAACTTGTGATTGCATCTACCAAAGAAGCAAGTAGTTTGAGTCACAGTTAGTATTCAGGTAAGATTCAACTGGCATAGCATCCTACAGATTTTGTAAGTCGCTAGCCCAACACCTTTAGTAAATGAAGGTTTTGGGTTAACGGCAAACAAACACTGTACCCAACATTCCCACAAGTTTCCATACAACATGTACATGTAAACAGAAATAAATAAAGGAGGTAAGTTTGAAAAAGTGATTAACATCTCCCTATGACATCTGTACACTATTCAGCAAACAGGTAATGAGAATATTGAAACTTATTAAATAGAAGTTGTTGTCTTGATCTGCAGTGTAACACCAAATTCTTCTAACTTATTTACAAGGAAATGCGTAGATGCTAGATGGGAGAATTAACTATTAGATCTTGGGAGTAAAAGGGTTAGGAAACTACGGTGCTGCATTGGTGGGGGGATTAAAATTTTCATTATAAACTCATTTGATAAAACCAAATTGAAATTCAACCAAAGTCACCCATACTTCTAAAATGTTCTAGCATTAATTAAAGTTGAGTATTTACATCACCACACCTGTAATCTCTTTTTCACCATATCTAGAGGATAAATAGTCCCTTTGCTAAAAATTCCTGCTAACGCTCCACAAACAAGACTTTCATTGACCCCTGTAGCTTTGTAAGGATCTTGTCTCTGTAGTAAAACACATATTTTACATCTTAGAAGAACTAATAAACTTCTTCCAAACAGAACAATTTGTTAGCTCAGACACTAAACATGAAAGTAATAACTTTCTGTTGGATAGCATTATTTTGAGGGGTACTGTAACACTAATAATAATAATGATCATTTGCATAGAAAATTTTTTTTCTACTTGAAGATGCCAAGAAGGAAATATATATAATAATATTAGATATAAATTTGACTTCTTAAATCGTCTGATTATCAAATAATAATTAAAGATGTTCTTTACTTATCAAGCAGCATCTTGGTTCTTAATCCACTGAGCAAATTAACAGCTGGCTGCATGGCTAAAGAGAACACCCCAAACAATTTTTTTTTTCAAACTGATTTATTTTGAACATCCCTATTGAGTAAAATTGCAAACTTATAGACAAGACCTGATAGGCTCAGAAAAAACCAAGTATGCATCCATGGAAAATTCTCCACATAACCAATTGTAAACAAGTTGTATTTACCCTAAATAAGCAGAAGTAACATTTGATCGTTGAACATCCAAACACTTCTAATCTACAACAATAACACCAGCATACCTTAACCCCAAATGAGATTTCCCAAAGGGTCTTGAAAAATGAATAAAAGCCAAATTGAAGCCCGGCATGAGGGAAAATCTGCACTAGAGTAGGAACAAGTCCTGAAAAGACAAAGAGAAAGTGTTGATAATTCTATGATGAAAACAACTCGTTTACCTTGATAATGCATGTGGAAATCATTCTGACTGGCAATACCCAGACACTTTGTTTCCTAGGAATGAAATTATCCTCACAATTCAATACACCATGAAGTAGATTGGTCACAAGATTTAAAAAATGATTTTCATCAAAGAGTTCCTTTTACTTTTTGTAAGCACAAATTCCTAAGAATTAGCAAAAAATAATGTAGGTGTTAATCAGTGTGAAGAATAGGGTAGCAAATATTGAAAGAAGAACAGTAAGGGCCATGCAGTAATACTTTAATATGATCAGATTAGATAGGCCGAGAGTACACCATGTTAGTTTGCATATCTTCCATACTGTTCTACATATGTTACATAGGGTACTGACAAAAAGAATTTGTCTAACAATCAAGAGCATTAGTTGGTGATCATTTCCTTCATTCTTGTCACACTGTTGTGTGATTCTAGGGTGATATTGTGAGGAGATATTACATCCTAGTTGCTACTAAGTGTCAAATTATATTGACTAAGACAGTTGTTTACTTGGTGAATATAATATTATTTCATACAGTATACATCACAACATAACCTGTGAGGTTTTTACCTTTATAGAATGATCTGATCCCCTCTTTAGCATACATCTTACTAGCAGCTTGGACAAGATTCTTGTAAACCTATATATTTGGATAAATGAGAGGGTAAATAAGGAGAAAATTAAAATGTTCAAAAGGGTGAAAACGACCACAGGCAAACAGCAAATAGTTGGCCATTATGAAGCTGATTTAAAGGGTGTGATCATGAAGAAAATAGACAAGAAAAAATGGAAATATTTGTTACTTTAGGTTCTCCTTGTGCCACAAGCCTTGTTCGTAAAACATCTAAAGGTTGTGCTACTGTTGATGAAAGACATCCAGCAAGCCCTCCACATACAAAATGTGTCACTGTATTGTAAAAAAAAATAAAATAAACAAAGATATGTTCAATTAAACCAGTGCATAGCTTGCTTACCATTGTAGTTGGTAACTTGGAATAACAAACAAACTGATGATGTGATGTAAATTATACCTTTATCATAAGAACGCCTTAGGAATTCTAAGAGTTTTAAGAAAAGCACAAAAAAATTTAACCTGGTTTCCATTTCTGATCTGTACATCTAGGATTTACTCTCCACATAACCTCTGTAATGGCTTCAAAAGCAGTGAACTGGATTAAAAAGAAAAAGAACATCACAATAAACTTTTAGTATTCTTATTTACTAGTAAAAAAACTTGTTAAAGAATATTGGTTAAAGCTAACCTGAACATATCCATAAACAACTGATAGAGCTTGAGCAGGAACATGCCCTTTCCTGTTACAATTTAAATAGATAACCGTTCATTACTGAATTCATGTATGTTATACAGCAAGGTATACTTGAAGCTGAGAAGACGAGGACTGAACATTTCACTTAAACGAGACACAGGAGGAAGGCATTTATCAGCAACACCTCAGCAAGTGTCTGTTTTCACATGTCACACCTCTATAGCCACTCATAAAGATGCGCATCAAATCCAACTAACACTACTCCATCGTCTTTTGAAGACAGACAGATGACTACTATTGTTATAGGGTAATTATTGATATGTTCTTACTTTTCAAACATAGCTCTTCTAAAACTCTATATGCTACTCAATTTTATCCATGGAACATTTCCAAATTATATTTTCCTCAGTTACTTTCAGGTGTGTTTAATGTACAATGATGAGTTTGAGACAAAAAAATTATGGCTCAAACCAAGGAGAAAACTGAACCACAACATAAACACAATTAACATTTTTAACTTGAGAATGCATACTGGCAATTTGCTTACCAAAGTGAAGTAAATCCCTCCTCTTTATAAATAAGTTTGAATGCTTGCCATATTCCTGAGTATTTACCTGTGGTTATTTTCTATCACAGAGATAAAACAGAGATAAACATTCATTTTACAGTAGTGACATTCAAAATTCTCAATAAAAACACCTCACCTTACTTCCATAATGCATCCCTTGTTGCCTGACCGCTTACTATGTTGAAAATAACCCATTTTAGCAAGTTACCTATTTCTAGTGCCCCATTCACACCAAAGCTTAAACATGTTTAAAAGTTGTTTTGTTAAACACAGTTTAATTTTTTTTTTCTTCATAGAAACTATTTAGCCGAATATTTTTGACTTGAATGTAGCACATTGGAAATGCAAGTTAGCAAGTACTTGAACCCAATGGAAAATCAAGTTTTTCAGTTCTCTGTTTCTAATTTTCATTCAATGAAAACCAGTTTAACAAAACATGTTTTGCTGGTGTGAATGGGGTATAAGTTTACTACATAAGTGAAAGACAACGCTGCACACGCCCGATCCGAGAAGCGAAAAATCCCACAGGCAGCCCAAGCTCCAGCCTCTCTTAGGAGTAGGAAACCTAGAAATGGATAACTCGCTTGAGTGGCCTCGTTTCAACATAGTTAACTTTCAGACCACAAGCGATGCACTTGGAGGTAAGGCGTGGTATTTTGTTATTGAGAATTTGGCCAAAAACCTATGATTGATGTTTAGCGCTTTCGATCTGCCTCGGAACACAAGCGATTTATTATTAGCGCTTTTGATTGAGGTCAAACAACGGCGTTTGGTGCAACAACACAAGCGATTGAGGTTCTGCACTAGCAACTGACCATTTAAGAACGGAAAATAAATTGATTTGCATTTACAATTTATAATTGGCACTAACGATTGAGTATTATCACTGACGATTTAAATTTTTAACACAAATGGTTCCTCATAGGAGCTTGGGCCACTTGAGGTATCACATAGCTGATGGCCTGATGCAACAGGAAGATGAGCTTGCTCAGATCTTTGGTATGGCCACTTTCTTGGAATAAAACTAACAGAAACTTACTTAGCCTTCATGAAATAATTCATCACCTTGGATGTAGGTTCAATCTGAAGTTGAAATCGTATTTTAAGGACATCGAACGGTTGAACCACCAGCCGAGTTACCAGCCCAGACACAGAACCACACATTCCATACTGGGTTGAAGATATCTTCTTCTCTTCACGACCTGGATCAAAACCAACCATTTCCTCAGTGAATACATGCTTTGATGACATTTGCACTTAGATGATAATTGGTAGTAATGCCACGGGAAAGAATAACAATTGTTTCATGGTTATTCAATCGGGTACGCACTGCTGCCTCCGCCATCTTGATCATATCAATCCGAGAAAGACTGAGTTCTAGAGCAATTCCCGCGGGATCTTGAAATTATCACGTGCTGAATTCTTGGTATTTCATTGGTTATTTACTTACGAAGGCAAAGGATCATCTTTCAAAATCAGCGGAATTTAATTTTCGTGATGATCAGCCGATTGTGGTGGTCGCGGTCGTTATTTTGAAACTTGACAGATTATGTTGTTTGTGGTGGAAATTGCTGATTTTGTGTTTTGCACTTTTTTGTTTGTGCTATAAGCTATGTCTACTCCTACAAAAACAAGAGGGAAGCGCGCGCTTCCAAGCCTTCCTTCTAATAGAGCGGCTAGTTCTGATCGCATGGTTACAACGACGCCGAAATCGTCGAAAGTTATCTCCAAGAAAACAAATTTGGACTCTGTACGCGTTGACGTGACGAAGAACAGAAACTACCCCTCACAGCAGAAGCAAAAGAACGGCACGATTATGAATTCGAAGGCACCATCAACAGATTTGATTTCAAGAAGGAAGGATCTTTCCTCAAGCGAGAGTGGTTCCAACACAAGTTCTCCTTTAAACTCTCCGCGAGCATCACGTAAGGCAACTGTGGGGCCGATGGTGGCTGGGATTATAGACAAGTTTTCCAGCACATCACAGACATCAGGGGAAGGAAACGTGGTCAAAGAAGAGACATCAGGGACAATTGGTTCGGAGAAAAAGATCGCGCGTGTTCTGCCAATGACACCCCAGTTTATTGAGGAACACCTGGTTACAAATACAGAAAGTGATCCTTCGTCGACCAAACCGTATGACGATTCTTCTTTGATTATCAATAAACTGCAATCCACGTTGGGGTTGTTGAAAGGCAATGATGGAGGGAAGGGCTTTGAAGACAAAATGGATTCAGGTGTTCCGCCGGCTTTAAAACCATCCATGTCAACAGCACCGCAACAAGTGTCTTCCGCTTATGGCGATGGAGAGGGTTCGAGTGTGAGGGTTGGTGTGAGAGTTCGACCTTTCTTACCAAGGTAATGTGATACTTTTTTTGTGTTAATGCGATAAGAATTGACCATAAGAATTGTCTCGAGCGGGAAACAGTCTGCTATTTAAAAGTTGTTTGTTTGTTTGGTGTTTGGTGAGCGTGTAATGTACAATTACAATATCACATTTAATGTTTATCGTGATCACGAACATGTGAAGCAGTTGTTTAAGATTTGGTATTTGTTTTCGCGAAAAAGCTGTTTGGCGACGAAAGTTGGGGGTTCTCTTTCGATATATGTGCACTGTAGAGAACAATGAAACATGCTTTGCGATATTGTGTGAGTCCCTACTTGTGTGACTTCAGTTTGACCGGATGTTGTTTAGAACGTGTTCGAGTTGCTCTCGAGTTCGGTCGCTTCCTTCGACTTCGTTGTTACTGCACGATCAAAGGTTCTGTAAAGCAGTCAAGAAATCTTGCGTCGTGCCAGTCTTGTTTACAAAATTACATTCTTTCTCAATGACGCGTTAATTAAAAACTCTTTACTTCATTTGTGTCCATCTTGGGTGATCAACTCCATTGTTTCTTTTCAAAAAGACTTAGAGATAATCCCATGTTTAATAAAAGAGGCTTTAAAATGGTTGAGTTAGCTCTCTTGTCTCATTGATCACTATCAACTCATAAGTGTTCTTTTTCCACTTTAGCCAGTTTGAGATCAACATAGTATTCAAACTATGCAACTCAAGAAATGCTCTTGGAATTTGCAAATTCATGAGAACGAATATTACTCTTTCTCTTATCTGAATAAACAAACTAAGTAGAGGTGTCAATCATAGCACAGATGCGACAAATTACAATTGGCAATTAACATTTGTTTGCACTGTGTAATCTGAAAGTGTGGTGATTAGAAAGCAAAAGTTATTTTTAGTTTCAAAGCGAAGTTGCAATGTTATAACTGTATAATGTACTAGGAAAGATATCTGACAAACTGAAAGTGCTAATGTCAGTGTCAGATCCGGGATCTTGCCCTGAATTAATAGCCTCTCTTTGAGCTGCAGGAGACTTACAAAGACAAATGGTAGTGTTTTAATCTTGTGAATTTTCCTTTTTTTAGCCCTGTCTTTGATAAGATGAGTTAAAAACAAAACAAACAAAAAAACCACAATGTATTAATTTTAAGCCCTGCCCTCATATTAACATCTCCAAGGTCTAGTTCATTCAAGCCCTTTCTGCATGGATTACTTCATTTTTTTTTGAGTCATTGCCTCACCACCCTATTCTTTTCACAAATATTTAACATGTTTTCATAAATAAAAGTTAGCTAGCTTGGTTTCAGAGATCAAAGTAATTTCTGTGATTCAAATTTTGTTAACAAGTTACAAACTTTCCCTTGTATTAAACCACCTACCAGTATATCCAAGAACTGAACCTCAAAGATCATGTCTCATACATCTTGATGATAAGTTTTCCTTGTGAGCAGTAACCAGGCTTAAATATTAGCTCATCGGTGGAAGAGAAATGGTCGCTAATTCACAGAAAATTGTACCAGGGTGAAATAATAGCTATCAGTTTCCTGTACAGCTTTCTGAACCTCTGTCTTTAATATTCATTGAGTTTTAGTCAAATTATTTGTGTAATACAGCTTGTATTTGGTGTACAGTCTTATGAGCTACTTCCTTCAAAGTGATACATTCTTTTTCATTATTCACAGAGAAGAAAAGGACCCAAACGTGAAGCTGTGTATTTCTATGAAGGATCATGAAACTATTATCACTTCAGATGCTGGTATGGAATATCAGTTTAATTACGATTACTCCATTTGGTCATTTGATCCTAAAGACCCTAACTATGTTGACCAAGAGAAGCTTTACAAGTTGATGGGACAGCCTCTTCTAAACAGTGCTTTTGAGGGATATAACACCTGTCTTTTTGCCTATGGCCAGGTATGTAAATGTAAACTTATGTGTGAGGGACTGGCATGTAATTTCTCCCCACAGTATCACCATGGAGACAAATTTTTAAAGGTCATGAGAACAAAGACACTCTTGATTAGTAAACAAATTCACTGTACCAGTGTCGCAGGAAGTATATAGAGAAGGTGTAAGGAAGATGAATTATTGATGTGAGGATATAGAGGATTAAAATTTTTACAGAAAATGATTATCCTATATCTGTAGTTATAGAATACACTCAGGATTAATCAAAAGGTGTTGGTTACCTTTTCAAATCACATTCCACCTTAATATCACTTATTGTGAGTTAGCACTATCTATGAGATGACTACTCAGCTAAGATTAACTATACTTACATCTGATAATTAAAATATATCAAAATAATTGAGATGGTAATCAATCATACTGTACTGAAAGTAAGCTTTAAAATACTTTGAAGACACCCTTGTGTGCTTGATAAGATTTGATGATGATTAAAAATATTTTTTTAGGTAATCATTTGTCTCCTGACATAATCACTTCCAAAGTGGAGTGTCACATTTTGGAGTATGACAATTTGTTACTGCTGGTCTTCCTCTTGCCACAAGGTTGCCTCTTCTCATGTCACCTGATATAACAATATTCTGAGCTGTGATTCAATAACCTGTAAAGCTCTGACTTTTGTAAACATTGAATTTAATTTCACTCATATTTTCCTCCTTACAGACAGGATCAGGGAAGTCTTATAGGTGAGTCTTGAACATTAATAGATTCTTGTGTCTCACCTTATAAAGCTACTGGTAGCTGCTAAATGAAATGCATGGGTATATGTATCTTTTGCATTAAGTATGGAACTTTTGTCACTTTCCTTCCAGTAACTGATCTCTTATTTTATGCAGTGTTATGGGCCAGGGAGATGAAATTGGTATTTTGCCAAGATTCTGTGAGGAGTTGTTTGAGAGGATCAAATGTTGGAAAGAGGTAAACTTCATCTTTCCTTTTTACTTGTGGGAGGAAAATGAGATTTGTTTTTTTTTTAAGAAACAGTTTAAGTACCTGAAGTAGTGGACAGTTATTTCCCAATTTTGTTTTCCAGTTGTTGTTGTTGGTTTTTTTTTATATAAACATACTGCCTCTCTGCTGTTGCCATTTCCCCTTTCCAATTGAAAGTTCTTAATAAATTTGGTAAAGATAAGATAGTTGTACAATTCTTTGATTTTTTCTTTTCCTTGATGTGCACAGCTGCAGTTCACAGTGGAAATAAGTTACTTTGAAATTTATAATGAGAGGATTCATGACTTATTGGCATCAAGTAAAAAGAAAGATGGCAAAAGGGCTCAGGTAAATTATGCGCTACGTGAATTCTTATAACATCAATGAACTTTGAAAAATGAATATGTACATAATGTTTTAGAAGTACAATTTGCATCATTAGGGGACAGAAGTACTGAGTATAGATGAAGTTGTCAAAATTATTATTAATAACTTCAATACTAATAATAGTAATGAGTGAAAAAGAATTAAAATGACTCAGCCAAAAATTAAACAAAGGCTCTTTATGCATTTAGCCTTTCATTTAATTACAACTATATTGTCATTTTTGGCAGTTGAGGGTCAGAGAGCACCCAATCTTGGGACCATTTGTTCAAGACCTGACTACGTAAGTACCATTCATGTACCATGATATTTTTATAGCTTGTGCAGGGGCAGATCTAGGGTTTTTCTTTGGAGAGGATGCACCACTCTAAGGAATGACATTACTCACGGGTGACTTGAACAAATTCTAAGAAGATGGCTCAATTATAATGTAAACAGCTGACAACACATGTATATGATAATGTAATTATAAGAAAGCAGAGGGTCATCTCAGGAGCAGAGGGGGGGGAAATGGGTTTTGCAACCCCTGTACCCCTTCCTTAGATCTGCAGCTGTTGTGTACAATTCTCTTTACATGTATTGGATAACTAGAATTTGATAGAGACACTGTGTAGTTGTTTTTCACTTTATTTGTTTTGGTAAGTCTGAAAATTGTTTGTTTCATTCTATACATTTGCAATTTTTAGTACTCCCAATAAATTTTAAAGTTTCCTTTTTTCAAGTGAGTACTTCTTGGTAACTCAGTGATCCTGCTTTGTGCCTGAAGAATCTTCAATATGTTTTTCTTGGATTCCTCTTCAGGTACACTGCAAGTTCATATGCAGATGTTGAGGTGAGGAAGAACATCATCACTTACTATGTGGACTTAAGAGTCCATACTGCTAATCTTCCAGAGTTGATTTCCACAATAGTCTTAATCGTTATTTTGAGACATTTTACATTAATTTATGAGTTATTTTTGTACGATTTGCATCAGTTTTCAACATTTGTAAGTCATGTCATAAGAAATCAAAACATCTTGCTAGTAATGTCAGCTCATGGAAATGGGACAATGAGGAAAGATAATTCCAACGATGCCACCTGGTTGCAAATAAATCAGGTTCTTATGCAGGCATCTGATATCAAATTCTAAGTCACTGGAGGCAAACAGAAATTGTCTGAGCCATTAACTATGCTTCACTACAATTAATTTTGGATTAAATTCTGTTTGGAATGCTCCTGAGGTTTGCTCATCTGAATAGATATGATAAGTAATTATTATTTTACTCTATCAGACCAAAGATAAAGATGACTGCATGTGTAGATGTTATTGAAAGCTAATTTGAGTTTGTATCATTTTTTGTCTTCCTTCCTTTTTTCTCTCCAGTCTTGGCTAGCTGTTGGAAATAGTATCAGAGCAACAGCAGCCACAGGAATGAATGACAAGAGCAGTCGCTCTCACTCTGTTTTCACCATGGTCATGACACAGACAAGGGTAAAGCAAACAAACTTGTTTGTCTTTAGACTATGATCTTTGAGTTATGCATTCATTTTCATGGAGTTTCATGTGAGAAAATGAAGGCTTTAATCCTAAAATGAAATACTTTGCTTTCCTTTTTAAATAAATCTCAGCCCTTTCAGTGATGGGCAAGAGATAATATATTTAGTCTGCTTTGTTGTGACTTTGGCCTTGGAAAAATCATTTCCGAGAGAAAGTATGAATTGTGTGTACCCTTCCCTACTCACCCCATACAGTATACTGTCTGTCAGATGTATATTAGCTTCTTCATGGATTGATCTTGAACACTTTCAGATCAACATGAATTAGTTAAATGTGCCTTAAGGTGAGAAAATACAACGTATTTAATGGTTTTCAGAACAGTTTTCATTGTTTATTTTAGGGTGGTTTATAAATTATACATTATAATGATTGTCAATCTCGTTTTTACTTATAGACTGAAATATTTGAAGATTCAGAAACACAGATGACCACAGCAAGTAAAATAAATCTGATTGACTTGGCTGGAAGTGAGAGAGCAAGTCAGGTGTTAAATGACCAAGTGATCAAGACATCAGAGATCGCAGCACTAAGACTCAAGGTAATATCCAAAAAAATGTCCAAAGGACAAGCCACTTGTTAAATATCATTAATTACCTTGTGTGTTCAACCCACTCAAGTATGAGTGATTATTTATGGCATACCTTGCACATAGCAAATCTGTTTATATGGAAATAGTTATTATTTTAGCATATCAGTCAAAGACATTTATTAATGACAGAAGAACCATGCCAGAATTTGTATCCTGAAATTGATTCCTAGAGCTTTTTGCAAGAACTTCACAACTTATCAAAGTTTCCTAAAGGATAGTTATGCAATGGAAGAAAAACAAAGTGAAATAAAGAAATGCCTTGCCCAGTATGCTAAGTGAGAAAAGGAAGAAAAACAAAATGGAGGAGTTTATGGTTTTTTAATTTCAGGAAGGAGGCAGTATCAACAAGTCCTTACATACACTTGGTAAAGTGATATCTCTACTGTCAGACAGAGAAGCTCAGTCTAAGAAGAAAATGTACATACCTTACCGAGACTCCACTCTGACATGGTAGGTACATGTATTTGGTAAATGTTTTTTTACTGAGTGTATAGGGTACAAAGTATCTGTAAAGAAATTATTCAGTATTTCAGACCTTGATTGCTTAGTAGTTGGTGGATTGTTTCTTACTATTCTTTGTTGCCATTGAAGCTTTGGCCCTCTCAAGGTGGCTAATAATTATTGAGAAGTCACAAGTGAAAAAATGAAATAAACATGGTTCTTGTACTTTGCAGGTTACTGAAGGACAGTTTGGGGGGAAACTCTAAGACAGCGATGATAGCAAACATCAGCCCTGCAAGCACTTCATTTGGAGAATCACTGAGTACATTGAGATATCCTTTTTGATAGAAATCAGAGCTTCCTTCCAAGTGAAAATAATATTTTGCCATGCCTCTTGACATTCTTTTATATTTTTGTGATTCTCCTGCTCTCCAAGTTGAAGAGAGAAGTTATTATCACTGTTACTTGTGGCTCATTGGTCCTCACAACATGTAAGCTGCAATTATAATTTTTGATAGGAGAGCCCCAAAAAATGATCAAGCTTTGATGAAATTAAACCTGTGCCCCCTCACTACACGTTAGACGGTACTATCAACTACGATGCCACATGTTTGAGACAGGGCAAATTTTAATGGGTTGTTTCTGCCATGAAAAGAAATTTCACCATGAGTTATTTATTATATCATTGATATATTATTTCATAAAAGTATTTATATTTTCATTAGTGATTCAGGTGACTCATGTGATTGGCACCCAGTAGGTTAACATAGCTAGGTACTGTTCCTTCTTTTCTTGACTACTCTCAAATATGCCCAGAGAGCGCGTACGATCGTCAACAGAGCAATCATAAACGAGGATCCAAATGCAAAAATCATAAGAGGTAAGTTGATAAAATGTGAGTGGTACATGTTGGTGATTATAAAATGTGTTTTGCCACTGTAGAAGTGTTTGTAAACAAGAGAACACGATGAAAGAAATGGACCACAGGAAAAAAAAATTTTCAGGAAGAAAATTCAATGTGGTTTACAACATAATATAGGGTACAGCTAATCTTTTTTTGTAACCTGTTTGACCGATGTCTTTTCTTCGGTAGAGTTGTTACTGATACAACTGGGTAAGGCTCGACTAGCACCGAAGTGCCCAACAACTGTCCAAAGTGAAGGGCAGGGTACCTTTCACCCTCCCTCTCTCCCCCCCCCCCCTTCTCTCTCTCTCCAGGGATATAGAGTGGCGAAGAGTTGTTGAGGATGGTGTGAACCGTCCATGGCTTGGTGAATCTTTCCCTGAGATTTAGAGTAACCTTTTTTATTTTTCTCCAGAATTAAAAGCTGAGATCGAGAGGTTGAAACAGTCTCACGTTGAGGGGAACCAGCAGATAAGCGCCAGAGCTCTGGCAGAAGTTGCTTCGTTGAGAGAGAAACTTAAGGAGACACAACACCTATTGGCTGAGTCAACTCGGTGAGTGAGTCTGTGTGCGCAATTTTTTTTTCCTTTTCTTTCCGTCGGCATTTCTTTTTGTGTGTGTTACGTGAATCGAAGATCCGTGAGTGTGTTTGATTTTTTTCGTTCCTCATTCTTTGCTTCTTTTTTTGTCGCGGTTTTGTTATCTAGAAATGTTAACGATTTTTCCCGGCGGCGAAATTTACGTTAGAGGAAATGGCTGGAAATTTTTCTAATCCAACAACACTTGAACGATCTTTCTTTGATTTCCATGTCGATCTTAACAAAAATATGATTTTCTGAATTTACTGATTTTGGAACGGTCTCTTTTCAGTACCGTTCATCTGCGTTCCTTCCTTAACAAGTATGGAATCGTGTTTCATTGTTTTGAGACGACAATTTCAGTCTGTACAATCACAGAGTGTAATCGGAGAGTTGGCTGTAATCGGACACCTGTAATCGGACAGTTGAAGCAGCCAATCATACTAAGTCCACTCAGCTAGATCCACCAATCACAGAATTGATCACAATAACCATAGAAACAACCTCTTATCCTGAAACAACAGCAACAAAAAAAACTGAGAAATTTGCCAGAGATGTTTGTCCTATATGTATTTGTTTTTTCGGAAATTGTAACAGTTATTATAAATTGGTTATAAGACTGAGTGGAGTCCAATTCTGTCTGTAATCATACTCGAGATTAACAAATCGGATTTTGGCAATCATTTGTATGATTACAGACCGAATTGGACTCCACTCAGTCCTATTACCATTATTAATCATTCCATTTCTGAACGCGGTTTCACTTGTGTCACCAACTAATAACTATACCTGCTGTCACAAGTGACTTGTTTTAGATTATAGTGAAAGTTTTTCAGGCTATTTCTTAGATGGTATATTTGATGTCTGTTGTTTCTGTGCTTCGCTTTTAAGGAACTGGCAGGAAAAACTTGCGTTGACGGAGAAAAGGAAGCTGGAAGAAGCAGAAAAGCTCAAGGTATGATGAACGCATCACTAGACACTTGCGTTTACATAAAGCTTTTCTCTTACTTAACGTAATCCTTAATTAAACTGCGTTTTCTTTTCTGTCTTTCGTCACAGAAAGCAGGCATCTCTTTTAAAGTGGATAATCGGTTACCGAACCTCGTCAATTTGAACGAAGATCCTCAGCTGTCGGAAATGTTGCTGTATATGCTGAAAGAAGGTTTGCGTTCCTGAAACTTCTGTTCTTAGATCAAAGGTGCAATTATTTGGTTGGTTTCCTTCTGTTTTCTGACGCCAAAGTTACAGGCTTGAAGAAAAAAGTTTTAAAATTGTATGGTCAGTTTCCCTGTTTTCCCCATGGAAATTTTCTCGATTACCAACAATGTGGGCAAATTCCCAGAAATGCCGCACTCTAACTTCAGTAGTCATATTCTCATACTGTTCTGCATACATTTCCGTTGTACTGACAAGGAGAATTTGTTAAAGAATCAAGAACTTACTAAGTTGTAGATTGTTTCCTTCATTCTTATGACCTTTATGCGGTTTGATTCAGGGGTTATTCTGTGAGGATGAATTAGATGCCAGACACCCCAAGGGGTTCAATAGGTAATCCAGAGTTAGATGGCGAGCTGAATTTCATTCTCTTGGTTTTTTATAAATTCTGCTTTCCTTCTACAGGAGAGACAACGGTTGGTCAGAATGATCATGATATTAAACTAAGCGGTGCACTTGTTGCTGAAACGCACTGGTCAGTCGATACTCAATCAAATCGAATTTTTTGTTTTGCTTTGTTATACAATTTAAGTGTTAGTTACATTATGTAACTTGGGTTTTGTTTTTCCTTTTAGTGTCTTGCGGAATAACGGGGACAAGGTTACAGTTTCACCGATAGGTAAATTATATCGTTCTTTTCTCCCTATCGTGTATTGATCGCCGCTTAATTCTCTTCTACCTGTTTTACGCATCAAGCGTAAGTGAAACGGGCTAAAAGAATGAATACTGAGTGTGATCTTCTAGGTGTGTTATAGTAGAAACGCGATTTTCGTTGGTCGATGTCAGAATGCACATCCTGGTGGAAATGTTTGGGAGAAAATGCTTGCGCTTTTGCTTTTCTGCTCTGTTCGCCTTTTAAAGCCCTGATTTAAACAAAGACGCTGAAGTCTGTGTGCCTTGAGCTTGTCAGGTTTATGTTTTTGCTCGAGTAGCAACTGGATGGTTATTATTGGTATTGCTTCTTTTGTAACGACTTCAAATTTTGCATTTCTTCTCTCTTTTTGTTGTAGGAGATGCACCAACTTACGTCAACGGTCAGCTTATTGTAGAAGAAACAGTTCTTCATCATGTAAGTGACATGAACTGTGATTTAATTTGTGGTCGATATTCTCTTGTTATTTTAACACGTCCCCACTCTTTTGTTTGCAGGCTGATCGTGTGGTTATTGGAGGGGATCACTTTTTCAGGTACTGGACATTTCCAGCCTTCCTTCTTTCTCCCATTTTCGTTTTCTCTTGTATTGATGGGAACAAACGAATGAGGAGTTGTATGATTTCAAAGCGATTCAAAAGGTTACCGCTGTCCATCAACTGAAATTGATAACTACGTTTTTGTTTTAGATTAAATCATCCTAAAGAAGTGAAGAAGAGAAAGATGAGTAAATCTGAAGCTCCAGAAGGGAGCAGTCCAGAGGCTGCTGTTTTAAAGGACTTCGAGTTTGCAAGGAACGAATTGGCTCAAGCACAGAATGCAAGGTAACTTTGGATTAGTTTAGAGAGATCTTTCGGTTTAGTTTTGACACTGATACGGTACTGCTTTGTTTTTTCGTTACGTTTGGTCACTCGTATTTTGCTTGTTTTGTGGGTTCTCATCGGCTTCTTGTGGTATTTCCTTTATTGTAACTGGCCGTTGCGATTACTTTGGATTCGGATTCGATTTTACGATACTCATTCGAAAACTTCTGTACGTGGTGAGAGTGCCAGGGGGAGGGGGGGAATCCAGTGAGGATTTTTTTTGTTTTTCCTAATGACGATCAGTGTCGATCGTCACAATAATATACAGTGCAATGAGTTGATAAGGAATCTCAGAAGGAAAATTTTTTGGGAGCATTAACTGTACAACATTTCGCTGATGGTAAAAGCGCATGGTTTTAAACTTCTTCTCATGAATTAAAAAAATTCGGTCCGGATTGATTTCAACTCTCTAGGCTTTTTAATGGACAATCTTCTTTCCTATCACAGGCTGCAAGCGGAACTCGAGGAAGCCAAAGAGGAAGCGAGAATCCAGGCTCAGGAGGAAATAGTGGCTCGAATTCAGGAAGCAAAGGTGATCATGATCATCATCATTGCGGAACTTTGAACGAGAGGAAAATCGATGGGTTTAATAACCGTCCATTTTTTTTCGAGCAGGAGGCTGCCCAGCAAGAAATGACGGAGCAGAAGCAAATCTACGAAGAGAAGGTGTCAAATCTACACGAAGCCATGGTGAGTGATGATTGTTTTAGTGGAAGCCTGTTCTTTCAAGGCTGTTAGTGCTATTCAATTAATTGTCGGAAGTAATCTGGGATTGCGTTCTTTACCACACTCTGTGATTAGTCTTAAAAACCTCGCGCAACCTCTTAACCAATCGGATGAAAAACTAAAACCAATCACGATTTGGTTACTCAAATAGGAATAGCAACAGTCGCCTTATGCTACGATAGCCTCTTACAGCCTCTTAATAAATGGAGACGAGCGAAGAGCCTGCAAGAGACAAACAGCGGTTGCAATTGACAGAGAAACGGCTTCGTAATAGCTTCCTTTCACGGACCTCCGCCGCTTTTCGTGCGCCCAAATTTTTACTCGTTTCCATTCTCCAAGAGTCTGACACAGGCTAACGCTACGAAGACTGGGCTGAGCTCCACTAGTGATGGGCTGCTAGGGTTGGAATAATTGTTTTGTTGCCAAAGATCGATTTAAAAATACATTGGAAGGCTAAGTTGTTTCTTATTTCAATAGGAATCTCTCACCACTGAAAAGGAACAAGCTGAACAGTCGAAGCAAACAGCAGTGGAGAAGATTTCTGAATTAGAGGCACACAGACTGGTCAGTTGAAATTGAGCTGTTCCAAAAGTGTGATGAAATGCATTCACTATAATCACAAATCTCTCTTTGTTCGCTCTTTATATTTGTTCGACGGCTGCATAAATGACAGAAAATAACTCTGCTCTCACTTTTCCATAGCTTCTAGAACAAGAAATCCTGAACAACAGAAAGAGACTACAAATGGAAGCACTTGCTGCCAAACAGGTTAGTAGCCGGAAACTGAAATTCTTATCCTTTGAGTTGGTTGGTACTTGGGCTTAGAGTGTTACAATTGTCGTCTTTTTAACATCTTAAGTAGAGGAGAACTAACGATCCTCGTAAGGGTTCAACATGATATAATGAGCCTTTTGCTCTCACCATAAACTAACGATCATTGTAAGGGCTCAATATAATATAGTGAGCCTTTTAATGTCACCATGAACTAACGATTATCGCAAGGACTTAATATAATATAATATAGTGAGCTATTTGATCTCACCACGAACTAACGATTCTCGTAAGGGCTCAATATAATATAGTGAGCCTTTTGATCCCACCATGAGTAAAAAACGTTTTCGCGGTACAAGAACCAAAGGCACGGACACTCTTCGTTGGTTGATTCTTGTTCACCATTCCACTTCACTCGGTGAATGACGTAGCCAAGTTGTCACGTCATGTCAATACACTCCAGCAACTAATGACCACCGATCTTGTGTTGCTGTTGCTTTTGTCTTTGTAGGCTTTAGAAGAAACCAAAATGAACCAGGTACGAATAATCACAGAATTGGAAAAAGAAAAGAAGAAAATGCAAGATGATGTACTAAAGCTGAAGGAGGCCAAGGTACGAATATACAATAACAACAACAATAACAACAACAACAACAACAACAATCTTTATTTGTTCTCTCTCTGGCCTTATTAGCTATAACAAAAAAATGTGAAAAATAAAATTAGAGTGCTTGCTGCCTTGCCTACCGGAGTCAGGCAGCAGAGATTCTCCACCCCGAAAAAAATGCTGATTAGTCGATTCAATTTACTATTTATTTCTGTATTTTAAAGTTATTCTGTACGAGTTTTGCTGTTGATTATGTATTTTGTTTTGTGTCTTCAGCAAAACCGCGAGAAAATACGAGAGGAATTTAGGGCATCTTTTAATAGTATGGGAAGGAAAAATTCCTTAGCAGGTCAGTACAGTGAGCTTTGTTTCAGTGTTTGGTTGGGTTTTACGTGCACGATGCTCCGAATGCTTCACAATCGGTCGATTTTTCTTTATTTTTGTTTGCTTTTGTTTCCTTCACGAATGACTCGGTGCCCTCACTTTCACAGATGATCCAAACAAGAAGGAATTGTTGCGTATCACCATGTCTTTAAGGGAGGCCAACAAGATCAGCCAAAGCTTATCAAAAAACATCGTAAGTGTCCTTCTCCATGTTTGAACCCTAAAGTAATTTCAGTTGACTGTTTAAAGTAACTTGGGATTACTTTCGGTTTTAATTTTTTTTTTAAGTCGTCATGACTTTGGTAAAGCATTCTCGCTATTGCTTTCTCCTTCGATTTCCTTTCGTATCTGTTTGTCGTTGATTATTGTACACCCCGTTCTTCCCCACATCGTTCTTTCATTTCTAAAATTTTGAGATTTTCTTTATACCATTGCAGACCTTTAGCCGGGATGATGTCGTAGTCGACGGAAAGGTAATTTTGACTGCTCACGTGAGCTTTTTATTTTAACATTTTAAATCTGAATCGTTGCTTTGTTGAAATCATGTTCCTTTTTCACACCAGTACAGTCATGATTTTGTGCATCAATCCCACGACTGAAATGATCTTCAACTTCTTTAACACTTCAAAGCAGGTCACGTTGCTTTAATAAACTTACGCTAGCACGCGTATCCAGTCAACACGAATCACCATTACTCTGAGCTCCCTGGCCAAAATTGTTTATTTTCCAACGATTAGTTTCCCTTTATTTCTTTCAAGAAATTTACTAGAGTAGTGGTTTAATTCAGACAATTGACATGTCTAGTATCACGGTTTTGATTGATAATAACGTTCTCTAATTTCTATAAAGAACTGTTTCAGAATAATGACAACAATGTTAGATTTGGCAAATCTGGCTGTACAGTTCTGATTAATAACGAAGTTCCTTTATTTCTTGAAGAGGTCTAACAGAATAGTAGAAGGCCTGTGTGTGTGTTGGGTGGGGGGAGAGACTGTAACCCTCGTGTCATGTTTTTTTACATTTACCATCTAACTCAACACCCCTTTGACCCCTAACATAATATAATAGCATGTAATTTCTCCTTACAATATAGCCCCTGAATCACGCGTAAACGTCAAGAGAATTATGGAAATGTCACCAACTAAAGAAGCTATTGATTGTTAAGCAAATTCTTCATGTCAGCAGCTTAGTAAATGTACAGAGAAAAGTGAGGAGAATGTGCATACTGATGTCAGGGTATATAGGGTTAACTTTGTGCATTTTCCTGTATCGATAGTCGGAAATGAAGATTCGTTTGAACAATACAAAGAAAGGTTTAACAACCCTTTGGTCCTTGGAGAAATTTCAAAGTGCCTTGGAACAGATGAGAGAACTTTACCAGGTATTATTAGAGTAGAGGACTTCCTCTAGTAGGATTTGTTGTGGATGAGAATGAAAATTATTAAGTGACGCACGAGGAGTTGGTAGTGGTTGTTTTCTTTCTCTTTAAGTTTCCGATTCTTTCGTTAGCTCTTTTCAGTCGATCCCAAATACTACACGGAATTTAAGATGGTGTTGAGAACAGAATCTTTTTTAAAACACAATTGTCCCATTTTTCTGTGTAATACGGCTCTTAACTTGCCTATATAGTATACAGTATGACACATTGATCGTAATGTCGAAGTATGTGTTTTAAAAACCCTCTCTTTGTTTTTTCCTTTTTACTTTATTCAAAACAGCAACGTGATAATGACAGCATATCAGGAGAGTCTGGGGACGAAGTTGATCCTTTTAATGACCCGGATGATAAATGGGAGAAGGATTTCAAATTGGACTCGGGAACTAACAGGTATATGTGGCTACTCTCCTTCAAAGTCATATTTAAAGCGGTAATAATTGTAGTCTGCTAAGATCTTACTCTAATATAACTCTTTATCATAACTTGTTTTTTTTAATCTTCTGCAGACGCAGTACTTCCACCAGTAGTTCAGGGCTGTCAGGTCGGACCAGGTCATCCTCGACTGGAAAGGCACAAGGTAGGTCCTGACATTTCTTCCGATTTAACCATTTAAGCATTTCTAGTGGAGTGTTTTCATTTTTGTTTGAGCCTGGTGTTTGATTCAAACGATAACCATGTTTAACCGCACCTTTTGTTTCAGGATTTTCTCCTAATAAAGCGGAAAGTATATTCGCCAAGTATCGTAATAAACAGACCCTGGGGTTACCTACAGAGGCTCCAGAGGCACCTTCTGATGTCCCAGGGACTTCATCTGAAAGGCCTGTTGTTACAGACACGCCCAGCAGACCTCCTATGGCTCCAATCGATAGGCGAAGTAAGGGTAATCTTTTCCATCTACTCATCGATTCGTTCTGTTGAGTTTTTTCGGGCTAAAATCAATTTTTTAATTTTCTGTTTACTTTTTTTTTCAACGTGGAATTTTTAATTTTCGAAGCTTACGATAAACTGTCTTCATACCTTTCTTCAATGAGTGCTTTTTGAATGACTGTGACCAAAGCGATCGCTACAGCCAATCAGAAGACTGAAAATATTATAAGAAGCCAATGAGAACTCAAAGTCAAAATTGCTCTTTGGCAAACCTCGAATTTCTCTTTTTTTTCCACTGTTTACAGGAAGCGAAACCAGACGACCTGGACCGTCCTTACCAAGACTTTGTAGAGATTCACTGAAGAATTATGTGGAGTCATTGAAAGGTATATATTAATGCAATGAAAGTTACCCAATTATCGATCGGATTGTTAAATTTAATTTAATTTAATTTTGTTTAATTTAAGTTGACATCTTGTCACAGTAATCCTGTTTAACCGGTTAGATTGGTATACATGATTTTTGTAGATTGTCAGTTGTGTATGTTTTTGCACGGAGTAAGATAAATTTCCTTAAGTGCTTGGTCACTAATGCGACACCATGATGTTTTTTTTTCAGATCTATCAGATCCGTTTGGCGAGCCAATGTATGAGAAAATTTTGAGAGTCGTGAAAGAGATTAAAAAAAGTGTTACCACCATCGTAAAAGCATTTCAAGATAAAGAAACGTCTGTTGGAGGTGAGGAAAACCTATTTAACCCTTTAGCTCCCAAGATCTCATTAGTAATTCTCCTTAATGTCTGCCATATAGTTGTTGCGATGTTAGTTTGGAGAATTTGATATTAGATCAACATATAATCCCCTAATTAATATTTTCCTTTATTCTCATAAATTGTCTGCTTGATATTGTATCAATATTGTGAAGAGAAATTCTGTCTTGATCACTCATGGGAGTTAAAAGGTTAAGGTATCATGGTGGGTTATGTCTAGTGAGAGTAGTCATTGTTTATATTTCTTGCCTAATGATGATTTCATCACACAAACGAGGTCTTCTTTCAACTTGAAGTCATACGTCCTCCAAAACATTTGTCGAGATCGCCTCAAGTTTGTCATGGCGTTATTTTTGCCAAGCTTCATAAATTTAGAAGAAAAATTCCGAGCTTGGGCGGACTTTGGCGACTTACAAAAGGAGTAACTGAACACCTGAACACAAATGCGTGTTTCACCCGATATTAGATCTTAAGGTGCCTTTCGGGGTTCTCTTTCAGAAAGTTTTTGTATATGTCTACCTTTCTAATTCATTGTGTGTAACAATTATCTTTCTGTTATCTTCATTTAATCGCTTTCGTTTTTCAGGTCTCCAAACAGAAGGTCAACAGTGCTGTGTTTCTGCCAGCATCTCCGTACAAATGCTCGTCGAGCATGTGCGAATGTGGGGCACCACTGAAATCACTAATGAGCCGTTTGTTGAGTTGAGCTCTCAGCTCCTTGATACTATCAAGCGATTGGCTGGTCACGTGATCAGCATCATCGAGGTAGGAGGGTTTTAATTTTTTCTATGTTTTACCTACAGTAATTTTGCATTCCATAACATGTGATCTTCTTGGTATTTATATTGTTGGAATATCTGTGGATCCCTTGAAAAACTTCTAAACATCGTTGGTTTAACGAGTTACTGAATACTAAGGGCGCTTTTCGATTGAGTGACGTAAAACAAAACGAAGGTATCACAAGGACCAATCAGAAGAAAGGAAAATACCTTTAGGAGCCAATGAGAACTCAAATAAAATAAAATAAAAAAAGAACCGGAAGCGCGAGAAAACGCGGGCGACTACGTCGAGATTGGTTTTAGTTTTGCATCTTATTGATCTGAATTTTTGACAGAGTGGCGTGAGTTTTCTGGACCAATCAAAAAGCGCAGAAAAACAAAACCTGTGCAATCTCGAATTTCTTTGGTCACTCAATTGAAAACTGCAGTATTACTTAGGCTGGTACAGTGTCTAATGAAAATCATGAGGAAATACCGTAATCTTCATAACAATCTGTGTCTATTCATTTTAACTCGGCCGTGCTTATTTTCGTTTAGATCCTGGATGGTTCGAGTACAAACACAGACGTTCTTGTTGCTGCTTTCACCGATGACGTCAGACACATCGTACGTCAAACGGCCAAAATGGCTGTTCTGTCTTCACAAGAAGAAAAACCAAAAGACGGGAATACCTCCGTGTGTGAGGATGACAGTGAATTAAACAAAGCGTTTGTAGAGGGACAAGACATGTCGATGGAGATTTCTGTTCGTGACTCTATATCTGCTATCAATGAAATTCAGGAACAAATTCAAACGGACAATTTGGACTCTGGCAGTACTGGGGTATGTACGAAGAAGCCCTTCGTGTTTAATCGGTTGTTTTCGTTTCTGATTGGCTCGTAATTTAATTGATATGCATCCGTCATCCAGTAATTTTTGGACCGACATAAGGTCTCTCCGTTTTTCCGAAAAAGTTGTTGTTGTTGTTGTTTTTTGCTTCTATCACAAACTGACCACTTTCTTCTCACGCTACCTTGATACAATAAGTGAACAACATTTTTTTTTTATCTAGATGGAAAGAGAAATCACAGAACATGTTCTCGCTCTCGTAAGAACCACCGGCCATTTTATTCATCAGGGACGTGAAGTGCAGGTAAATATTTTGCCCCTCTTTCGATTAGGTGTTGAAGTTATGTCATTACTCGGGGAAGGCTTTAGCGAAAGAGAAGATGAAGGACAGTTTCGACCCCGTACTATCAGTTTCAGCCCCCTCTGATACTGCCGCAAGAGCTGACCAGCTTTACAATTACACCGGAGCTCTTTTCAAATGAATTCCGAAAACCAAAGTAAAGGAAATCCCAGCAGATAATCCGAAGAAAGGAGCTAATGTGTTGGATATTAAACGTTGGAAAACTAGGATGGCCAAGAGACTTGGTCAACTTCGTTTTCCAACGTTTGACTTCAAGTCGCTTTTGCTTTTGATTCGGTGAGGAGGAGGTAGAACGAGATTTCTCGACCAATCACAGCGCGATAAAGCAAATTGAACAATACACGATTTATTCCAGATTTCGGTCGAGAGATATGTTCTGTGATATTAGGTGTAGATGAGTCAACGGTGGACCTGGTTAATTTTGTTAAAAATATTACTCTTTGTTCTACAGATGCAATTAGCAACAATCTCCAATGACCCCAGCTGCAAAAAGGACACAGGACTCAATCGACTGGTATCTGTAAAAAAGTTTGTAAGTAGTGTAAACACACTGCTCCAAAGGACAAGAGATTTAGCCTCGAACGTGCGGAGGGCCTGCGATGATATGGATTTAGAAAAACTTGTTTCGATACCAGAAGAAATCTGCTCATCGGTGGGAAATATTGTGCGGCAAAAACGAGCGTTTATCGAGACAGAATATTCAGTTTCTGTAGGGAGTAATCAAGATATTTTGGACGAAATGGAATATTTGGAAAAGAAATGTGAGGACGTTGAATTAGCGGCGGGGAATTTGAGGAAAACAGTGACCAAATTTTTGTTCCTGAGTCCGGCGCCGAAGTCTTTGCAGAAAAAGAGAATCTACAAAGTTTTTGGAACTGAGGATGATCACTCGGAGGACACATTTTACTCTCCGTTTATCGGAGGATCAAATCATACCCGGACACCTTTGGTATCACGCAGTAAAAACGACTTAATCAGCGGAAAAGAATCGAGGAGCACGCGCAAACTGTGGAGCAAAGAATCACCGCTTTAATTAATTCGTCAGGACACGTAACTGTTTGAACGAAAAATGTGCTATTTCTCTGAAGATCGATTACTGAAGTTATTTTCAGTATTTCAAGATTATTATAATAATACTCTCAAATTGGTCAAAAGACCCTAAATTATTATTTCAGACGAAAGTATTTATTTTCTCATCTTTGATAATTCTTGTCTGAAGGCATAAGTGTTGGATGCATATGAAAAGCAACACATAAAACACACGCATAAGGGTCAGCACAAACATCATACTTATTCAGGTGAATCCTGAACCGTACTTGTTTATGTTTGTAGAACAGAGAAAACCGAGATAAATACGAATGTCTTCATTTCCGTAACAAAACCGTCAATAATACTGGTGGCCCTTTGAATCACGATCAAGAAAATAAATACGCAAAGATAATTTTTCCTTATTTTGCCCATTTGTCAGAATCTCAAACTACCATTGGCTGAGCTACGAAGCTACATGTTGGAAGCGAGGCACGTTATCGTGGAATGCTTTTCTCGTAAATGAGTCTAATCACAATTGTACGGGAGATATAGCGAAAGATGGAAAGAATAGAATGTTTTCTCCTTCGCGTGAAACCTTGCGCTTCGTGCTCATCATCGGTCACTTGCGCTTTGCAATTGTTTCCCAGAGTGAAGGCGAAAGCCTGAGGAGAGGGTAAATCATTAGAAATAGCTGGAACTGAAGGACAACTGGATGTCGAAAGCGAAGGCTATTATGAACCGCTCATCTACGTTTCTTTTTGTGCTATTGTAGTTTGTTGACTTGAAATGAAGACGATATATTGCGATGCTGAGTCTCGATGGTAAAATTTTCCCCTCCCACCCCATCCCACCTCGACGAAAAGCTTCCTGAGTGCTCTAATGTGAGTATTTGCATTAAATCTCAGACTTACATTGTTTCGCAACTGTCTTCAGTAGGTTTGTTAACGTCAAGGGCTCGGTCAGTTCGCTTACATCTTGGGTTGTTCGCAAGCGTCGCAGATAAACTCAATAACGACTCAGAAGAGGTTCGCTACTGACTTAGGATGTTAACTTAAGACTCGGGCAGATGCATCAATGATTCAGGATAGTTCACGAAAGTCTTAGCGTACTCCTCTAACTTCTTCAGCTCGTTCGTTCTCAATTTGGCTTGGTCTGCTTACAACCTCGGTGAGTTAGTTGACATCCGATGTCAAGGCTTTATTTAATTCGCTATTATCTTAATGAGGTCTCTCCCGTCTTGGTTCTTTAACCCTTTACACCCTAAGGTCAGTATGCATATTCTCCATACTGTTATCAGTACATTTTTTAAGGTACTGACGAGGAGAATTTGTCTAACAATCAAGAGCATCTTTAGTTGGTGATCGTTTGTTCCACTCTTGTGACCTTTAAGTGTGATACAAGGCTGATATTGTAAGGAGAAATTAGATTATACTCACTCTTACGGGTCAAAGGGTAGTCTGCAAATGTTTTACTTCGCTACGACCATAAGTTGGTTCACTAATACTCAGGTCTGTTCGCTAACGGCTTCGTTTGATTCGCCAACGATTCAGGTTGGCTCGCTAACGTGAATGATGTTGTTCACAATTCATTAACGTCATTGCGAAATAAGTGGGCATCTCTTGTTGTCATTTAGAAAGGATGTCGTGTGATTTCGAGCGTTTGTGGTGGGAGTTGTTGTGGTGGAAACTGAACGTATACGACATGCTTTAACTTGACAGACACTTGACTCGATTTGCATCAGGCTCATCGTGGCTTGCGGGAAACTGTGTAAACAACCTCGAACAGAGTCAGAAGTAACGATTTTCCCAGAAATGTTTTTTCGGGGAGACGCTGTAACCATCAACTTGGCGATACTTCGAATCGATTTAATTCAAGAGTCGAGATAAAAATTCCCAATCGAATTATTAATATTCAACAACTTTGCACGCGAATTAATCGACCCTCGTTGAAAGATATCACCTTTCCCATTTGGAATATTGACAGCCCGACGGTCGCTGATTATCGAGTATGAAAGAACAGTCAGCTTTAGGTCTTTCCTTTTGAGTCAACCTGTTTCCTATTCTCTAACTCGTCTCAAGTACGAAGAGAACCTTATAAATTCATTTACATTTAACACAGCTTTGCAGCAGGCGAACGAGTTCGTATGTGTCGAGTTAATAACACACCGTTGGTCATTTCCATGTTATGAAATTATTTCTTTGAACGAGACAAAAAAACGGTTTCCTTGTAGTAATTTTTCATCAACAGACATGCAGTTTTAGGATTTTGAATAACTACTCTTTATATCGCATACACGTAATTTTGTTACATACAGAGTCTCATGTAAACTAAAACTTATTTCAGGCTTAAAGAAAAAAGTATTGTGAGCAGGTGTGTTTTTTTTCACATCCGGCTAAAATTTATAATCATCTTTCAAAAAAACTCTCCAAATTATAGACTAAAAAAATCAAAATAATAGCTTCAAAAGATAAAATAATAAACTTTGGCCGTTCTTAAAACAGTTCATATTCCTCGGGTATTCCAAACCTGTCTTTGTTCCAGATCACTTTGAGTATGATCAGGCAGCCGTAGCAGAAAGTGACGAAAGCGATTGCAAGTGCGATGATCGAGTCTAACCACCATGTTGAATGCATTTCGCTGTAAATAATCGTGCTTACAATCAAACCCAGGGCCATAGCGGCACCGCAGGCTGAGTCTATTGCATCGATCCTCAAAGCAACGCTCTGCAGTTTATCAGCGATACGATATTTCAACCAGAAGAAGGCAGAATAACACAGAAACCCGACCACGGAGATCGAAAGAAGAGCGAGTGTGTTTCTCGGTTCCATTTCGCTGATAAGGAACTCAACCGCTCGCGTGCACATCATCAGCGCAGAGAGTATGAAACATGCGGCTATTACGACACAAGCTTTTCGTTCTTTGCCTGGACCTAAGACACCATTAACTCCTTGGTAAAAACGCCAAACAATCACTCCAGATGATACAACCCCGAGCATAGCGTCGAAAGCGATCGCGAACGCCGCGGAACTTTCAGAAATGCCTGAACTTACGAACGACGCGATGCTAAGCATGAGTGTAACATACATCGAGGCGAAGGATACGGATAGTGCCGCGCGGCGCCAGCGCTGCTTTTCTTGCGCCGACAATCGGACTTTCTGTTTTCCTGTTTCATCGTCGTAAGGGGATACGCACGGAAAAGTTCCAAAATCTTCCTGAGGTTTCGTAGGCTCCGCTGTAAGCTTGACTGGCGACGCTTCATGTCCCAGCATTGGTGTTTTCATGACAATGTTGCTTTCCTCCTGTGCACTGTCCATGTCTAATCTTGAATTAATCGAGAAATTTTGTGGTTGTTGTCTGCTTTAAATTGATAGAAGTATTCTTATTTCTTTCAACTGACGTTTTTTCAAATGGCTCACAACGTCCTATTGATAGAAAGCCTTTCAATTCCCCTCTTTCGACCTTTGATGTTTTATATCGTTGAATACAATCTTCTTAAATCCGTTTGAACAAGATTTTCCATGAATTATACGCATTTACAGTTGTCATTAAGGCTTTACAGTTCCATGTTCCATCAAACGAAGATTTACTTCGAGAATGGCACCAAGAAATCCGGAAAACTCAGAGTTCCTTACCTTTTTAAAACAATAAAAAATACAAAAGCTGTCGGTTTTTTGGAATAAAAAAATCAATTTCAGAGACAAGAAGCTTCATATAAGAGTTAACATATCAGCTCACCACGATATGTTTACCGCTTGAGATGAAATATTGATGCCCACGACGTTAGAAATAGTTACCTCAGTTAAAAAGTAAGCGATGTCGGTAGAAAATGAGTCCGATATAAAAACAAACGATCTTCAAGAACGTTAGGTCTTCACGGTACCGATATTTCCTTAATTCGCTTTCTTAGTTCTCACAGAGTGTAAATGAAAAGCGAATTCGTTTAAGAATAAAATCATTTATGTCAAATTGAGGAAGAGAGAATCTAATAAACAGATGTTCTGAAAGAATCTTATTGGAGGATTGTATGTTTTGCTACTCATCGAGTGCAATATTCGACCAATCAGAAGAAATTTCACCGGAATTAAGGTGACTATAAATGATTTATTTTCTGCTGCCCACGATATCCTTTCAGTGTCTGAAAAAAGAAAAAAAAAAGAAATTCAGAATTAAATGGCAATTTATTTCTTTTTGTGAACTGCAAGTCGTGATAATTTTCGTGTGACCGTAAAAGTTGTGTGGGCTTAGCAAAAACATTAAGAAAAAGAGTCAACGTCTACAAAGATATGAAAATAAAGGAACAAGAATATGTTATTTTGAGATTGGGAACGTAAATTATTACGAGATATAAGGCACTTTTTGAGGCTTTTTCTTAAATCAAAAACTGTTTTATGCAGTAAGTAGGATTAGTCCACTCAGACGCTGTGCTTCACACGGAGTTATTTTGAGGCTGCTTCAGCACAAGGTATTGAAAAAATAGTTTTCTGCGATACACTTTTGCTCTTAATTTTCCAGTTTGAAAATGGGAATATTCAAAACCAGTGTCTATATTTTTTAAGAAAAAACCGAGTTTTCAATTCAGTCATTTTCACTCATCCTTGTTTTTTTGTTTTGTTTTTTTCACTTTACCTTCGTACTTCTATTTTGCTGGTCTACCGGAAGCCAAATGTTATACGAAGCTAATTTATCGGAGATTTAACAAGATCTGTATTTCACTATGTTTGAATAAACTTTATTGAAAACTGTAATCACCTAGCAAGAGATGATCATTCTCCAGTCCAACCTGATTTTTAGCAATTTCAGGAGTTGAGCCTCATTTGAGGGCTTCTTGACGCAAAACAATCGCTATCATTCTTTAGTTGAACATATCACACGTATATCTTGTCTTAATCATAGTGTCAGTGTAGCGACAATTTTATCTTATTACTATGGCGTTGAGCAGAGGACCTGAGTCGTTTCTTGTTCCGTCAGAAATCGCCGTAGAGGCTCTATGGCGTTCGTGTGAGTCCAAATGTTCCAATTTTTAGGCTTCTAGTACTAGTTAAAAAGTAAAAGTCAAAACACTGTTTTCGGAGGAGATGAAAATCTCCACAGGCTTTTTAAATGTCTCCAACATAGACAACCGCACATCATGCAGTCAATTTTGACGTGATATAGGCATGAAAATCGTATAGAGATATAAAGACTGTGCCAAATGTTTTCACTACGAGCGCTGGAACACGATTAAAGCTGATTTTCAATGTCGGAAGAATCCCAGGTCGTCGGGATTTCACTGTTTCCTGGCGACAAATCGTAAAAATCGGGAGCGTTTCTATTTTTTCGACGCTTTCCAGGTTCATACGATGGTCGGTGTTAATGGGAGATGATTGAAAACTCTTATTTTTGCTTAGTTCTTTTAATGAAATTTAATGAGAAAAAAATGCGGTTGGCGTTTCACTCTGCCTGGTGACGATCAACAACTGGAGAAATGTCTGTGTTATAATGTTATCCAAATCCACGCTGCGGAACCTTTTGTTTATTCCCGCCATAGATACAGGTAGTTGGATAGAAAAGCTTAAGTACGTTGAAGATAGTCTAAAGAGATTCTCTTAAAATGCTAGGCCTACGAGATCATATTGAAATATATTAGTTTCCTTGTAATTTCAGTATTTCTGGAAACAGCAGATGGTTCCCGTATGTGTAAATCCGCATTCTTTCCAAAGAAAACTGAAGTTTGGACAACCTGGGCGAATGTTATCATCGGAGCCAAATGAGGAGCTCTCCATCATTCCGCTGTTTTCGTCAAAAGAAAACGGTTGGTTTTCTTTCCTGCGTTGTTAATTGGCTGCAAGACTCAAGCAGCGTAAGTAATTTGTCATTGTTATATACCTAGACTTTCACGCAACAAAACGAGCACTGCGATTGGTGGATTCTTTTTCACGTATCCTTGTTCAAATTCAAATGTATCCCGACTGTGATACAGTTGCGCAGTTGTTGCCCTCGCGCCGAATACAACAGCATTTTTTTGCCACACGATTGTTTAGGGGAAAGTCTAAATATTAAATTAAAGTCACGAAAAATTTCAAGTGCGTGTTGGCTGTCCTTAATGTAAGATGGTAAAGTTTTGACGATAGGTACTATAACTTTGTCTAAATAGCTGGAAATAAGTTGGGTGGGACAACTGCAGGCAGAAATGATGGGTCGACCTGGGTTGTTAGGTTTGTGGATTTTAGGTAAAAAGTAAAAGCACGAGGTTGTAGGAGTGATGATGGTGAGATTTTTTGCAGTGGCCGGCAATTCTTGTTTAGCTACATAGTCGTTAAGCGTGCTTTGGACAATGTTTTGGTTGATGAAAGTGAGATCTTTGTAAATTTTTCCATAAAAGGAGGTGTCAGAAAGTTGCCGTAAAGCTTCTTTTTGGTAGAGGTCGGCCCACCAAACTCCAAAAGTTTTAATGATGACGTCATCTATGGGTCTGTCCTCCAATAGATCATAAGCGAGAACCAATCAGAATGCGTACATAGCTGAGCTTATTATATAAAAACCTAGATTCACATAGTTACTTGTTGTCTTCATCTTCGCATCCATCACACGTCAAGAATTCCATACCTTTTTTACAGTTTCTCAGACTTCGTCGTTTAGGTAGTGATAACTCTGATTTTTCCGAAAAATCAGAGGCAATGTGCCAGTTTTTCGATAAACGTGGCTATCCCGTTTCTGTCGTTCAAGCAGGCCACCACCGTGCCCGACAAATTGATCGACAGTCAGCACTACAAAGAAGGATAACACTGACCGCATTCCATTCACTCTCACATTTCATTTGTGAGGCGTGAGTAGTCCATTAGTCAGTGTGCTGGACTCTGGGTCGGACGGCCCGGGTTCAAGTCCTGGCTGGGGCATGACGTTGTGACCTTAAGCAAGACGCTTCACTCACATTGCTTCGTCTTCTCGGAAAGGATGTAAAACCGTAGGCCTCGTCTCCTGCAGGGTTGGGCGTCCTACTGTTATGTACCTGTACTTGTAATTGTACATTAGATGAATAAATAAATAAAATTTCACCCTCACAACCACGCAGTTAAATCTATCATTCTTAAAAACTTTAAATTACTCCAAAACGATTCAGAGACTGGAACTATCTTTTCAAAAACAGAGGCAACTTTTGGTCAGAAGTTCATTTTAAACCAATCACCAATTCGGAACTTACAAATGCGCTCGCTCACGATGCAAAACTTGTCCTTTCATTCATAAGATAGAGAAAATATCGGGACCCAAGAGATCCGTTAAGATCACTGATCACTCTACATGTACCTCCGCCAATGTCATTTACTGCATATCTTGCACTTCTTGCAAGAAGTTATACATTGGCGAAACAGGAAGAAGACAAGGTGACCGATTCCGAGAACACCTTCGCGACGTAGAAGGAAATGACAAGGGCGCATCCAAACCAGCCGCTAGACACTTAAATCTCCCTAATCATTCTAAACAACATATGGCAATTTGCGGCCTTTCCTTACATCTGGGCAGTTCGGAAAGCCGCAAAACGCTAGGACAAAAATTTATCTTCCAAATCGGCGCTCTTAATTCCCACGGTATCAACGAGCCGTTTTCATTCAACTAATTTATTCTTGTTTTCTCGTCACCATATTCCCAACAATAGCGTAGCTCCATTTCTTGCATATAAACCCACACACATTGTACAGTTGTGTACTTAGTTGCCAAGCCTTTGATTTGGAGTGAGGCTGAAGGTGACCTTGTTGTGATAGAGACCAGTATCTAGTTAGCATGATAACAAAGTAATTTGCATTTGAAAAGCAGCAAGGTTTGTATCTTAACAAGGCCACCCTTAGCCTCATTCCTGTTCAAAGGCTTGGCAACCAAGCACACAACTGTAAAATGGACTATTCCTCTAATCGCTCTGACGAAGGGCTAACGCTCGAAACGTCAGCCTTTTAACTCTTTACGGTGGCCAATTTACGTTTTCAACTCAGTTGTCAGCACTAAATCACCTGCTTTACTCTTCCACCGACGCAGCACCACAGTTTCTTTAGAAATTTACCCTCTTTATTCATTTGTCGTTTCAACATAAGTTTGTGCAGTCTGTTCAAGGTCTCACCCCTGCATCTCGACTTGTCATCGATTTGAGCGTAAAAGCTACGTTTTCAAACGTTCTTACACTTGCATTTTACGCTGAACATATCTAACATATCCTTTGAAGAAGATGCAAATTGGAAAGAAAAATAGAATGAAAAAGAAAAGTGAAGAAAAAGAGAGACAAAAAAAGTGTTTATGTGACCTTGTACCCTAAGATCGACCCGAGACAAGAAAATACAAACGAACATGAAAGCGATCTTCGCAATAATGAACACTACTTAGGTAACAGTGAAAATAAGGCCTGAAAAAAACTCAGGCCTGTACGGAATTTGAATCAAAAGACAATATACCAATTGCACTCAACATTCGTTCTGATAATACGAAAAATTGTAAAATTTGTCCGACGCTGAGGGGCCAAGAACCTTTCGCGTAAAGACAGCCTTTCATTAGCAGGAGCCGCCACAATTTCGGAGTCTAAGGGCCGGTTATTAAACATAGTTTAGCTACTGTTCAACAAAATCGCATTCTAAGCCATCTTCAATTTGGCAAAACCTCTTATCTGAACATTTGTTTTGTCCACAGTTGTTAGAGGGCTGGAAGTGCATAGTGGAAGTAAATTTATCTCTTTCACAGAATGCCTTAGGCCCAATGCTTGAGTGCATCGCGGTTTAGGTTAGACCTCGAGTAAATGAACGTCCTCAATTTCTCATGGAAAATAATTACATCCTAAATTCGAGAAGCCGCTTAATGCGTAAACCACACGAGTCGAGTTTTTCATTTATTAACCCGTTTATTCACCCATCAGTATTATCTTTTATTTTAAGATGCTATGGATGTACCTCAAAATTATTTCCTCCTGTTCGGGACCTGTACTTCAATTTTCTTTGCTTGAGAGGCTCCGAGAGAGACTAAGCACAGACTAAGTACGTGAAAACGAGGACCGACAATTTATTTTTCTTTATTTTACTTTATTTTCCATCTAATAATATACATGGAAAAATACTCAGTTTTGATTGGTTATAACAAATGCAGTTTTCAGGTAATTCAGTGCAGAAGAGAGTTAATTCAGTGCAGAAGAGGGTTAATTCAGTGCAAAGAAAGAAAAAAATCAGACATTCTGTTTGGTCAATGATCAAAGAAACTCGCAGATAGCCAATCAAATGCGAGCCTTGGATGTCGCAACAAAATTTGAAAATTTGCGAGCGAAACAATGGCCGGCGTTTTAAGTAGGTTTTCTTTCGCCACCGCAGCTGAAAAACAGCTTAAACAACGAAAAGATCGTAAAAAGCACTGCTTTTTGGTTGTCCGTTTGGAAAAAGTGGTGTTTAGAGAGGGGAATTGCCGAGGAAATCGAAAATTACGAGCCGACCCAGCTTAACACTTTGCTCGAGCGATCCAACGCCGAAATTTAAAACAAACATGGTTAAACCTCGGAAACGACGATTCCATTTCATCGAAAGTGATTCGGACACAGACTGAACAATTCCTTGAACTGTTGAACCGGACTTTGAACTTTTTTGCACCTTAAAGATGTGAAGATATCATTGCATATTATTATTTTGATCGTACGCAATTGTTTTGACCGAACGCACGGTTTGAATAAATTATTTTTTGCTCTTGATGCGCGCGCTTTGCTTATGTTTAATTATGATAGACCATCTTGCGCTGTCATTGGTTGAAAGAGCGTGCTCTATGAGAGTATAGAGCATAGAACTGAGCTAAAGCTGTCACGCCATCTGCCAAATTGTACCATGTTTGACCTTTTCCGGGACTTCTTTTTAGCTTTTTTCCGATAATTGAAAGTGAAATTCGGAACAAGCGAGCCGGCAAGTAGTAACAGAAGAACCAAAGAAAGGTTTTTACACATACCAGGCGCCGTTATTTACGTTATTAAAACGTGGGCAGATACGAAAATCCTCAAAGGAAAAACAAAATAGACATTCCGAGTTTTAAAGATTTTCACGCTCAGTTAGATTGCAAGCTTACGTACGGTAATGAAAATCAAACACAGCCAACACTCGTATAGTATATAAAGTTCAGAGTTAAAAAACAAAACAGAACAAAACAGAAATGATGAAAAATATAACCAAACTGGCATAATTGTTAAAATTCATACTAATCATGACGGTGTCTGAGCAAATATGATCATGCTGAAGTCCATCGCGGTTCACTTATCATGCCGCCCTTCGAGTGAAAAAATAAGAGCTCGCTCTGATATCCTTTCCAATGTGTTGAGTGGAAAGTCACTTCAGTCACTGCAGCCGAGTTTTGCGGCGCTGTCATCCCGAGCGATCTTCATGTTCCGGTGAATTCGGCTGTCGTTCATTTAAAAAACACTCGCCTTGAACAGTTTGTTTTCTACCTTGTCATGTGAAAAAACCCGCGTGTTTTTATGAGCCATAATTCGGCTGAAGTTCACTGAACATTTCACTTCAAGATTCTGAATTAAAAACTTCAGGCAAAAGCGTTAAATTCGACCTGCCGAATTATTTTAGTTTGTAAACTATCGCAGAGTGTGAACTTTGATGGTTTTTGAACTTTGATGGTTTGACACTTTTGACAGCTTTTGTCTTGTACAGCCAATCAGATTATTTGAACCATTCTAACAGGGATTCTGATTGGCTTATTGTAGCGTGCTCTATGAGAGTATAGAGCATGCTGACGGCACTGTTCTTCGCTTTGGAAATAAAGTTTGTTTTGAAAATTGAAAGTAATACCTAGAGAATTTAACGGATTCTTTACTATAAAACAAATAGAGAAGCCTTGACTGTGCTCTGTTCTGTTATAAAGCACGCAGGAAGCGGCTAGAGCACTCAAGAAGTGGGAAGAATCACTCGACTACGTCTCGTGTTTCTCCCTACACTTCTTTCGTGCTCTAGCCGCTTCCTGCGTGCTTTATAACAGAACAGAGCACAGTCAAGGCTTCTCTTTTTGTTAATTTTTCCATGTATATTATTAACACGTAATCACATGATTTTTCTCGTGCAATTTGGAATAAACAAGCACTTGTTAATTTTTTCAAAGACCACAAATTGCACGAGCCCGTAGGGCGAGTGCAATTTTGTTAGTCTTTGAAAAAATTTACTCGTGCTTATTTATTCCAAATTGCACTCGAAATCAAGTGATTACCTCTACAAAACATCTAACAGTTTGAAATTGATAATCCTTCCCATATAATGTAACATTTCACACGAAAAAGTTTTAATTTTGGTTCAAGAGAAATGATCGATCATTTTCCCCCGAAATTTTACTGGGCGTAAGACTCAAGCTCCGTAATTTAGTTTAGATCCGTCGGAAAATTTAAAGTGAAGTCGTTCTGTTCTGATCTCTGGTTATGTTAATTTAAGAGTCGTTTTAAAGGCGCTGGGAGGTGGCTGTAGTTGTTGAAATCTGCTGAGAGGGGTCTGTTTTTCGTTGGTAAACCTACTTTTAAAGTCAGTCGTTAAAAGTATCAAATATTTGTTCGTGATCTGACAGTTACGTTGCATGTCTCACACTTGTTATAAGCTGGCAAACATCGATTAATGGATCTTTTTAAAAAAACGTTGTTTATCTTTCCATTACCTACCGCTTGCGTTCAAAAGACGTCGATCAAAGGCACATTTGTGCTATAGTATGACGCATATAGTAGCTATAGTAGCACTTCCTCGATGACAAACACTACTGCAGTGTGTCACATTTAAGACGGTAACTAATAAGTGAACAAAATACTGAACTCTGAGAATGTCGGCAGTATTGGACACAATAGTGAACGGAACACAGTTTCCGTTGCAGTTCGAATCCTTCAGCTGAAAACGTTGGAAAGACGCTCGCTTACTAAGTTCTACTTGTTTTTGCACTAACAGAAAATTCTCTCATCGTAATAATCGGTCTATACGACAAACGCAATGAGAAAGTTTTTTTACTACTTTATCGTGAACATGGCTATGTCCGACATGCTGTCTTCAATTTTCGTATTTCCACAGATTTTAACGGAGTTGTATTCTGACTAATGACCGATCAATGGTGCTATTGGTCAGTTCTTTGCGAGTTTGTTCCATTTGCATCCGATGTTTCCGTGACCATTTCAATGCAGAGCCAGGTTCTGATGGCAGTAGATCGATTCGGAGCAGTGGTACACCCCCGTCATAACCCACTCATCAGTTCACAACTTTGCATCCTCATTCTCGCCACTTGGATCACGGCCAGAGCTGCCAATCAGCCATAAACTTGTTGAACATCCCAATGGGGTCAACTGTCTCTGGGAAGGCTCTTATGTAGAAACATATGCTGTAATTGTGTCTTTTTTTCCCCTATCTACCGCTCTATACTCTATCATTTTCTTTAAGCTCAAGTCACAGAAAATGCCCATCTTTAAATATTTTCTTTTTTAAAATTATTTTTTGCCTACATCAAATATTTGCGAGTGGTACTATGGTATTTGCCCTAAGAAACATGTGTATTGGGAAAAAATTTAAAAGGCCCGGAAAATTTAAAAGTGATTTTTAATGTGTGTAAAATGTTGACTCTCCCAGGACGAAGGAAAGCAAACCAAAGTCACATCCAGCTTGTTACCAGATCGATTCGGGTCAATATTTGGTCACCACATGTTCCGTCAAAGGTTCTTTAAAATTATTTTTATATCTGAAGTAGGAGGAAAAGTAAAAAGGAGCATCATAAAGCATTTTAATGATAATTGATAAATTCATATAAATAGCATACAGATTTCAATTTTCTTCGCACTTACAGAATACCTGGAGACGAAACGAGGTCGATAACTGTGATTAGATATTTATCTTTAGGTTCCATTTTAACGTCAGCACTTCTTAAAAGCTTGTTGTGCAACTGGAAGAGTAAATGATGTTCCGAAAGGTCTCTTATATTCGGAGGCGCTAGTGATATCGTAAACAAACAGTGATGTTATTCAGGTGCTATTGACCCAAACAAAAGTGCTGCTAACAATGGGAATATAGGAGACAACTTATTCACTCAATAGATATTAAAGAGTCTTTAATGTCTTATAAAAGATAGAGAAAACTACTGGAGTTTTCGCCGAACACTTTGCGTAGGCAACAATTGATGAGATAGATTCGTAGCCAAGAAAAAGGTAATTTAAAAAAAAAGGAAAACAAACGCCTTGCTGGGCTAACTAATTTGCACATACTTTCTGTTTCACACCGCTCCTAGGCACCTGAGTGAAACTGCTATGTTTTTGTTCAAAGCAGAGAGCAATTAAGTGAAAAGTTAGAATTTATTCATATTTCCATCTCTTCTCTGCTTTTTTTTTTATTACTTGTAATGTCTAAAGCTCCGTGGGCGAAGTGTGATACTGCAATAATTGAATATTCTCTTTAAGTTTCATGTACTGACAGTCTGACGAGACATTAAAATTTTAAAATGGGTTAAGGAATATTTTAATTGCATTCAGCATAAATTAGACCTATCCTTGCAAAGAGTCATTGATCGAGCCAATAGATTAAGCCCAATGATTCAGGATAAAACGAGTGTATCTTCATGATACACTTGCAAAACAGACCAAAAAAATGCTGACAGCACCGTGTTACTAAATTCGTTCAGACGATGGATAAATCCACTTCTTCAACAAAAGAGGTGTTTGGAAATAGCCCCGGCGCCAAAATCAACAACGAGCAACAATCATTACTAAAAACCGATGGGGCTGATGACAAAAAAAGTGGGGAACTTCCATATGAGAAGTTGGAAAAATGGCGCAAAACGACCATTGTAATTTGCCTGCTCTCAATCGTCTTCACGGTTATGCTCGGGTTTGGCGCATTTGCAGTTTCAGAAATATCCGACAGCTCTTCGGCATTCGCGGTGGCTCTGGACGCAATACTGGCCGTTACTTCCTCTGCGTCTGTTATATGGCGGTTTTATTACGGAATAAACGGCGAGGGAAAAACTCAGCGAGAATGGAAGGCTTGTAACATCATCGCTGTGTGTTTTATCGTTTCGGGAGCGCTGGTCGCTGGGCGAGCGATAGTTAGTATCGTGTTGGACGAGGAACCACGGAAACCTTCAGTTTTAATAATCATGTCAGTAGTAAGCTGTGTGGGGTATTTTTTCCTCTTCTGTATTAAACTGTGTCTGGCGAGGAAATTAGACAGTTCTGCTTTGGTTGCGGATTCTATCGATGCCCTCAGTGGCGCGGGAATGTCGGTGGGTGTGATTCTCAGCACGTTAGTTTTGGAGTTGAGTAGATCAGCCTGGTTGATAGACCCAGCCACGGCCATCTTCATTGCGGTTTTAACACTCATTTACGGAATTGAAATTCTGACCAAGGTCGCGCGAGAAAAGAAACGAGTAAACGAACTGAAAAAAGCCGAACAAGAACTACAAGAGGGTAATGACATCTCAAAAGGAGAGGAGGAAATGGACGGGAAGTAAAAGATACTAATTAGAACGGATACTACAAGTTCTAGAAATATTAAGGATTTTAATATTTTACTTCCTCAAGATATCGGTGAACCAAAAGCATTTCTGTTAGTCTTTAATAGCATATTTTCGCCGCTTGCAGTGAAGATGACTTAAAATTTCCGCATTGGGTGATGCTGGGCAACTTTATCAAAAAAGGTGTTAATTTTTTTATATTCATGAAGGTTATTTTTCATTTTACCATTGTAACTGACGTTTAATTTGACCTTTATGGCAGAAGATAATCCTCTTTTGAAAAGGGAACTGAACTATTTTATCACTTGTGTCAAGAATTATCCAATACTATCACGAAGAGGCAAGGAAGCCACACTTTGCCTTGCTGGTAGAATCTTTCACTGAAAGACAATAATAATTTGGCTGTGTCGCTAAGATGCCAAGATGTTAAATGTTTGTGTGTACATCAGTCACACTCCTAAGCCATTTCTAAGGTCATCATGTTTAATGACAAAAAGAGGAAGGTTTAAAATGTTAAGCCCAAATGTGCATATTACTGGCAGCTTTTTAGCAAATTTTTCTTGGCTTATCATAAAAGGAAAGAAAAACTATTATTCCATCGATAACCATGGATTCAATCAATGTTTGGAAAAATTCAGTTTTGAGTTGAAATTCAAAATTTTTTTTAAAAAAATTAACAGTTTTTTGACTATTTCCACGGCTTACAGGGAAATGTTATTCATACTGGATCAAAGAATATTCAGTAAATGTAATTGGTTAAAAATGTCTTCTTTGTCATTTTTCAATTTTGTTAAAATTGGTTTAAGGGAGAAAATAATGCCGTGCTTAAGTGTATATGAGAGAGATTTTTGAAATTACTGCCCACATTCCTTTCACATCAAGGAATTCTGCCATTCTTTGAGACAGTAAACTGATCTGGGAGGAACATGCTCAACAATTCTTCATTAAGTCTTTAGTTTCTGTAAATGCTTCAAGGACAGTTAAACTCTAACTCAATATTACCAGTTACCAATTCACGCAGCAGAAACCGGGAAAGTTGCGGCACGGTTAAATCAACAACAGGCTCGTCAGCTAAATTTCTCTTTCCCCTATCTTCCTTTGGATCGCTGGTTACTAATAAAATATTTGGAGGCTACTGTAAGGCGACCCATTAAAACTACTGCAGAGGGACAGAGAAGTAAAGTCACTTAGATCTGAGGAACGAAACCATCGATAACTCATTGGAAAATGTTGCTAAGAGGGTGACGCAACACTGTGCATGTCAAGTTATGCTTAAGTTTTGCTTCTGACAGTTACGTGATGCAGAAGTGTCGCATGGTTTCAGTTTTATCGTGCTAAAACAGGATGAGAACTTGGTAAGTTTTCAACACAAAATAGTATTTTTTCTGTTTTGTCTTCAGGCAAGACTTCAACTCTCACAATAATTACCTCCTTCCTATCAATTACTCCTTATTACTTTGTTGTTACAGGCTTTGTTCAAGTATTGGGTGACGTCACGGCTGTATATGCTATGGACTTTGGACTCGCGATAAGAGTGTAATGATCGTCATTCGTGGACGGTGGTTTGAAGTTAGCGTTTTTTTTTTTAAATTATGAATTACAAGTCGAATTGAAAACCGTTGATGGTGGAATTAACCTTTTTCAATGCAGGGATATGATTATTATTTAGCTAAGTAACAGTTCAAGCCCTAAACTACTGTGGAGATGCAAAAAAATCCAAACAAACAAACAATAACTTAACGAAACCATTTCTATTGGTGAAACATTTTACATGATGACAAATTCATTTCCTTTGAGATACTTTCAATAATGAATGTACAATATCAATGAACCTGCCCTGCTGAAGCTCCTCGGTGTTATTTGAAGACCAATTTTTAAATACTGGCCTTCAGTAACACTATTTTTAGCTTTGTTATTGTTTTATGAAAAAATAAACAATTTTCTCGATAGAAAAATTGATTTACGATTGATCGAAAATATAGAATTTTTTAAAAAAATTTCTTTAACTTATATACTTAACTTTTTGGACAGCTTTATATCCTATCATTTTACAATTGCGTTCCCTTATTATTTAGCTGCCTTGCTTGGACGAAGACGATTCTGAAAAAAAGAGAAGTTTATCGATCAATAAGGGGAACTTTAACACAAGTGCATCTAACTGAAAGAACATTGCCAGAGAAAACTGCTACATTTGAATTAATTAGAGATTAAAATAGTCTGACCTTCGCTAAAACTCTAAAATTCCTCCCGCGTTAAAGTTCTGGAATGCAGTAGAAAGTGAGACCTTTTTATTTTGAGAGAATTTTAACATATCTTGCTCTTTGAAGAGCAGAGATTTTGCTCATGCTGACTACCACATGCGTGATTGTCATCTTATGTTTGAATCGTTCATTTGTTTATCTTGCACCCATCCAAGCTCTTATGTTTCTATTGATCCCTCCACGAAATCAAGTCTTCCCTTTCTGCAGCAGCCATGGTAACTGACCTCTAATTTTCCCCTGGCACCGGATAAGACCTTCTGTGAGACGGATACTAGAAACAAATTAAAAATTACAAATTAAAACTTTTACTGTGAAAGTAATTTTAAAACGGAGGAAAAAACAGGATGCTTTCGATTTAAGAATGGAAATATTAAAGTATGGTATTATCACTCCATCAAAATTCGTTTTTACTTTTGGTTACACGACCACGGATAATTTCTCTTGGCTGATGCTCCACAAATCTCAAATGAGACATCATCGCTATATTATGAAGGGGATTTAATATGGAGGAACTCTAAAGGAAATGGTAAATATCTCTATTGACCAGTATTAAATTTATCGTATACTTGATCAACATACCGACTTTTATGTTTAATTAAGTTTTTTTTAAAGATTTATCTTTTTTTCTGTAACTTGACAGCAAGCACTCATCATCTACCTCTGATCAAAGCTGTTTATGAAGGTTTAAAACGCTTTGATCCTATTTCTTCAACTCTTACTGGGTTTAAAAAACTTCAGTTATAAGTAATACCCTCCAATCAATCAAAGAAACGAAAGTCTTGCTTTTCAACCGATCAAGCTAACAATTAGAAACAGGGCATTCTCTCACGCGACTTTCACCCGCACTTGACACCACTAGTCTGCTTCACATGCTTGGAACCATTAGCGCATTTTACCCCGCTGGGTACTTGCTCCGAGATTTCCAGCGCACAGAAACAGCTTAAAAATTTTCCGCGCTGGATAACTGTAAACGTTTTCTCATTTTCAGAACCCAAATCAGTCGCTTGTCTTCCAGCGCAAGGTACCAATGATATGATTCACAGCGCTCAACGGCTACGCTTATAACCCGCTGAATGTTTCGCTGAAACAGTCACCACCTACAAGTTTGATGCGCTGAACGCCAATTTTAAGTTTTCCCGTCAGGGGCACTCTTTTTCCTCGATGGTCACGTTACATGCAATAACTTCTACTCTATTGCGGGAGGAAAGTTTGGTTCTGAACGACTCTCAAACGGGTTACATTTAGCGATGATCATAAGAAAAATTCGTTGTTTTAACTTTGTAAAACACGTTAGCAAACGAAGCTCAGTTTAGTTCCAAGGGCCATTGACAAATCCAAAGTAAATAAAGTTTGCTTTCATTCCAGATAAACGTAACTCTCACCGAGACAAAGTTTGAGTCACCAGTGAAGACTACATGTAAATTCTTTTAAAGATGTCCATACTAAGGTGTTCATAAATACTCACAGTGTTCAATAATCTCATCACGTGTGCTCTCCTTGACTTTATTTGTGGTCTGAAGAAACAGAAAAACTCGACATTTACTGAGATGGAATTTGAAAATGCCTCTGACAGTTCACGAAAAAGAAGAGGCAGTATTCTTATATCAAAAATAACCTTTCAAATCTTAATCAATTTGTTTGTGGCCCGCGCGAGGTTATTTTCGTAATAACCTCAACTTCTGTCTTTGCTTACTTGACAAACTTCCATTACGAACAAATGATCGACGAAAAAACACCCAACAACAAAAAAAAAACGAACGAAGAAAAAAGCACAAACAAGAAAGAAACAAAAACACAAAACTAAGTCCTCTTCGCTACTCAACCTTTATCAGAGCGAGGGTGAAGCACCCCTACAATGTGCGAACTCTTTTGTTACTAAGGTCACGTAAAATTCAATCGAAGTCGGCCGGCCACTTTCAACTTATGATAAGTTTATTTAAATTGAAATTTCATGTTGTACATGCAAGTTTTTTTTTTAAATTTACGTGATTGGTTATGTTATGGTGTTGCGTGGTTACATTTTGGAACAACGGCAAAGCTCAGTGAGGTGATGTGATATGTTAATACCATCTTAATTAAGACGCATGAGCAGTTTAGTAGGGATAAAGTTACATATTACGTTTGTTACCGTTGATCAGAAGACAGTGGAACTTTGAGTGATCAACGCTGGACAGGAAGAGAAAAAGAATCAGAGCAGAAAAAAAAAAAGACACGAAGCAAAGAGAACAAAACGAACAGTATGTTAAGTGTTTATGTTCAAGTTATTCACGATTATTGATCGTTAACAGTTAAATGAAAGTCAGTTAAGAGGTTACCAGATAATATTGAAAGTTAAATTGTTACTAAAAAGGCGTTTCAGTGAGTGAGTTACTAAATTTAGACAATAGTCCATTTTACAGTTGCGTGCATGGTCGCCAAGCCTTTCAACAGGAGTGAGACTAAGGGTGACCATATTATGATACAAACCTTGCTGCTTTTTAAATGTAAATTGCTTTATTGTTACGCTAACTAGGTACTGGTCTCTATCACAACAAGGTCACCTTCAGCCTCACTCCAAATAAAAGGCTTGGCAACTAAATACACAACTGTAAAATGGCCTCTTCAGTTTCCCGTTATTTATTAGCGTCAGACTCGATAGAATTGCTGAGATAAGGTTTCCTTAGCCGAGCATGACTTATTCCCTGATTACATTCAGGTTAAAAGTTTTAGTACAGGGACAGAGAGAAAATGACTTATGCGGTGTGGGGGACAATATACAATTCACTCTTGAACTACTAAGAGCGAACGAATTTGAATTTCACTTGTGTGACATTCAGATGACAAAAACAGTGAATGTGTTGAACTAAGCACTCTTACTCTTAAAAGAAAAGATATAGACAGTCATAGCAGACCAGTGATATTTCAAAAGCCAGCTAAAGAAAAAATTTAAATTAGTGCAACAGAGCTGAGTAAAAAATAACAGTGAAACCCTCAGTTAAGATCAAGCCTCACATCCATGTTTCTACAAGTGTTCTGGCCTACCTCGAGTCTTTCACACGCTCGTTTAATTATATCTTCTTGAATAAGAAGTCGGCGTCTTAATTTTCCAATTTCGAGCTTTAGACTTTCATTCTACAGAGAATAAGACGGAAAAATAAACAACAACACCAAAAAAATAAAGCAAAATAAAAGAACAGAGTTAAAATCCTTTACTCAAAACAATGGGCGAGTTATCTATGAACCATTACAGCAAAAGGCAAGATGTAGTTGCCGAAGAAAGGGAAGCCACGTCTGACGAGCACGCTCTGATTCGCATTTAGAGACAAAAACAGTAAATTTAACCTTAAGCGGTATTGGAACAGAGCACAGAAAATTTGCGAAAAAAAGGTCGCCACTACAGGTACAAAATCGAAAGTCAGCACAAACTCATGTTAATTTTTTTGCATGCATAGATATCTCGCGTCTTATTTTCTGTCGTAGTGGTTTCCCTGTAGGGAAAAAATAGCCTTACCTCTTTGTCAGAATCATCTGGATCACTGTGTGTACGCTGACGAGAAATGTCGACATGCAATGCCTTCAACAGCGCCTTGCATTGTAAAATAATTCTCAAAATATTTTCAATATAAGGCAGACTATCGGTCTGTAAAGGTGAGTAAAAGGAAAAAAAGAGATATTAGGAAACTAAACCATTATATCCGGCTTTAAAGCGACAAAAAACAAACTACCTGCGAGCTTGATATAACGCTATTGTACGCCTCAGTTGCAAACTTGTTTAGAGAGTCTAACTTCTCTTCAAGCTGACTCATAACTTGTTGCTCCTCGGTAGAAATTCCACCATTTTGTAAGTCTAAAAGAGAAAAAGAGTTTCAACTTGAAAAGTTTACCCATAAGAAGCTTCACTAGGACAGCACAAAATGCGTAAATGAAAAAGTATACTCAGGTATAATAATGGCTATCACTAAGACGCTCTACCTGTGACAGACTCGACAGTACCAATATCTTCCCCTCCCTTCCTCTCCGAGAAGTTCAGCCGTCGAGTGAACGTGCCTTGAGATCTGCTTGGAGACTGGGATGGTGAACTGGCAGGCCGACTAAGTTGTTCTTCAAGTCTAAGTCGCAATGCATTGTTGGTTTCAATACTTTTCTCCAGCTGGATTCGTAGGCTTCGGATTTCAGCCAGTAACATCGACAGGGCGTCTTGCTGTGACTCGCTGCTAGGACTTCGAGGTCCCTCACTGCCATAACTTTGCCCTACGGAAATGTCAGAAATTGGTTTACAAATCCATTTGCGGTTGAGTAACGAAACTGAGAACATCCATGTTAGTATTCCTTTCACTCTGGCTTTACCCTGTGATTTGTCTAGAAGACCTGAGCCATCCTTTCGAGCCATCAGAGGAAAAAAAAAACAAAAACAAAAACAAATCGCGAATTCGAGAGCTATGTTTTCCTGCCCCTTAGGTTGTTATCGCCACGCATTATTCCCTCAAAGCCTCAGTGGCGTCTTGCAGTGTGTACTTTTTCCCTAAAACCAGCCTGCTACAAAAACTAATAAAAAGCCACTGTAAAATGCTTCTTGAATCATTCAATAAAAAACGGTCGGCTCCAAAGGAGAAATCATTTTGCTGAGTGGTTGCGCGGTAGCTCAAACACGAAAATTGCGGGTTTAGTTTGGTTACGGAGGGTTAATTAGTCTCGAAAGGAAGTTTTGCCATGACCAGTAAACATACACCACATGACACAGGGTTATGGGAGAAAATATAAAGGATATGATTACAGAAAAAGACGGTCCTTTCAAATTTCCGAATGCCACAGATACATACCATCAGTCTGTAATTCGATGTTCCTTCCTTCGTTAGACAGTTTGTGGAGCTTCTCGTAAACACTCAATTCTTTTCTGAGGTTTTCAGCAACTTTAGTGCTCTCCAACATCTGTTGGCGGAGAAGATTGAGTTGCTCTTTGCCCCTGGATAAACACAAGGAAGTTGACCATTGTAAGTTTATACTGGAACGAGATAACCTGGCGTTTAGCAAACATGGCTTACTGTAAAACTTTCAGCGGAAGATGAACGAAAACAAGGGAAAAAAGTGTCCCTGCAACATTTCACATCTCAATCTCTTGGTTTGCAGTTGACAGCACAAACCATTGAGCTGTGTAGAACAGTTCAGAAACAGTCACCAGACTTACCTCGTTTGCTCTCGCGTTAATCCATCGATGGTTCTCTTCAATTTCTCATTAGATTGATCTTTTTTCAGTAACTCAGCCCGCAGTGAGTCATTCTCGCGAATTAAAATAATTTGATCAGGAGCGCTCGATGCACTACCGTCACCTGCCCCCTCGGACAGTCGCATCTCCAACTGCGCCCGCAGCGCATCGTTAGTGCGAATACTATCCTCTAAGCGCAAGCGCAGTTCGCGCATTTCAGCCATGAATCCGGCCAAAAGGTCGTCCATGTTGGATCGTTTTTGGCTGGTGGATTGCGTTTCGTTGGACTGATTGTGTAATCTGGAGAACAAGTCGTTCTCGTTCCTTAGTGTTTCGTTTAACTTTTCACAGTCTTTCAGTTTGCTCTTCAACAGATGATTTTCTCCCAGCAGCACTCTGTTCATCTGCTGAAGCTTCTCAATGGCCTCAGTCGGGGAATTTGATTGCGATGACCTCTCCCGCATCCCCTGGAAGACAAAAAGGGAATTAAACTTCGAAGAGCCCTCAAAATATTACCTGTTACAAGTTTACTTCAGTTACTTCAAGGAGCTTTAATGCAAATACTGTGGAACCGTTCTTCTAGTACCCCTACATTCTGAGAAAAACTGCATTTAAACACACAAGCTTTGATCCACTCTGAGCAAATACTCCTACAAGCTTTGTATCTGACACTTTCATTGAAGGGACACCAATCGAGCGGAAAATTTCTCTATACCTGCAGGTCTCCCTTGCATGAAGGTTCCCACTACATGCAAAAATTCTAGCGCTCAAAAGGTATAACATAATATACTTGACTGAAGGTTCATTTAGGTATAGTTTAAGTGAAAAAAATGAGACAAAAAAACTTAAATGCTTTTAATTGTAGAAAATTGAAATTTGAGTTGCATCCAGGATGATCAGAAAAAGAGCAGGTGTCTCTCATCACATCGCCCCGACCTAGTGGGAAACCCAAGCGATAACTGGAAGCACCACATTGGGATAGGAAAGGGGCGAGTGTTGGACAACTAGCTCGGTGACCGTCTAATCAGTTGACCTGTTTCTCCATTTACCTGAGGTGAAGCCGCCGGACTGGTTTGCGTTTCTACAAAACGTCTGGACGGCGACGAAAATGGAGACAGCGCTATGGACTGCATGTCAGCTTTGGACTGAAGTCTCAGCTGTAATGTCTCAATAACCTTGTCTTTCTCTTGCAATTCGTGCTGCAATCTAAAAATAAAAAAGGTGTTGATAAACGTCATGCGCGCGTCATGCCTGTTCAGTTGTGTTGTTAACATTTACTACATTAGCACTTTATATTCATTCAATAAACTGAACACTGTAATGAAATGCTATTTATAGTAACAAAGGTCGAAGAGACACGGAGTGTGGTCATTTCAGTCAGTCAACCAAACAGATGGAAAATATTTAACGGGTCAGTTGGGGGAAACATTGAAAAGATTCGCACCAAATCCTTAGCACAAGAAGAAAAGTCAGTTCGTCGATATCACTTTTAGATTGAGGAGTTAATGAGTAAAATTTCTATTACCACTTTCTGTTGTAACCTACAGTTACTATCAGTCGAGTGAAGCGCGACGGAAGTGCAGTGAAAATCTTTTGACGTTAAAATCGTGTTGTCACGACAAAATGGCTTCGTTACCACTGGCGACGCGCCTTTAAGTTTGGTGACGCACGGCTCTTGAGATTCGGTTACCACTGAAACCGAGGAAGGTTGCCCGTAACAACACCGTTAGTTTACGGTCAAAACCCCATCACCAAACTTTTTCCCGCATCTTACTCAACTAATAATTGTAACATGGACAAACGAAGAAAAATATTCTCACTTTTCAATTTGGGTTTTCACCTTCGCCGAGTGATTCAGGAGCTCAGACAGCTGTTTCCCAAGCTGATCATTCATCATTTTAGCCTCCCTAAGCTCACGCTGTACTCTTCCAACTTCCTCCGCAGATTTCCTCGTCTCTTTGAGCTGATCTGTGAGTGTTCTATTCAAACGTTGAGCATCTTTCAGTTCTTTCTGCATTTTTACTGCATCTGCCCTAACCCCTTTTATTTTGGAAAAAGATTCGTTGAATTCCCGTATCTGCGATCCTAACGATTCATTCATTTGGGTAGCATTTTGTAGATCGTGCCTCAGTCGGTTAACTTCGTCCTCGGATCGGGCGCTCTCGTGAAGCTGTCGCTGAAGGTCTTCGTTCTTCTGTAAGGATTCGTCAAGCTGTAGCCGAAGTTCCAGGACTCCATCCGAAGCCCTTGATCTGTCACGGTTCTTTCCCCGTTCACTTTCAAGAGCCTTTTTAACTTCTTCGTTTGTTTTGATACCTGTTACATATTCCTCGCGGAGTCTTTCGATTTCAGCCATCTCTCGATCATTCGCTTTAGACTTTTCTTTATCTCTTGATGCCTCCTGTAAAACGGAAAAAATATGACGAGGTTGGTTCTTTAATCAGGTATTGAAATGGGCAAACATCATACTAAAGTAGCTTGACGAAAATTACGAGAAAAGTGTGTTAAGCGCGGATCAAATGCAAAATATGCGCTTAAGCGTTGGAGGTGAGAACATATTCGTATTCCATTTGGGCACGCTTAGGAAGCGCCGCAGAGGAAACTTCACTTTACATAAAACATCTGAAATACAATATTGAAAACGTTATAAAACAATTTGTTTCTTAGTCAGCTGTGCATTTATTGAGATAAGAAAAACTAAGAGAGTTTGGAGACCATTCAAGGGTCTAGAGTCGTTTGTCGTATACGTCGCGAACAACTCTTAAGCATCTTTCACAGTCCCAAAATTTCCAAAGTGCTTCTCATCTCAATGGACGCTCGTATCTCATATCTTCATATCTCGATGTAAATGTTTGGTTTCCTGTGCACTAGGCCCAGTCTCTGCCAAGGTTTCGTCATTTGACGCTAGTTCAAACCTCGGCGCACTTGCGTTTTAATCACTTGTTATTTTCGTCTTTATTTTTTCGGATGAGGATCGTTTCACAAGACTCACATCGCAGGTAGGAAACATTACGGAGCCAATACGGTTATTGTAGTAATTTTCAAGGTTACGGATAAGGAAACTTGCTTATTTTTAAGGATTTCTCATTCGGTATTATATTCGAACAGTGTGCTGAGCGTAGTTGATCGGATCGAATAAAACGTGGAATTGACACGAAATTGACGGCTGTTACACTCAATGTGCTTAAGACTCCTGTACTATTTGTAAACAACGTAAATACACAAACTAATAATGTAAAGAGGACATATTTTCATGTATCCTCTTATGTGGGAGGCAAACAGGTTAGCTATTTACAAATTACAGGAGAGGTTGAACTCGTGGTGAACAAGAGACAAATCCAGTGAGTGACGGAGGAGAAAAACTGACTCTGCAAACCTCCAGATTTCAAATCCAGTTGCAAGACCAATTCCTTCAAAAGCTATTTAAAACCACACCTTTGACCAATTATGCAAAACAGGTTCCTCTGTGGGTCTCTTGTTGCACGTGATTTTTTCAAAACTCAGACCACTGAAAGCGGAGGCATTTGAGCAAACAGAACCCAACGCGACGAGACCACGGATAAGTAAAACGTTTAATGAGCAAACAATAGCTCTGCGCATGCCATTTAAAACTTCTCAAATGTCTCAGTCGTCTGCTGCAAACCAACAACGTAAAATTATCAAATTTTGCGTAGTCTGACTACACAAGTCTTGCCGGCAAATTTTTCCGTTTCTTCTTGGAACCTAACGACTCCTTCACATTCTTCGTCGTAGAGGAGGTATGACACGGTTTAAGACGACTTAAACATGGAACCACTCGAGCGACTCTTACTATATTCTGATTCAACACACGTACTTGCCGAATGTTACTTCAATCTTTTTTTAAATGCTTTCTCGGTGTCGCCATCCGACTGCTTTCTCTCCCTAATAAAAGGATTTGGACGACCAGATTTCTCGTCAGCCGTTTGTCGGCAACTAAAATTTTTAATTGCTCGAGCGAACGTTCGAGCCACAGGACACAATTTTGTATGTTTAGAACAGTACAGTATTTTCGCACGAACATCTGCTTTAACGTTAACAGGATTCTCAAGCATGGAAACCGCGTTTGGATCGTCTAAAGTAGGTTGTGAGTTTCGTAGATGGTGCAGCGTGATTAAACTAACAAACCAGTAGCACTGCATTGACGAATACGACTTCTGACGGCAAAACGCTTTGAAAATGTGAGAGAGTGTAAATTTACTTACCATCGCTTTAAGCTGTTGCAATTCCAATTCCTTCTCTTCCAAAATATTCTTGTACTGCTCGTTCGTTTGCGCACTCTCTTCTAATCTACGTTCCAGGTCCCTCAACTCATCACTTGACCCTTGAGTCCAGTCCTTTAAAGGCGACGTCTGCGCGGCCATATCCGAACCGTTCCGATCGTTACGAGCTTGAATCCGACGCAACTCGTCTAACTCGTGTTTTAAAATTTCCAATTCTTGTTCCCGCTCAAGCAGGGTATCGTCATGGCTACCGTTCAAACTGGTAGCATAATATTCTAGTCTGCTGTTTGCATCTTGTAACCTTCTCTCCAACTCGCTGAACGTTTGTCTCGTGTTGTCTAACTGCGTTTGAAGACTATCAATCTGTCGAGTCAAATCTGTTATCAGATCGTCTTTCTTAGCCAAAGTCTGTATGTGCAACGAATTACTATCATCCAGTTGATTCTTGAGCCCAACATTCAGCTGGCCGCTCTGTTTGAGTTGTTCCTTCAATTTTTCCACTTGCTGCAAAAGTGTAAAACGACGGAACATACTGAAAAAACAATCTAACAAAAGGTCTGCTTGCTAAAAATTCTTCTAACCTCTAAAAGATTGGCTTAGAGCCATAAACATTTTATCGGAGGGACAATAAATTTATGTAATGTTATGTAATCGAAGAGAAAAAATATATTTACTCGGAGGCCAATAGCTTACAAGTTACCCCACCTTCCCTGAAATCCACGAGAAACCTTGTTTACTCAGCATTTGTATCTAGTTTCAGTGGATGTGAATATCAGTTTATTGCAGGTTTATGGTCGCTACCAGGATCTGCGTTGTCCTGGTTCACCAGCAACTATTTCCCTTTTAGGTCCGGTTATCAAAAGAACGAAAAACGCTCTACAGAGGTGATTCCAGTTTCCGCTGATTAACTTTTATAAACTATGCTATCCATGGGATAGCGATTATTTGGTGTATTTCGTTGTTAAAAATATGAACAATCGGCTCCAAAGTATTGACATCTTGGATTATTCGCTTCGTTTTCTGCATCTTCTAAAAAGGACTTGCAGCCGTTCACACGATGAAAGGAGGACATAACATCGTCGTAACAGTTCAGATAACCGAACTAACCACCCAGGAAAATTCTTTAAAAAAAAAAACGATAAAAAAATTAACATTTTCTGGAAATAAATACTACAGGAGTACGCGAGACCCATGACGACGGTTACCTGCTCTAATCGTTGAACCTTTGAGGGTAAACTGTCTCCACTTGAGCCCCCAAAACCACTGACCCGCGGCTGTAATTCATTCAACCGAGCCTGCAATGAAGCATTCCACCGTTCACTATCTTCAAGCCTCGATTTGAGTTCTTGTATCTCTCTCTGATAAGCGGCGTCATACGGAGATGCCGGATGGGGGCTTGAAGTTTTGCTGGAGGCAAGTTGCTAGGACAAATAATACGAGACGAGTTATCATTGTCAAGGACTGGCATGGCAGGTTAAGAGAAAGAGGACTTGAAAAAGAATAAGATGTCAATCATATTCTTCATCTAAGTCGTATTCTTCTTCTGCGGAGGAAAACTTGCTGTTGAAAATACCTATACAGCCAAAGATCCCGCAAGAATGTGAATCCCGCAGACTCGATGATCAAATTTAATTACCTGTTCATCGGCCCCCGCTCCCACTCCAGGACTTTCCCTGTGTGGCGTACCAGTCCTTTGTAGCCTGGCCTTAAGGTTGCTGACCTCTTGACGTAAAAGGTTTACTTCTTCCTCCCCGTAAGAAGCCTGGTAACAGCAGTTGGAGTTTAACACAGGGACAAATATTTTATCACCATATATTTCAACACAGCAACATAGAAACTTGTAAACTTGTTTACTCTGCCCATATGGACGTTGTAGGGGCGCAACAAGATCTTTATTATTGCTCTGTATGTTTGAAGGGTTCAAGTAAAAATTTAAAACAACGCACGGTATCAAGACTGGCGCACGCGGAAATAAACAAGTCGGTTCGTGACCATTCAGAAGTCATCAACACATTTAATTACTTAATTCAAAAAAATATATCTCTCATTTCAATGGTCCACAAAGTTACGAGCAAATGGCGATAAATATCAATACATTTTGGCAACTAAAGGCTGTGCATTTTAGCAAGCTGAGTAAGCTCGCTACACTTCTATTGCTAAAACAGCGCGTGCAGTTGCTAAGAAATGGATTACAACCTCGATATGAAATGTGAAAAATAGTGCAAACCACCGAATAAGTAAGGAAAAACAAAACGGGAAAAGCAGAGGTCAAGGATAGCGAATTTTTCACGATAAATAAATTATATCAGTACTAGCTCCCTTATGGTCGAGTAAGGTATCCTTTAAAATTATAAATTTTCTGTTACCTGATTATTTAACCTTTCCTTGTAGCTTTCGAGTTGCTGCTCGAGCGAATTCTTCAGGTCCTCTGTCTCCATAAGCTGATGCCGTAGCGAACTATTTGAGGCCTGGAAATATTGTGTTCATTTCAGACCAAAATGAATCTTTTGTTTTCACACCATTCAGGGACATAGGACTTCCAATCATCCTGACAGATACTCCGCTGGAGAGCGTTAACAGGACCCACCCGTAAGGTCCCACATCAGTATAATCCTGGCTAATTCATTATAAATTATAGTATTGTCTTAGCAAGGAGGGGTAGGTTAAAAGTGCGTTCCCTAAGATCCCTGCATAGTTGAACCTCTGTGTTGTTGTTCCATACTTAAGAGACTTGTATTGTTCAGAGAGAAATCTTCCCTTAGACAGAGAGCTTTATGAGTACCTCAAGTTCTTGAGCTTTCTTATGATAATATCCAATATTCTCTTTCATGTCTTTTAACTGCTTCTGTTGATCTTCTTGCATCTCCTGCGGATACAAAAGAGTAGTTTAATCTTCCAGCATAAAAGGTCGTTCGCGTGAAATCAAAACACGATTTCGGACAGGAACCTAAAAATGCCAAATTCTGATAAGTCTGTGTAGAAAACGGTAGAAAAAGACCCTAAAACCAGCCGAAAGAATGAATGCTCATCTATGGCCAAGATAGACTGCCATAGCCACATAACTAAAGCAAACATATCTGCTGTGAAGTCTTACGCTTCGATCAAAGAGAGAGATTGCGTGGTTGATACTCTTTAAGTGCAGTCCACTCAAATTGATCTTCCCATGCAACACCGAAGTCTTATTTATTGCTAAGCTAAATTCTAGAGGGAGTTTCAGAGAAAGAGTAATTTACATTTAAAATAGTACTTGGGCGCGCGTAGATAAGGAATTTCCCTTCGAGTGTTCAACTGGACTGAGTTTAACTCGAGAAGAGAAATTCCAGATCAACCTGAGAAAGTTAAACGAAAGGCGAGTGACGTGTCGGCAGTTGATGAACGATATCAAACATACTTTAAAAAAAAATTATCGTACGATATACGAGTGCAGATGAAGCTTTTCTCAGGGCTGGAAACCCTTGTAAAACATCACATAAAAATGAGTTCAGGATTGCATTGGCATTGGCTTACTCAACGTTATGATTGATCTAGTATCCTCGCACCACCATCTCATTCCGCCACATGCAAATCGAAAACTAAGCGCGACTTAGTCATGGGATTTCCTCTATTTCCTTTCACAGTGACCTCTCATTGGCTCATTGTCAAGTTACGACACCCGTTCCAAAATTGAAATGGTCAAAAAGGATAATGATTGATTAAGAGGGGTGGCGCGAATTTTCTTGGCCAATCACCTAGCGAATTAAAGCTAGGCCAACACAAAACAGGTTTAGTATGAGCCCATTGAGCACCTTAATAATTCGGTCCTTCATCTGCGCAGCCTCATTAAGCATTTCAATGTTGTTCAGTTTAACTTTCAGTTCCGCTTCTAGCTCCAAGTTAGATTTCTTGAGTGCGGCCTGTAAACAAGATAAGAAATTAAGGCACCAGCACTGCTGACGAAACAGCATCAATACTTCAACAAATCAAAAAAGAAGTTGAACATGTTGAACATGAAGCACGTTTTGTAAACTCTGATTCCTCGTTCCCTTGAGAACATTTGCCTTCACACCCAGTAAGTTAACAATGATCATTTTCAACGGCGTCATACTCTTTGGAAAAACTCACTGAATCAACAAGTGCTTGCTCTTTCCCTTTTTGAGCCTCAGCCAAGGCCTTAAATGAAAAGAAAACAGTGCATCACAACGATGTGTAGTAGGACGGATATAAAATGAACAGAAATAAAGGCCACACTGTGTACACTTACCTGCGACTGCTCTACAAACTTTTGCTTTAGATCCTAAGGTAAAAAAGAAAGAGGAAAGAAAACTATTGTCTAACTGTTTCACTTTGCCAAACCAAGTGTAACAATTTAGTCAAATAATTTTTTTTTGGTCTAACCTCTAAATTAGGGATGCTCTGTAGTCTGGAACGAAGATTATCGATTGTACCCCTGAAATGAAATAACTATTAGTGACTCTATCTAACTAGAGCATCGCTATAACAGGCCAATAAGCTTGTCTCTGAAACCAGGAGTAAAGCGAAGTGGGTGGGAAAATACGTCTCCTTGATCTAAATAAATGATCAGGAAGTTGTAGTTCGCGTCACTTCAGATGGAACAAGAACCGAGTATACACCCTTTCCAGCATCTCTGAAAAGAAGTTGGGTTTTCTTCATAAACCATTGCTTAACAATAGATATAAGAGTCTAAAACATTGCCAATTACAATAATGATTTGAACTCGGGAGTAAACGTCGATATTACCGGGCTGTTGCCGGTGACTGACCACTCAAAAAACTCTCTGCAAGTTCATCCTCAAACTCAAGAGACAAGAGAGGAATTGTCTATCTCTAATATATAAGTTAGGAATACCACATACTTTGCCTGTTTTAAGAGTACATCTCTTGTCTGTATTTCATGCTGGAGATTCTCAAACTTCAACTTGTTCTGAAAGAGAAACACACACCTCAACAGTTAGAGAACAGAGCAAGCAAAATTCTAAAAAAGTTCTATAACCATTTTAAACAATCACATCACCTCTTTATTCGACCAGATACAAAACGCAATCTGTTCATTCAAATTTTCCCGCCCTTGAGGCATTTTTATTTATTCCGATTGTTTCCTTTTGATATTTTCCTTCTCCTGATTGGCCATTATTTAGTTCTGGTTTTACAACAACCGAGCGAGAAAAAGTTCTCTGATATTTTTCTCCCCAAATTTAACTGATTCATTGGAAATCTCCGGCTCTACCACTGGCTCTGGCGACAGCTTTATTGAGCTTTCAAACCAACAGCAAAAAAACACGAATGAAGGTTAAAACCCCCGGTAAACAAGTTAAAACACAATGATCTGTACAGATTATCTACCTCTTGATCATCGCCTTGAAGTTTCCGCAAGTTGTTTCTGTAATCCGACTCAAGCTTCCTCAGAGATTCTAAATAGGAAAACAATGCAACGAAAGATAAAACCAACACACATAACACCGGAAAAACAGAATCGCTTTAGAGAGAAAAAGGTTCTGTCGAAAATGTGTAGCTCAATTCTGAAACAAAGTAAAATAAATACAACCAGTACCGAATAAAAATATCGTAACCAGGTCCTCTGTGGAGGATTTGAGGTAAAATAAGTACAAATTTGGCGTGTAATAACTACTGATGCTATGAAGGAAATTGTAAATTTTATAAGCTCATAGCTTGTTTTGAAACATTTAGGGGTCAATCCGGTATTCGCTGGTCTGCTCTCCATTTGTTTTCCACAGGGTCACCAGTAATCTGTCTTTTTTTTTCCATTTACGTTTCTGAGCGTGAAGCAAATTTATCTCACGATTAAGTATGTCGGGACTGTGTCGATTAAGAACGCCCGGCCCACGACCCTGTGTAGTCGGGGTCTCGTCCCAACCTCATCTCGCCTAAAGTTTGCAAGAGAGGATAGCTCCCGCTCTTCACGGAGAGAAAAGCTGACTACTAACAGTCTAGGTCTCTTATCTTAACAGAGCAATGTAAACCATCAGAAACAACACACTCAAAACAATTAAAAATGGGCGGAAATTGCAACATACCATCTTTCTTTTGCACTTCAGCCTGTAATAGACCAATATTTCGCCTTAGTTCCGCCTTCAAATGAACAAAAAAAGATGATTATCATCTTATTGGTTTAACACCTGGTAAACACTAACAAGGAATCTTACCACTTCGGCAGGGCTGGGGGCCTTTGGTGTGCTTTTATTGGACTCCTATCAAAACAGTAAAAATCTTGGTTAGATATTCGACTTAAGAAGGCGGCAAAAACTATCTCCGAAGACGGACACTTCATCATTCTTTATCAAACCTTGGCGACACAAGGGGTTTCGTTAACTTAAACAGCTGCAAATGAACTAATGGGAACAAAGCTGAATTTACCTGTAACACTTTCAACATCTTATCTTTCTCTCGTCCACTTTCCACAAGACCCTGGTGAGGGAAAAATAAAGGGGATAACTTTGAGCATTTTCAGCAACATCACACAATCAAGAAGAATTAATTTTTGACACAAAACATCGACACTCGTATATTTTTATTAATAGTAAGACGACTCACTGCGATAGTCTTGTCTTTGTCTTGTATGGTCAGCCTTAATTTGTTAATTAACTTCTCATTTTCCTGGGACGCCCAGGCTTTGCTGTTTTCTAAGGCCTACAGGAAAAGAGAGAGAAAAATAAAGAAGAAAGTTCACATAAACTGGTGGCAAAGTTGAGAGGAGAGGACCAGGTAGCCTTGACGTCTCGTAATAAACCTTGGCCGGGACAAAGTGTCGTGTTTTCAGGCACTTTTCTTTAATTTTTTTTTTTTTTGGCTCAATTTCTGTCTTACCTGTACTTCGTGCTCTTTGTTGCTAAGTAATTGCTGTAGTGTCTGGATGGTGGAGTTCTTTTCAGTTTGTACACGTGTTAAGTCAGCAGCAGCCTCCTACAGAGATAACATTTTGGCAGGTGTTTATTAACCCTTTAAGCCCTAAGAACGACTAACATCTAAATTCTCCTTACAACACCAGCCCTGAATCAAACACTAAGGTCATGAGAATAAAAGAGATGATCACAAACTAAAGAAGCTCTTGATTTTTGAACAAATTATCCTTGTTAGAACCAGAGGTAATGTCTAGGAAGTAGTATGGAGAATATTCATACTGATGTTCGGGAGTAACGGGTTAAAACCTGGTATGTACGAGTAGTATACTTTTTCGATTCATTGTAGGTGACTATTCTAGGCATTCTGACCTAAGAGAAGCGAGCACTTTGCGACATTTTCAGGCCATTTTCAAATACAGCGTCAAAGCAAAGCTTTAGTTGGAATTATTATTTTGTCATTATTTCTCGTTCTTGTTCCCTTGTCTCTTGCTAGGAGGCTTCCTGTGAGTTCTCCGCTTCTCCTTACCCCACAAAAACAAATTACATGAATTCCTATTAAGCATTGGAGAACAGTGGACGAAAAGCCAACCTTGTGTAAGTGCCACGGCCAAAACCCACTTTTTATTATATTTTCATTTACTAACGCTGACACAATAAGGTGAGTGCGATTGGGATCTATACAAAATATTGTGCACGGATGATTTTAATTGTAATCAAAACGTTTAGTTTATACTTGTTAGAGGCGTCTCAAAACTTCATGGAAAAGTCTCCACAGGAGTTAAAAGCTTATGAGCATCCAAATAATTTTACATGAAGTTTTTGATCGGATTCTAACCTTGAGTGCAGTCTCCTTGTCTTTAAGAGCTGCCATGAGTCTTTGAGTGTTGGCTTCATTGGTAGATGATAACCTGGCACGCTCATGGAACACTTCCTGACAAAACCAAACAAAGCACAATAACGTACATTAAGAGATGCTTTTAGTCCCAGTGTCCTAGTCAAGTTTGCTACATAAACATACTTTAATAGCCTCGTCACCATGACGAGTCACCTGTGGTTGAGTTGTTTGGTTGTAAATCCTCTCTAAGGGTGGTCATTCGTAATCCGTGTTAACCATCTCCATTCCTGACCATGCCCTTTCATTTTTGGTTTATTTTTACCTGTTTCATGTCTATCTAACCAAGAAAACTATTCTTGTAAGCTATTCGGATCAACAAAGGTTTTCATTGGCCCAGCTGAGAAAAACGGCTCAAGATAACGTCACTGTAATGAAGTATCCTAGACACTTAAAAGGTTATTTACCTCCAAAAGTTTTTCCTTTTCTTTCAACAATTCCGATATTTCCTGGGCCTTCCTTGCCTCATCACTTAAACTTTCATCCTTTAAGATACAAGGACGAAAATAAAGTCATACTATGCACAATACTTCCTGTAGTCTTTGTACTACGTAATAGTTACTGCTCCCACAACAAGGCCGTTATTTACATGTATTAATACAAAGGGGAGAAATTTAAGCATAGTTACCCTCGGGTTGGGGTTAAAAACTAAAAGCAAGAATGTTTAGCATAGACAGTTGTTACAACCACAAACCTCGTCTGGACTGCTCAACGCGGTCTTTACAAAGTCCTTCAATTCCTACGAGCAAAAGAGATATCAGAAATACAAACTTTAGACAAGCCGGTCTCTATCAGTTGGCTGCGATCTGATCGCAAGCGAACCGAGGCCTCATTTTTTTTTCTTTTTTAATAAATTCTGGTAAAATTATTGAATAGTTTTCTCGAATGTTCGAGGAAACGTGGGGAATGATTTCTGGGTATGAGGAGCTTGGCAAAATTTAACTCTATGGAAGGTGTTAAATCACTTTCCGGGAGCAAAGGAGAAATTTAGAGGAACTGGGGGACATATAACGGTGATAGGATTCTGGATCGAAAAATTCCTCGGCCAGTTGTAATTTCCGATTTACATTACACGCAATTGAATTCCGCGAGAGTTAGCAGAACTCAGAATAAGATTCCCCTCTGTCAAACAGGAATAACACTGACCTTCAATTCCTCTTCCCTGTGGTTTAGATTGTGTTTTAGTTTCTGAATAACAAGTTCTTTCTCTTCCAAACTGGCTTCTTTTGTTTCTAAATCTCCCTGTTACGATGAAAAAAACACGTCCGGCTGAAGAAGGAAGCTATTTCTGAAAAAATACTCAAGTCACTTAGGCCAGCACTGGGTACAATTGTGCGACATCTTATTTAAATATCTGCCACCCTTTTGGCACTTTCCCCGTCCTTTGCCAATTTTCGTCTTTCTGTATTATGACTTAGCATTTCCTTAAACAATTAAAAATTCAATCTTGGTGTCTGCAGACATATTGTGTAGCTGATTACTTAAGATATTTCCACTGCTAATAGTACTTTGGAATAAATCATTAACCCTTTGGCTCCAGAGAGGATTAACATGCAACTTCTCTCTCTAATAACCATACATTATCCGGAAAGCAGGTAATGAGAATATTCAAACTTATCAGGTATAAGGTTTTATCTTGATCTAACACCAAATTATTTCAACTAATTTACATGAAAATGAGTAGCAACCAGAGGGGAGAATTAACAATCAGATCTTGGGAGTTAAACTATGTTTTTATACCTCAGCCTAATGTAACTACCTTTTTTCCTTTAAGCTGATCCTCGAAGGACGACAACTTTTTTTGTAAAGCTTCATTTCTTTCTTTGCTTGTCTGTTCTAATAGCTGGACAGATACACAAGCGTGAAAAGACAGTCGTACAGTAGTCAATAATTGTAGTCACTAGAAGACACTCCAATGGCTGTGACAAAGTCATCTCGTCTAGGCCCAACATACACCTTACTGCACTAAATAACATTGTCATGAAAAAAAGGTAAAAAGCTAAAGAAAGATTTATTGGCATGTGGAATCACCCTCTAGTATAAGATGTTGTTTAGAAATTCCAAAGGATTCCAAAAGTTTTAAAGAAAATTAATATACGCCAATAACGTATGCTTATGCTATATGCTATATGCTACTAACTTTTCCAATTTGTTTTTTCCCTTTCCCTTTTTAACAATGACAGCATTACTGTAATTAGGTGCCAAAAAAATCATAAAAAAATCGAGTTCACTGATTTTTATGAAAACGTATGGAATATCAGTAAGAAAGTTAAATTGTGTCACATTTGTAGTTCACTTACTTTATTCTTTTCTTGGGATTCAAGGACAGCGGTGTTGATTTTTTCAATCAGCCTGTCCCTCTCTCTCAGGGCCTGTCTTAACTGCTGTAGCTCGCCTTCCTTTCCTTGCAAAGCGCGCACTTTTTCTTCAGCTGCAACCTACAATTATGATCAGAAAAATAAAAAACATTAATTTGATGATTTTTGTGCCAAAATGCAACGCACATGTACATACCTAGACGGTCGCAGCTTTGTTTGTATTTTACTGAACTGGGCAAATGAGGAATTAGCGACAAGAAAATCGAAACGATGTTTCCACTTAGTGATTTTCAAGGCGCAACTCTCGATGATAAATTTAAAGTCGCGCATGCAATAAAAAAAGAGATTCAAGTGGCCCAATAGAGCGCTTTTTGATGAAGTGTCACAAACCCCAACCCAAAGTCGACTACAATGGGCAATTGAAAGACGGGAAAATTTCAAAAGGAAATGAAATCTCAAAATGAACACAAGTAATCGTGCTCAAGAGCGGGAAAATGTGAGTGGTCAGGACACAGTTGGTTTAAGCTCAACATCTGATTGGTTTAGAAAGCGACTCAAGTTTTCTAGACTGATCGAAAACTGCAGTAAAGAAAAACTTTCAACAAAAAATTTAGAACACAGCCTCTTTGGCGCGTGATATCAGCAGATAGGAATATGTACCAATGTCTTAGGCTGTGAAGCAGTGCTCTGATAAGCAGACGTCCCTGGGCTCAAATAGCCTTTTCCAACGGGGTTTTGGAAATGAAAAGTCAAACGAAACGAGTCTTAACCACAAAGAAAAGTTTGTTTGATTTCCCTTTTCCATTCATTTTAAGACAATATTAGTCATAAAGGGTCAGGACTCTTAGTTTCCTGTTGTTGCAAAAATTTAAGTTGTGAGTTAAAATGAACATAAAACACTACTTAATCTTACTTTAATTGGGTAATTTGGAATTATCAACTAAGTCAGTCATAACATAAATTGGCTACCGTAAAGAGTTTCAAAGCTGACGTTTCGAGCGTTAGCCCTTCGTCGCTCTGGCGAAGGGCTAACGCTCAAAAAGTCAGCTTCAAAACTCTTTACAATGGTCAATTTACGTTAACAACTCAGTTGTTAATTCCAAATTACCATGTTATACTCTCCCACTGATGCAGTACCACAGTTTCTTTAGAACCTTAGCCCCTTTATTAATATCAGTTTAGTTGTGTATAACCAACCTGGAGAGCACGATCCTTCTCTTTAGTGTAGTTGGTCAGTTTCTTCAAAAGATTCTCCTGATCATCAGTTGAGCCCTGCAAAATGAGTAAAAAATGTGATTTGCTCTGAGTAGCTGGGAAACCATTTGCCAGGATAAAAGCTGAAGGAATATTTTTGAATAATAAGAAATATTCAAGCCTTGGAAAAATGCTCTCATATCTTACTACTCCTTGGCGACAAAATTAGAGGCAGGGGGTGGGAGCTCTGGTAGAGACAGGTGACCAGGTTTTTACCATTCACCTTTTAATTTCTTAACCTTATAAACAAACAAAGACTTTTAAGATTCAAGATCTATACCACGTTATTACAAGTCATTCTTTGCGTCCTCAAAATTTGTCTGTATGTAAAATAAGACTTCAAAGACAAAGGCCAGAAAGGTGACAATAGATCAAAAATAACCAAGGATGGTTTACCACTGGAGATATTAAGCAAACATTTGTCCAATCGCTCTGGCGAAGGGTTAACGCTCGAAACGTCCGCTTTTTAACTCTTTACGCTGGCCAATTTACGTTTTTAACTCAGTTGTTAACACTAAATTACCATTTGTCGAGATGGACAAACCAACACATCATGCAGCACTACCTACCTTGACCACTGAATCATCCATACCACTTCCCTTCAAAGCCTCTACGAAGTCCTGGTAATTTAGAAAAATATTTCAATCGAGGACAATAACTGTGGAAGGGGAATCAGTACGGTAGAATTGCAAAGGGAAGGCAAACCCAGCGGAATTTTTTTAAAATCAGCTTTAAAACTTCCTCTAATCGTAGAATTTTAGTTACAAGATAGAGCCTCGAAACTGTTCCCGATCAAAAGTTTCTATATCATAATAAATGTATACCAAGGTATTGCAATAGTTTAAAAAAAACTGACTGTTGTCCTCAAATGAATAATTATACCACTTCATTACCACTTGATGGTAACATGTGGTAATCACGAGGTAAGCGTTGCGATCATCTTGACCTTTCTAAATTAGATTTTGGTTCTAATAACCTAAAAACAAGACAGGTGACCGCTGCTGCTTTGGATGAAAAATAATTTGATTTGCTTCGGAGGATACGAATCTCCGAGGGAAAAAATCTACAGGGGGATTAAGCCCACTCTTACATGTGCTGATGTGACCATACAATTTATTATTAGTTTCTTGCTTTTTTACGTACGTTCTTTGTTATCTTAACAGAGTAAATAACCAAAAAAAAAGGGGGTAGCACGTACCGCTATTAAATTGTCTTTCTCCTTGTTGCTAGCTGCCAGCTTCTGGATAAGTCGGTCCTTTGCCTCGAGTTGTTCTTGAGCTCCAGCAGTCACGTGCTGAGGACAAACAACCAACATTTACGATAGAAAGCAAAACAAACCTATGCCAAATTTTCTTTATTCCTCTATTCTTGGTTATCATTGTTCCTTTCTGGTTCATCTACATCTTGTCCACTAAAGCTCACCACTAACTTGAGGTTTCCTTCTAAAGAACAATTTTCAACTGTGTGTCGAAAGTAATTCATGATTGTAATGGTTTTACTCGCGTGACTCGTGCGAGTGTTCTATAAAACTCGCGCTACCCTATCAGATACAAACTTAGAAGAATTGCACCGTTGTCAGTACTTTTACCGGCGCTTTCGGCAATTTCCTGGATTCACTTTGAGTTCTCACTGGAACCTTGTGATTTATACCTTTTTCTCATTGGTCGTTGCGATAACTTTGGTTTTGTGTTTACGCCAATCAAATGAAAACCTCTCCAATTCTTCAATACGCCTCATGACTTAAAAAAAAAAAAAACGTGAGCTAAATGGCTCCTGCGACCAGCGAATAGTTCGTGCAGCCTGATTCTGAGCACTATTATACTCTGGAATGCCCCACCATTTTTGTCCTGTTCCTGATTAAATTTGCCGCCTTAGATCTACGTTTACTTAGGGAGCTCTCTGATTAACTGAGTGACTTATCAAAAAGTCCCACGCTGCATAAATACTCCAAGTCCGATCCATTACTTTAATTACTGGCAAAAGGCCTGATATGTTTTTTACCTGATAAGCTTCTTCGAGAGCGTCCATCTTGGAATAGTGTTCTTGAGAGAGCGCTTTATGTTTTTCCATAAGTTCCTAGAAATTCAAGAATATGGGTGAAGGCTGAGGATGGCCTTCTACTAAAGTGGCGGTATAGGATCACAAAAACGATTTTCAAATTGGGTCATAACCAGTCATGCACAGATGTAATTCAGCCATTTTGCATTCCAGCCGCATCCCAGCAAAAAAATTCCGCATAAGATATACATATATATATTCATATATTTTTTTATCGTAACTGATTAGCCTGTATAGAGTAATTAGTGTAGCCAGTCTTGACTCACAGCTTGCTCACGTTCTTTCTGTTTTAACACTTCATCTAGGCGTTGTTCAAGGAGGAACTTCCCATTGTTCAATCTCTGCAGTTCAACTTCTTTGGAAGACAAGGACTGAATAAGTTTCTGGAAGTAAAAAAAACAAGTAAATAAATAGATAAAATTTCAAGCGAACTGTTAGAATTAAACCACTTGACGATAGCTTTACTTACCTGAGTGCCTACAAAATGATCTAGAGTGGCAATGGTCTTCAAATAATTAACAGATATTGTACGAGGTTTTACAAAATATAGTGATTTGTCAACAGTAAGGAGGTCAATTTATTGCTCAGTTCAAGGGCTGAGTAACAATTTTCTAATGTTTTGCATCAGTAAAGCTTGGAAATTGAGGTCTGGATACTTCTGCTGAACCACATTAAACAAAAACTGCAGCATATACTTAGCACTCGTGTACCTCTAATTCCAAATCTTTTGCACTCAAAGAGCTTTGTAGACCAGCTATCATGGCGTCTCTTGCCTTAAGAATTTCAGAATGTTCCTCAAAAGCCTGAAATAATTCAGACAGATTTTGAAACGTAATCAAGTACACAAAGTATCTGAAAATCAAACTAAATATACAAAAAGGAATATGAATGTAGTTCAAAGTTACGAGAGAAATTAGGCAAACGTTTGGCTTTTTAAGGGTCTTTTATGTACAGTACGTGGCACCTCTACAAACACAAGACCATTCTTTTCATACTCATCAGTTAAACTGCTGCCTTGCTTAAATGGAAGGTGGGTGCCTGGGGTATCCAGAAGTTGTGTCTAGCCCGGAGAGAATATCACCCCTTCCATACCAAGGTCATGGCGGTTGACTTTCAATTGTTTACCTTAATTAAAGTAAGTATAATAACAGTTTTTAGAAGTAAATCCACTGACCTGATACCACTTTCTCTTGGCCGTATGTGCTGCCTCTCGTGTTGCTGTCAAACTCTGATTTAAGTCTTGAACTTTGGTCTGCAACTGCTGAAGCTAGATTTTTGACGAAACTTCAATAGTAGTCAACGAGGAAAAGCCAGAAAAAGACGACCTCGTAGCACCCTCACTACACGTTTTCAGCCAATCAGAAGTGCGTAATTTTCTCATGTATATTATTAAGAGCGGTACAGTGCTTTTGGATGTACCAATAATTATGTGTGAGGAACTTCTCAACAACACATCCGGAACTACTCAACCAAGTAAAATTAAATTTAGAGGGGTGAGGTAACATTGACAGTTACCGAGTGTGTGATTATTCAAGTTGACTTGTTGTACGCAATCATGGGAACGGTTGCTAGGGAAATCATGAAAAGTGAGTGATTTTGTGAAATATAATAAAAAAAATGCTGAAAGAATAGATGGCAGAGTTTGTTTCCTCGAAAATTACCTTACTTCAGTGGATTTGATGATGCGTTCAATTTAGTACCCCTAATCGCAAGAAGTTTATTAGTCAACTGGGGAGTCAAAGAGCTCTTAAACAGCTCCTTATCATAAGTTTGTTGGTCGATTAAGATGTTGATCAGCTCTGATAAGAGCTCCCGATCGCAGGAAGTTTGTCGGTCGATCAATGAGTTAATAAGCTCCGATAAGAGCTCCCGATCATGAGAAGTTTGTTGATCGATCGGGGAGTCAATGAGTTCTGATAAGAGCTCCCGAGCACTAGAAGTTTGTTGATCGATCGGGGAGTCACTGAGCTCTGATGAGAGCTCCCGATCACGAGACGTTTGTTAATCGATCGGGGTCTCACTGAGCTCTGATAAGAGCTCCCGATCACGAGAAGTTTGTTGATCGATCGGGGTCTCACTAAGCTCTGATAAGAGCTCCCGATCACGAGAAGTTTGTCGATCGATCGGGGAGTCACTGAGCTCTGATAAGAGCTCCCGATCACGAGAAGTTTGTTGATCGATCGGGGAGTCAATGAGCTCTGAAAAGAGCTCCCGATCACGAGAAGTTTGTTGATCGATCGGGGAGTCAATGAGCTCTAGAAAGAGCTCCCGATCACGAGACGTTTGTTGATCGATCGGGGAGTCAATGAGCTCAAGAAAGAGCTCCCGATCACGAGACGTTTGTTGGCTGATCAAGGAGTCAATGAGCTCTGATAAGAGCTCCCGATCACAAGAAGTTTGTTGGCCGATCGGTGAGTTAATAAGCTCCGATAAGGGCTCCCGATCACGAGCTGTTTGTTGATCGATCGGGGAGTCAAGGAGCTCTGATAAAAGCTCCCGATCACGAGAAGTTTTCTGATCGATCGGAGAGTCACTGAGCTCTGATAAGAGCTCCCGATCACGAGAAGTTTGTTGGCTGATCAGGAAGTCAATGAGCTCAAATAAGAGCTCCCGATCACGAGAAGTTTGTTAATCGATCGGGGAATCAATGAGGTCTGATAAGAGCTCCCGATCATTAGAAGTTTGTTGGCTGATTGGGGAGTCAATGAGCTCTGATAAGAGCTCCAGATCACTAGAAGTTTGTTGGCTGATTGGGGAGTCAATGAGCTCTGATACGAGCTCCAGATCACTAGAAGTTTGTTGGTCGATCGGGGAATCAATGAGGTCTGGTAGGAGCTCCCGATCACGAGAAATTTGTTGATCGATCGGGGAGTTAGTGAGCTCTAATAAGAGCTCTCGATCTCGAGAAGTTTGTTGATCGATCGGGGAGTCAATGAGCTCTGATAAGAACTCCCGATCACTAGAAGTTTGTTAGCTGATTGGGGAGTCAATGAGCTCTGATAAGAGCTCCCGATCACTTGAAGTTTGTTGATCAATAGGGGAATCGCTGAGCTATAATAAGAGCTCCCAATCACTAAATGTTTGTTGGCTGATCGGGGAGTCAATGAGCTCTAATAAGAGCTCACGATATCTTGAAGTTTGTTGGTTGATCGGAGAGTAGATGAGTTCTAATAATAACTCCCGATCACTAGAAGTTTGTTGGCTGATCGGGGAGTCAATGAGCTCTAATAAGAGCTCCCGATCACTAGAAGTTTGTTGGTTGATCGGGGAGTCAATGAGCTCTAATAAGAGCTCCCGATCACTAGAAGTTTGTTGGCTGATCGGAGAGTCTATGAGCTCTAATAATAGCTTCCAATCACTAGAAGTTTGTTGGTTGATCGGAGAGTGAATGATCTCTGGTAAGAGCTCCCGATCACTAGAAGTTTGTTGATCGATCGGGGAGTCAACGAGCTCTAATAAGAGCTCCTGATCACTAGATGTTTGTTGGCTGATCGGAGAGTCTATGAGCTCTAATAATAGCTTCCGATCACTAGAAGTTTGTTGGTTGATCGGGGGGGGAGTCAATGAGCTCTACTAAGAGCTCCCTAATAAGGGCTCCCGATCACTGAAGTTTGTTGATCGATGAGAGCTCCTGGGGGGTCGTTCAGGAAGCCAATGAGCTCTGAGCTGTTATTAAGAGCTCCCGATCACTAGATGTTTGTTGGCTTACATGATTTGGGGGAGTCAATGAGCTCTACGGGATGTGACAATAAGAGCTCCGTATAAACAAACTGAGGAGAAGTTCGTTGGTTGATCGGAGAGTAGATGAGCTCTAATAGTAACTCCCGATCACTATGACCATCTTGTTTGTTAGACTGATCAAATGGAGTCAATGAGCTCTGATAAGAAAAGCTCCCTGATCATTTGTCAAGTTTGTATTTTTTGGTTGAATCTGGGGAGTAAAATGAAAATTAGCAATAAAACATCAACAAATCGATTAGGATTTTTTATTTTACCACAAATCGAGAAGATGTCATAATTTAAATCGGAGTTTTAATCACAAAAAACGTTTCTATTGGTTTCCCTGCCAACCTTTGTTATGGTAATGGTTTAACTGACCGCAAATAACTTATTTGAGCTCATTCCCTTCCCCCCAAAAAAAAAAAAAAAATAACCTTTTTGTCAACTCCAGAGATAAAAATATTCCTAAACCCATACATATTGGTACTCCCAAAAGCACCCCTATTCCTTAAAAATTAGTGTGTGGCGAGTCACTGACCCCTTAATTTGAGACTATGACTGACGTAGCCACAATCTTTGGGTACAGGCTATCATCACCCGATGTCAAACCCGTTGTGTAGTGGTGGTGCTACGTAGAGCCTTTCTTAGGTCTCTTTTTAAAATCTCCTCCTCGACTATTAGAATAGCCATTATAAAAATTAAGTCAAATACAAAACAGAGAGATAGAAGTACACTCCTTAGGTTCTTAAAATGTCAAGTAAAGTGGAAAAGGGATTGGGGTCGGGGGGGGGTGGGTGGGGAAGAAAAAGCCTGAAAGATGGAGAAACTTAAAACAACATGGATGTATGTTACTCGTAGCTGTTTCATAATACACGCATTCTCTGAAAAGCACTCGTCAATACTGTTTGTCCTGCATTTAGAATCCCTGAGTTAATTGAATACGTTTGTTTTTTCTACTTTTCCCTACCTCACTGTCCTTGGGGCCATCCCTCTGACTCTATGTCATAAAAAATTGAAGCTGAATTAGCAACACACTACGATTCCCTGTACATGGTATAAACAATTAGCTAATGATGATTTCACTGGAGATGAACAAACAAAAATTCACAGAATCATCTTCTAGTAAATACATTTCAAATGTTTTAAAAGATTTCAAGACGTTCCGTCTCTTCTCAGAACTTCACTTTAAAATATAATTTTATCATGTGGTGTGATTGTCTAAAAGAGAGTAGTTCTAAAAAGGACTGTTGTGGGTCGTAATGACTAACATTTAAACAACCTGCACAGTAAACCATTTTCATTTCTTCCTTATGCTGCTCGTTGTTTGGCGTGGTCAAGACTGGGGAAACATTGTGACCTTTGGCTACTCACTCGTCTTGTAACTCCAGTCTATAAATCATTGAGTACCCGCGACCATGTCTTGGAAAAAGGGGGTAAGTTTCTAAAGAACCTGTGGTGCTGCGACCGTGGGAGAGTATAACAGTATAATTTGGTGTTGTCAACTGAGTTGATAACGTAAATTGGCCTCCGCAAAAGTTTAAAGGCTGACGTTTCGAGCGTTAGCCCTTCGTCAGAGCGATAGACGAAAGGCTAACGCTCTTTAAACTCTTCGTTGGCCAATTTTCAGTTGATAACACTAAATTACCCTGTCATATATAGGAAGGCTGACAGAAGACACTTTCTCCTAAAACACAGAAACCCCTCCGACCAGAGGTAAACTGAAACACCACATGTAAAGTATTTTATCAAGACCGACTTTTAATTATAAACTTGATTCAAAACGAAAAAAAAAAAAGAACGAGCGGACTCTAAAGAACGACGCAAACGATGTAAACACAACAGGAGCAAATTCGAAGTGACCAAGAGAAAAAATATTTACAACGACGAAATATTCGATTGTTTTTTTCCTCTCGTATTCACGCGCATGTCGGTATTTTTTCTCCGCTGTTCATCAGTCCTTTCGTCCATATTTATTTGTTTTCCTTATTGAAGTTCAATGTTTTACCGGATACCCAAGTTACCTTGCGAGATTGTCTCTTACACTTTGTCCTTTTTTACGAAAACCTTTCTGCAAACAGCTATAAAAGGTTGCTAATGCATAGAGACCTTCAGAAATCCCACATATTCTAATACTGGACATGCAAATCATAACAAAGAGCCGAAAGACGGCGACTAAGAGACCATTCTCGACACAAGAGCCGTGCAAATTCATGCTATCTCTGAGGCTGAACCACCCTTCTTGGAATTCAACCTGACACCTAAGCCAATGATAAATAAAAGCCGACACAGGGCCAACACTAAATTAATTGATACCTAATACCCAGGCCCACAACACGCTGTATGTCAATTAACTGATGTTTCACACACAAGTGACCGTTTAAGCTAAAGACGGCAAACAGCACAATGCTTGACACACAAACTCAAGCCGACACTTTTGGCTTTTGCTTATTTTAAATCGTCGCTTGGCACACAAGCCCAATACGGCGTCTGTCAAACAACTGACGCTTAACACATAAATGAAACCTAGATTAAGCCGACACACGGCACATGAAAATTTATGCTTGACAACCGAACGAACACGACACAGGGCGTCCACCAGAAAAGTGACGCTTCACACACAAGCGAAAGTGAGACAAAGCCGACACACGGCGAGTAACGCACAAGCGTATTCTGATTCGAGCTCGACAAGAGCGAACAACAAATCAGAATAAAGCTCAACTTCAACGAGCGAGCGCCGATAGTGCAACCGAAGAACAAACCTAGACTAACAAAAAATCTGAAAGTACACTATGAAACACCGGGGGCGGAGAAATAGTGAACATAAACCGAAAGAAAGATAAAACATATGAACCTTTGAAATTCCTCGCCTAACAGTTCCTCTTGGCATACTTCCACTCCCTCCGCGAGTTGTAGCGCTGCGGCTGGTCGACCTAAGTCAACAGCAGGAAATGGTAGTGGACAAGGCTTCTAGCTCAGCAGCAGCCGGTTCTTGAGGCTCAGCCATTATGTCAACCAAATCTCGTTTAGTTACAGGAAGCAAAACTTCAAACACGAAACACGCAGGCTACGGCGATGTGAGGCGAAAAATGACCGAAAATTTTTTACAACATACCGTCAAGATATCATTTTCGAAATGCCCAAAATCTAAGCTGCGGTATCACTAATTCCTGCGATATTGCAGGTGGAAACTTAGCATAATATTACGGTCTCCACGCCCGCCGGAATTCTGCGGCATATTTATGCGGAAAGAAAACAATTAACCATTATTCACCGAAATGAATATTCACCTCTTTCACCGACACTGAGGTGAATAACTGTTTCAGTAGGTAACCTACAGAAACCAAAAAATCAGCTTATTTCTGTCAATTCACCGAAAATAATCGGAAATTAAACTCCCGACGCGCGAATTCGTCTCATCGGCTGCTCGAAGGTGAATAATACTTGTTAGTCACTTCCGAACTAACCAATCAGCGCGCACGAAAAGTACTATTCACCTGTGTGGTATATACCAATAGTTATTTTCCAAGGAGGAGCTATCTGTAAGTCAATTGTAATAAAAATGATTTGTGAAAACTGATCGGGCAGCTTTGCCATGATGTCATTGGCTGAAAGACTCTAAGGATGACTTTTGCTTGGGTTGTTCAAACGTCGATCATTACCGCCGACAGCAGTCTTGTTCAGGACTACTTTCACCAAATTAATTGTTACTCCTTATTTCAAGCCATTAATCGTTTAACCCCTAGGAGTGACTAGCATCTAATTTCTCTTTACCATATCACCCCTGAATCTATTATTAAGGCCAGGAGAATAAAGGAACTGATCACCAACTAAAGAAGCTCTTGATTGTTAGACAAATTCTCCTTGTCAGCACCCTAGGAAAAGTTTAAAGAACAGTATGAAGAATATGCATTTACTCTAACATTAGTATTCACGTTCTCCCTATTGTTCTCTTTTTGTTTTCAACAGTACTGCCTTGGATAATTGTTTGACAGTAAGGAGCTTCTTAGATTGACGATCAATAATTTCTTGATTTGACTCAAGGAAATATTGTAGGGAGAAATTGCAGTCCATGAATAATTCTGAACAGAAAAATGTATTATTCTCACCAGAGATAGTGAATTATCGGTGGAGTTCCTTGAATTAAGATGCTGTTCCCTTTCCTTGTCATGAAGCTGATTTCTTAATTCCTGACCAACAGTAAAACAAAATTACACATTTGTCTGCAAGTTTTCATTTACAAGCACATCACTGGGCGAACATCACTGGGCTGAACACTTACTAACAAAGGCTATAAAATATTCAAAGAGGACAATGTGGGATGCTACTCTGGTTTACTATTTAATAATATCCCTATCTCCAACTGCAACCTTGCTAACAAGAGCTATAAATTTCTGCTCCCTTTGCATTTTTTCCCTCCTCATACTTGTCGAAAAAAAAATCTTCGTGACGAACCTATGCATTTTGCTATCATCCAATGGAATGAATGTTTTAGGTTATTGAAAGTGGGAGTGCATTTTTTGGGACAAAATTAATTATTTGAAATGAGAATTCTTGAACAAAGTGTGTCCAAGGTTGTAGCTTCCTCGCGCTACTGAAACTGGTAGAAACACTGGAATAGTCTGGTGGTGAATGGTCCTTTCTAGTGGTTACCAAAGTGGCAACAGACCTCCTAACGTTTTCTTAAACTTTCCATCACTTCAATGCATTATTAAAGCAACTCATACAACTACAGACAAGACAGGGATTTGAGGTTGTAGCTACCTCACGCCACTGAAACTGGTAGAAACACTGGAATAGTCTGGTGGTGAATGGTCCTTTACAGTGGTTACCAAAGTAGTCAAAAACCTCCAAACCCTTTCTTAAACTTTCCACCACTTAGATGCCTTATTTAAGCAATTCATACAACTACAGGAAAAACAGTGATTCTTACCCTGTTGGTCCTCTCTGTTTTCTTGGCTTTCTCCTTCAGCTCCTTTATCAGAGCAAAAACGCACAGTTGGTTCATTACCAGATTTACATGAAAAAACTTATTTCAGAGTTAATTCTTACCCCTGCTGACCTGATATGTAAACTTTGAATTGTGAGCTCACCTCTAACTTATGGTTTTTGTTTTCTAGTTCCTCTGTCAGCTGTTTGATTCTCCTCTGGCACTCTAGGATCTGTTTCTCATTCATTTCTAAACTCTGTTATGAAGAAAGAAGACATACCATTAAGAAATCTTATCGATGTATTAACAAAATATTGCGGAAAAGTCCCCCAAAATGTTTCTACCTATCTGAAGAGATCAGGTGTTGCAGGTGTAATGGATCACTCCTGTTGAATTTAAACCCAGATTTTTTTGTACCCAAAAGTTTAAGTGATTCGGTTTGTTGCAAGCCTTCTTTGAGGGGATACCACTCTAATGAGGTTAATCCCTAGCATTTATTCACATCTCCCCTAGTAGTTTCTCAGTAACCATTTTCATTCATGGCCCCAGTTCTCAAACCACTCAAATGATAACTCCTGTTACACACAGATAATTACTCCCACTGAAGAGCATGTATGTGTAATAAAGGCTTACTGACCAAATAGCAATCTGGCAACTTTGAAATTAAGCACTAAAATACTTTTAGGAGGGATCAAATGGCCACTAATCCCAGGAATCCCTTCAAAATCTACCAGTACTTTCTAACCTTCAGGCTGTACTATAAATACTGATTTACATAAAAATCAGCCAGTTACACTACAGCAGAAAAATATAGAAAATATATGCATATTAGATAAACAAATTCACAAGAGTGTGAGACACTCCAATGCATGTATGCATTTAATGTCATCCCAAAAATGTTTTCACTAATGATTGATCGTACATGGGGGATGTTTTGCTCCAGCTGGCTTTGAATATCCTTCAGGTTGTCCAAATTTTCTTTCAAATCCTGAAAAAAAAATCATAATTAATTAGAACTTTAGAAATATATCCCTCTCATTCTCGCAAATAACTATCATGACCTGTGTAACAGTTATTCATTGTTGTTATTGCTTTCATTACTGTTGCTGCTGTCATCATTATTGCCATTGCCTTCATCATTACAGATCATCACAGAGTAAGCTCAATCTTTGAGCATCTAAACACAGAGGATTTGAGAATCAGTCAAAAGAAATTTGAGAAGTGTTGAAAAACCAACTAACCTTGTTCTCTGCCTGTACAGAAGTAAGAGACCCTCTCAAATCATCTATCATCCTGAAAAGTGAGACAAAGGCATCAGAGAGATCACCAGTAAGTGTCAATATTTATTTAAATGTATTGACTGGAAGATCAAATACATATGTAAACCTTGCCGATGTCATGTAAGCACAAGTATCTGATCAAGAAAGTAAATATTAAGGAAATGCATAGTTCACTGTTACCTGTCTTTCTCATCTAAAGTGGCCTTCATGGCAACCTTTAAAAAAAAAAAAAGATTGAGAAAATACATACCAAATACTCCTTATTAACAAACTAAGAGGAAGGCAAAGACAAAGAAGTGAATCACAAATGTTTTTCTTGTTGTGCAGAAAACTTTTCAGGCCATTTTTAACTTGTTATGATTCTCCTGGACCCTCCCCCCCCCCCACAATGGTACACAAGCATAATTCAGTTCACATGCTTACTCAACACAGGTCATACATCTATTATATTTCCTTATGACATCCTTGCTTCAGATCGTGATTGGCTTTTGTGAAAACATAAGTTTGGTATGTTTTGTGACAATTTATAACCTTACTTGCATTTGCTGCTGATCATCATGGAATCCATCAGTACCCTCTAACAGCTTCTCATTCAACTGTTGATTAAGATTAGCCATCTCTACCTGTATATGAAAATATATGATTTGGTCAATAACTCTTTACACCCTTGCATCAACATGCATATTCTCTGTGCTGCTCCCTAGACATTTCTTAGAGTGCTGACAAGGAGAATTTGTTAAACCATCAAGAGCTTCTTTAGTTGGTGATCATTTCCTTTATTCTTGTAGCCTGCAGAGCAGGCGTAATTTTGGCTAGTGAGTGCTAAGTAATTTCATAACGAATGTTTTGGCTGCCATCTTTGATTTTAATGGCAGCGAGAGGGTGGGGAGAGGAAAAATTTATACCAAGGGGGCGGTTGACATTCATGAATAAGGAGAGGGGTGGGGGTAGGGGATGGAAGATTTTTCTCCCCTCCCCTACCCCCACCATCCACTCTAACTGCAAATCAAAAATGGCTGGTCGAACAACTGATCGTGAGCTTTTTAGCATTAGCTTGCACTAACAAGACGCCTGCACTGCAGGCTATTATTCTTGTGACCTCAATGTTTGATTTAGGGTTGATATTGTGAGGAAAGGTTAGATGCACGTCACTTTTAATGGGTCAGACAGTTAATGTGATTGTATCTGAGTTATGAAAGTTGTTTGCTTGAATAAGATAATTCACAAGTCATAAGGTCAGATAATTGACCTAGAGCTATAAAATAACAAAGGGCTATTATCAAGCAACATAAAAGTAACATTGCTGATCCTAGCAGTATACAAGACACATGTCATGTGAACTTCATAGTAGACCTTGCTCACCATGGAGTCTCTATGGCTCAGTAGTAGAACATTGGGGCACAGAATCTGAAGGTCTGAGGTTGGATTCCTCATGGGGACTCAGAAATTTTTTTTGTCCCACACTCCTGACAAGACGAAAACATCTTTCTTCATAAAAGTAACAGTTTGAGTCACTTACAAGCCTATCAGCTGTGTCCTCAAGTTCATTCTTAGCAATTGCCAATTCCTAGAAACAGAGAGAGCATAAAATGACCAGCAATATTCAAGAATTCAATTAGAAAACTGAAAGCAATGTGTCACCTGGTTCCATCGAGGATGGCTTCATGTTTTTCTTTACTGTTTATTGTACACTGCCTGAAAGGCTTACAGAGTTCTTTACCCCCTGCCCCCTCCCCCATCACCCCCAATAAATGACATACAAAACTGAAACCAGCTTGAAGTTCTTACTAGCTCTCTACAACACATTCCATTGTCTTGATTGGTCATTGTGATTACATCAGAGTTGGTTTTTGTTTTATGACACTGCGTAAAAATTTACGTGGTCTTCTAAATCTAAATCAAACCCTTCTGGAGATACCATTTAACAAAACAAACATCAAACCTGTTCCATTTCTTTAAGTTTTGTTTCATATCCTTCCCTGATCTCTCTCAGCTCTTCATTGTGTTCTTCTGTAAGCTGTGTGGTTAAACAGCATTAAATAAGTACACTGAGCCTGGATTCTTTTCTGCCTGTAGCTAAGCCTTCTTGGCCTTACTTTTGAGTGAATATTATAACAATAGTTTTCAAAAATGTTGAAAAGGCCACAAACAGCAAACTTTTATGCACATAAAATAATAACAATCAGGCCCACTACTTTGTGATCAAGTACTGGGAAAACCACCAACCTGTGAAACAAGGCTACATTTACACATCCCTGTCCCTCCCACTTTCATTAAACAGTTACATCACATTCCATTCCCATGCTTCATGCTTCCATATCTATTTCCTCCTTCCAATTTTTTTCATGTTTCATACTTAACCCTGTTTTCTTTGGTAACCATAGAAACTTCTTACAAAGAAAAGGCTGCGGTGAAGCTCCTCCTTTTTTGATGATGTCTGGTATTATCTTCCTCCTTATGTCTTTTCAAGGAGCTTTTCCATGACAATAAAACATCCCAGATGCACTTAGCTCTGCCATGACATCTAACATGACACTTCAGCAATTGGAACTATGCGATACATAAGCAGTGGAGTGGGCATGATTTCAGGCCCATTTCACAAATCTGTGGTTTTTGTAGTAACAAACAGATCCTCAGATAACTCTGAACATAGCTTTCATTCAGGGTTGCCAAAACATCACTCACTATCATCAATACCAACACTATCAGAATTACTTAAACCAAACCAGGCAACATGTTCAGTATATTGTCATTGTTCACTGATTGCTACTGGTATTTAAATACCCACCTGTTTAATCTGTGTGTCATTATTTTGAGCAAAGGTTTCCACTGCATTCCTAACAGGGGAAAAATCTAAATTAAAATCAATTCCAAACAGGGTGTGTTTCACTCTCCTAGAATGAAACTTGGCACATCACTGAACATGAAACAAAATAGAGAAGGTGAAAGACTAGACAGGATGTAAACTGCAAATGAGAAGTATAAAAATGCATGAAAAGAAAAGAGAGATGTAAGTGCTTTATCAATGAGTGTAAATCAAGCTATGGCATTTTTTGTGACTAAAACTAGCATTTTTGGAATTTCAGTTAAAATTACACAGTTTGCACTTACGAGGCTTTAACCAGCAATTCCTGTCTTTCAACCAATTCTTTCTTCAGCTTTTCCACTGTCACTTTAAGCTCAATGTTCTTTGACAAAAAAATAAAAATGATTTTCTCAAATAATGAATTTAGAAAAAAAAAATTACATAATTACATATGGGTACATATGTTTCAATCTGTAATTTAATAAAATTGATTTTAAAAAAATTATTAAACTGAGAGAGTGAGTTTCTCTATGTTTCAACTGAGATCATGATAATTAAGCTTTCAATTTGTTCCTGATTTCTTCCTTAACACCGTTTCCGTATTTTGTGCCATAGCTCATCTCAAACTAAAATCCCTAATCCATCAACTCTTTAACTCCCATGAGTGACCAAGACAGAATTTCTCCTCACGATATCAATACAATATCAAGCATATGAGTGATGAGAATAAAGAAAAATATCGATAAGGGGATCCAGTACCAAATTCTCAAAACTGACATCATAAGAACTGTATGCCAAACAGTAGGGAGAGTTTCTAAGGAGATTTTGGGAGTGAAAGGGTTAAAAATTTCAAAACCTTTTTGCTCAGTACACCAAACCTATACAATTCCTTAATTTACAAAAAGTACATGTAACCTTTTCACTAAGATGACTTTAAAATCTTTTAATCTAAAATGGAATAAATTGATTTTTTTCTTCTACAGTAAGTCAAGCTGTATACTCCATTAACTCCATTCTAAAAATTTATGAAGTAAATGGAATTTATTGAGTAATTAAGTTGATACTTTCAATCAAAAAATAAACAAATAACAGGAAATTTAGTTTATAAAAAGTCAATTTTACTTACAGCCTTGAAAATGTCCTCTGGAACATCACCACTCTGGTTAACACGTTCTTCCAAGAAATAAATTCTCAGCTTCAAACCAAAATTTTCTTTCTTTAGCTCTGATATTTGCTATGAATGGACAAAGCAGAATGTAATTAATTGCACACAAAAATTATATTTTTTAATTGTGTTGATTTTTCAGCCACCTCCAGACAATCCTAAGACAAAAATCCAACATGGAAACAAATCACAATTCCTGCTGTAATATTTTGACAATTTTGCAGATAAATATTGTTCAAACCTCATTCAGCTGTTTGGCCATTGTTTAATTGAAAAAATAAAGTTATCCTTTAAATGCAAATCTTGCCCACATTAGCCAAACAGCCTCAAAAATATTCATCCTTGAGTTGAGACTTGTTACTCCTTAATGCTGTCAGCTGCAACCCTGAAATGCCTTAAATTTTCATTTTCCTTCTATCAACAGGGGCCACTTTGAATTTAAGAAGAATATAAATATTCAAATTAAAGAAGAACTGAAATAAAAGTTCACTTCAAATTTAGTTGTAAAAAATGGAAAAAAAATAGACTTCAAATATGCGCATTTTAAGGAGAATAATTCCAACTGCTTTTAACTGTGTAAGTAATATGGCTATTAAAGCACAGGTGGACAGGAAGCTCAGACACACACATCTGTAAAAAGCTTTTGTCAGCTCCTAGGAATTATTGAAACTGATATCACCAAAATTAATTTGGCGGATAATTGACCCTAGTTTTTAACTGCATAAAGCTGATAAACTGACCAAGAGAATTGGATAAAAATCAACCCTGTATACTTAGTGATCTATAACCATAATTTTTGGGGTCGGTAAAGAGATAATTGAGAATGAGAGGGTTGTTACAATTGCAGCCAGGCATAATCAGTTGATGAAGTTGCACCTTTCTAAAATATGTTTCTGAGATTGTAAAGGAACAAACTCTCGGAGTGATCAGATAAAATTCTTACAATTAACATAGTACAGAACTCTTTTTTGCTGCTTCATATTCCAAGGGGAAGAAACAGTCCAAGCAAAAAGATGGTCCACTATCCAAGAAATCTTGACCTAATGCTGTAGTTTCACAATGGTGAGAAACAAAGAGTTTCTTTTATTTCTGATGCAAAAAGACAATTGCATCAAACAATATTAAGCAAGAAGATTTTTCAACAAAGGAATTTCTTTAAACAAGGAGAGAATACCAGCAAAATAAGTTCAGAGGCTTGTTCACCAGCTGAAACAAATGCCATATAAACAGCAAGTAACTTTGCACAACTTTCAAAATGACCACAAAAACAAAGGGGAAGCTATATCTCCAGCCTTTCAATTTGCAGTGGCCAATTTAAAGATAAATATGTAAAACTCATTGCACAGCTCCCCAACTGAATGTTTCATAACATCCAAAGTGTTAAATAACTTGCTTGACAACATCTATTAAATATTTACAAGTTTACTTTTAACATGACTACAAGCAAAGTGTGCATGCAAGTCTAACAAAGGATTAGAACACTGTATCACTGTTAAAGTTCACTTACATATTCATAGTCTTTCATTGTTTTTGTTTGAGGAGACCCACCACTGTCTTGATTAGCTGCACCTAGAAGGAGATAAAGTATACTTCAGCTTATTATTTTCACTGTAGTGTACCTAGTGTACAAGATTCTTGATGCACATGTAGTTTGTCCCTCAATTTATCTAAAGTTTCCAAGCTCTGTCTTTCCCAGTGATGGGTCAAAAATGCAGAAAGAATGGGTCAAAGTATATGAATGTTATTACTCATCCATTTAGATTTTAGTCTGCAAGTTTGATATTCTAAAGAAAGACTGAATTTCTGATTTTTGTGTCTGAACACTAAACTAAAACATTTGGAACCCTTCCTAGTGATCTGAATCAAAATTCTCTCTTCTCCTTTCCTCACATTTCCTTTAAAATAAGCTATGAGAGTTTATCATTCCATCAAGATCTTACAAAACTGATCAATTTCTTACTTCTTATTACCTGTTGGCTAGACAATGTTTTGGTATTGTGGAAAGAATTCATGTGTTGATCATGACTGCACTCTGGCAGATGCTGTGTCATGGTAATTAAAGCTGTAATTATGTTGATAACTATACCGTAGCTATAATTATGTTTATTAGTAACACTGCTATAGTAACTATGAACTTAACTACACTACAGAGAAAACAATTTTTTTCTAAACTGAAAGCTGTTATCTCAACTGCGTGATATTCCTATAGACAGACATCTCATCTTAAGACTCAAATTACGAGACTGTAATCCTTATGTCTAAATTATGAACAACTGCTCACAATCACACGGGCAACAAAGAGTAACAAATCCAAATTGTCTCTTATCTTGACGTTCACACTGTCTAAGCTAAACAGGCCAGTGTGGCTTTTCGAAATTCCTGAGCAATTTTACAAGGTTGGAAATCTCAAAAAGTTTACAGGGATTACGTATACGTGCACTGCATGCCTTGGAAAAATGGCAAAGTAATGAATTACAAATGAGCCATTGGCGCCTGAGATGCGAGATCCCCAGCTCGACGATGGAGCGGAACTCTGAAGCAAAAATAGAAATCCTAACCTGTTGTTGTAGGTCGTACTGTTAATCCCTCGGAAAATTCAGCGGAGGAATCCAACATGTCACCTCCCGTGCCCGCCACAACAGCCTCCCTGAACCTTGCGAGGTTAGTGCTAAGGAGATGAAATTTAGAATCAAAATAAGCTTTATTCAAGCTGCAAATGATGCTAATGAAAGACTATCCATATAAATAATAGATCAACCCGAAGGTTTAATAACCCCGGACAAAACCGCACAGCGATCGATGAACCCAAAACAACTTGTCAAACAAAGCGAAACACTATTAAGATGTCACTGTCAAATTACCTCCGATCAAAATCTAGAGGAAGAGTTATATCGTCCTCGGCTACAGAATCCATGGTACTGTCCGCTCAAGCCTTCTTTGAAGTATAAATGATTACAGGATACGAAATGAAACAATGCTCAACTGTATATTTTACAAATCATTTCGCCACTGCATTACCGCCATTTTTTCACATTTTTGCGAGCCTGCAAGGCATACCGCTGACAGACAAGCTGTTTTGTTGGAGCTGGTTATCAGTCAAAATATTGTTTGCGTGAGAGTCGGTCTGTTGGAGCCACTCGTTTGATACACTGATTTATCCTTGAATATCGGAAACGTCAAGAAATGAACTTCTGTTTTGATACACTAAATATATTTGTTTACAACTGTTCCGCTTACTTTCGGAAGTTTTGAAAGTCGATTATTCAAATTTATTCAGATACTTTGTTTTCACCTTTTGTTTGCAAAGTAAAGTTTCTCAGATTAAGTACTCTGAGTCATTTGCTTTTCACATGATCAGCCAGCCACAACTGAGTGCGTCATAAAAACGATAAACCCACGACACAAATGCCTCACGTAGGGGGGGCCTGCGGAGATATGAAGGAAATTCACTTCCGGTCACGAAACCACCTACTCACAGAAACAAGTGACAAACTGTGAAAGCGTTTGTTACGGATCAGCCCCACAGACTACGCCGACTCGCAAGTCTACAGTTCTCACGGTGTATCAGGGAAATTTCGAAAAATACTTTACGAGGAAAACGCTTTTGATACAATCTTTAAAGGTTGAATTTATCAAGATCAGGAAAAGGGACAGTCGAAAGTCCGCCCGAGTGACGTTCTCGTACTTTGACAACAGTGATATCTTGTGATTTGTACTGTGTACATCCCACTTCACTGTACACTACTTACAGTTATGTTTCTTCGGGGTGATAACGGTTTTAGGGTGAGTTCACAACTGTTTCATTATTTTAATTTACCATATGAAAACCCATTTGAGTTTGATGTAATTAACAGAATATTCAGTCGCGTTATTATACTTCATTATCAATACCAATCAAAGAGCCCGTCAAGTCAGTTATTAGATTTTTATTTAGGTGTTTCATAGCACAATGTGGTACTAACTTATTGAAAAGACGGTGGTTTTCATGGGACTTGTATTTACTGAGTTAAAAATACCGCGAGTCATACTGTGAATTGTGTTGAAGCGTGAAAGAATCTCATATGGAAATAATATAGTTCTGTATTTTTACACATCCTGCTCAGGGGCGTTACCCAAAAGATTTTTTCAGTTTCGCGTCACATCACATTTCCTTGATCTTATCCCACATGATTTAAGAACGTCACATGCTTCTATCTGTCTTTTTTCGCGAGGATTTACCGGTAGATTATGTGTCATGACAGAGCGGATATTGAGGCTGAAATCCGTTCAATACGTTAGAATCACTTGGATTCCTGTTTATTAGACAAACCGGAAGGCCTTCGATCCATGAAATTCCAAAGTGACCCGAGACCAATCCGCAAGGATTGTTGGAGGCTTAATCGCTGTAAAGATACTGATCACAACGCTGTAATCAACTGTGGGATATAAAAAATCTCAACTCTTGTCTTTATAATTACAGAAAAGCTCTGAAGCTTAGACCCTTTATTCTAATTTTTTTTTGATACTTAGCTTAACCTACGGAGATAGCATGACTTGAAAGTATTAGAAAAGCCAGCCTCTCCCGTTCTAGACCTTATTAGACCTTATGGATACTCGTTTCAATCTAAAAGGAGTGATAGTTTCCCCGCTTATCAATATACCTTTATCTCGAGCTCTGTTAGGGTCACTTAATGGTATCTTGAATTTCTAAAAAATTGGTTTTATGGAGCACTCTCAGTTGGATGTTTTGCACAAAGCTTCTCCTTCCTCTTCTCTTGAGCACATAATTCCAAACAGATTGATCAAAAGGCCCCCAAAAGCGACTCCTTGAAATCTGTCACTTTCATGATATTGAGTCGAACGGTGTTGATCATGTCGAATCACATATCAATCTATTATTCAAAACATCACCATAAACACAGCGTTTGATTTTTCACCACAAGTTGCTCTCAAATCAAGTATCACCTGATATGTTGTGAGGACCGTCATAAACTAAAGGATGGCGAAACAGCTCAGTGGAAAGGGTATTTTGTTTTAAAAAGGAAGTTCGAGACCATTAAAAACATGTAGTTTATTAAGAGTGAGGGATAGAAAGTTATGTCCCTTTGGCGTAATTCACGATGTTTAGCACGAAAAATTAACAATTTTGATTTGCCTCCATGCCAAGTCAGATAACAGCAAAGATGATGTTCTTTCAAACTTTGTTTGACCTGAGTTTTGGCACTGATTTCTAATTTGGTTTTAATTTCACCAGAAATCCCGACGGACTATTCCAAACGTCAGCTGTTTCATACAGAGCGTGTACAACCTTATGATGTCATCTAGACTCGTAGCGGTTCAATGTGAGGCTGCAGCACTATTGGTTGAATTGTCGGCAGTTCCACAAGTGTTAGAGGTACAGTGCAGTACAGAACAGTAACGAAACATTTATTATTATCCAACTGCACGAAGTAAAGTAAAAATAACGCGCAAATAGAGTACAAATTATATCCTGCGATATTGTACGGTTATTTGGATACTTCACGAATAGCTCTGGAAAGATGATTGGTCAGATCGCGTCTTACGTAACGAAATAACGTGTTAACCCTATGACCCGTAGGAGTGACCAGTATCGAATTTTTCCTTACAATATCACCCCTAAAAAAAAAGTTGAAAACACGAGATTAAAGGAAATTATCTCCAAGTTGAGAAGCTTCTTATTGTCAAAGATATTCAATTACGTTCTCAGCACATTAAGAAAGCAGAAAACAGCATGGAGAGTATTCATACTGATGTTCGATGTTAGAGGGTTAACAATGATATTTTGACCTTTCTTCTCTGTTGATTTTTCCAGGGTGTTGAAAGGTGCTATCTCAAGATTTTGGCTCAAAAGAACGTCGACGACACCTTGAAGAAAATCGCTCATGAAAGACTGAAAAACGTCCAAGAAAAAAGAAAATCAATCCCAAAGAGTCAAAAAAGGCGGCAAAAACTTGTCAAATTATAGGGAACGAAAATGAAGTATCCAAGATCATCTCTAGGAGTGGCATAAACGGTCCAAGGAAGCATGGGAGGAATGTTCTCAGTCCTGTTCTCAGCATCCAATCGAAAAGGAAGAAGACATCACAAGAAAACAATCGATATTCAAATAACAAAGAGAAAGCTATTTGAGGCGCGCGAAAAAGGCGCGTAACTTTGTCGCGAATGGTTTGAGTTTTAAATCTAATTGGTTGAGAAGGTGGCGCAAGTTTTCTAGACCAATATATTATAACGCAAAGTACTCGTCACACAATTGAAAATATTCAAATAGACCTTTGCCCACGTGATTTCTTCACTTTTTCTGGATAGAACTCTTAAGATGGCTTCCTCAGGTTGTATATTCCATTTATTGCGTTAAAAAGTATGACAAAGCTCAACAGTCAGGACCACCAGAAACTGACAGAAAAGCTGAGAGACAAGGACCTGACATAGTGCCAGTAATACGGGGGGATATACAACATCTGTCCTTCCTTCAAAATACACTCCTGATAAACTGCTGAAGAGAATTCAGGAAATTTGACGAGATCAGGCACTTCAACATCCACCTGAAAATACAAAATTGGATAGAAATCTTATTTTTATGTAAAAGTATCTCTAATTTCTGATAAGGATTGTATTTCAAATATGACACTTATTTGAAGTTATTTCAGTAGTATTTGTGCTTCTTTGGTTGACATGTTAACTGCTTTTTAAGTAGTTCCTCCACTGGCTCCGAATGGCATACGCTGAGTAGACACAAACGAAGGTTTACTAGTAGAGGCCCATCTCATCCACCTTAGTTGATCAAATGATTTATATTAATCACTGAAAAACAATTGTTGCCATGGAAACACACTCCTCCAGATACCTCTAACTTCCTTTACAGACTAGGGTAAGAAAGAGGGACATGGTCAGTTTTGTTTTCTAATGTGGGTATTAACATGCCAAGGGGGGGAAGGAAACATCTCTGTAAAGAATGAAGGTCAACTGCAAAAGGAGAAATGACGACAATTTCTCTGACTGTACACAAATATGTTTCTTCTGAAAGGAACACAAATTACCTGACTTGTGTTATTCAGTAGGGTAGATTTGTGAGGATAAAGCTTCCCTGTTTCACTTTTGGAATAAAGTCGTATATATTTCTCTCCAACCACTTGTGCCAATAGATTGTGATAAGGGTCGTGATGCATGGGTGAAATTGTACCCCTAGGTCCAAACCAGGCATTAATGATAACCTCATTATCACTTTCTCCAAGGTAGCAGTAATCAGGAGTAATGATATCTCTTCTTAACTCAGGGATCTGATCAAACAATTGGTGTTGAGCTAAATAAGCAATCTCAGACTCTTGTCCATTTTCAATTGGATTGAGATAATTGTCAATAAAATCTCCTATTGTCATTAATTTCTGTGTCCATGTGTCATCTGTATAACGTGAGCCCAGCTCCACTGGAACTGTGCGATAACCAGCGATATTCTTAAGATAATTGATACTCCATTGATGATTCGTTCTTGCAGGCCAGTGATCCATTACTCCTTCAAGAATTACTGGTTTGTCTTTCTGCATGTGATTTGTGAGAAAAGCTTCAATTGATGGACAACAAACATGGCCCAGTTCATAATTCTTGTCAATTATGGGTAAATTTGCAACACCCTTCCTTTTCTTTATAGAATTAATACTTGTAGATAACTGTTCATCTCCACTAGATTCAGGCTGAAGATTCATTGAGTCGTCCCTCAACCTCTTTTTTTCTTTAGATCTCACAGCTGCTGAAAATGTTTGTTTTTCTCCTTTTGCATGAATTTTAGATTCATAACAACTTAAAGTACTGTCTGCTGTGTCTTGATCAATAATACTACTTGACTTAACATTTTTCTGAAATTCAGTTGCAAGCCTTGTTAAAATGTTGTCCAAAATGGGGGCCCCTAACAGAAGTCCCATGTCACAAGTCTTCATGGCCTCTATCTGTCTTCCTAAGCCGTCGAGACAAAGAGCCTTGAACAAACTTGCATATGAATATGTCTCCCTCCAGATTACATTCACATCTCTCCAGTGACCCGTATTACATTTCTCCCAACAGATATCAATCACAGATTGACAATTTGACAGACAACTGTCTAGGTTATCACAGAAGAACTCATGTATCCCTTGAGTTAGAAGAAAAAGTACTGGGTCACCCCCAAACTTGGATAATTGACATAGATTATGAGCAAGCTTTAAATCTTTAGCATCCTGAACTGACGGGAGAAGCACCTGAAGCACTGATACAGCGCTGTTGGTTCCAGCTGGGAAGTTCGACATGTTAGCCTAGCTCCGTTCAGCGATCAATTAAATTACAAAACTAAAACGGGACAGCGGAATAATTGCAAATAATTACTCTTCCACACTACCATCATAGAGTGTCTAGAGATTAGATCCCAGTCTTTTCGGTAGTGGTCCGTCAATATGGCTGCTTTCGGTTCGCATGTAGGCCACTTCGTAGTCTTTTGAACGTCAATTGTTCATCTTAATCGTTATCAATGGCGTCTAAGAAACGACGAAAGTACCAAAAGCGTCATGCACACGATTTTTTCGACTTCCAAGAGGAAATAGAAGCCTTGTTTAACAAAAAATTTGTTTTAAAATCAAACGAGGAAGCATGGGAACTTCCGCATTCCTCTACTATGTTTCAAGAACCACCATTCATTCTAGCCGACCTGATCTCGCTAAAAGATGATTTGAATCAGAAGAAGAGTTTGCTGAATGATATGGATATTGTCAAATGGCATTTGCACACCCGTAGAACTCATAAAGCCGGTCTTGTCGTGAAGCACCTCAGAGAGAACTTCAATGCAGAGATGTGTACACAGGCCTGGACTAAATTCTACGAAATCTTAAACGCCTTTGATCTTATCCCAGAGGATGCACAAAGGAGTGAAAAATTTCGCTCTGTGCACCTCTGTGAGGCCCCTGGAGCTTTTGTTGCAAGTTTGAATCACTATTTGAAGAGCCATTACAACGGTATGGATTGGCAGTGGGTTGCTAATACTCTGAATCCTTACTACGAAGGAAATGACCTGGAAGCCATGCTGGATGATGACAGGTTTATTTTAAAAACATTGTCGCATTGGAATTTTGGTGTTGATGGAACTGGAGACTTGATGAATCTGGATAATCTGGATTCTCTTAAACAGGAGACAGGTGAAAGTCACTTGGTAAGGGAAAAGTCATAAGAGTCCTCTTGTGTTGTCTAACAATGATTTATTTTCTTTAAATTATTTCGATTGAAGGTTTCATTGTGATAATGTAGCTCCAGCCAGTTTGTGTAAATCTGGGCACTTAACAGTGAGATTGTGGAAACTGTTTGAGATCAGAAGCCCAGATACATGAATTTGATATGCCACTGATTTTAGTTATTTATGTCTTCCTGTTAGGTGGAAGGCAGAATGTCTCCCAATCTTTTTACCAGAGCTGTAACATTTTTTGATATTTTACAAATGAAGGTCTATGAGTGAAACTTAGTTACATGATTTCAGTGAGAGGTTTGACAATCAAAATCAAAAACCTGAAAAAAGAAAACATTCTCTTTGTATTTCATTTTAACTAATGTATCAAAATTTTGACTTGAGTTTGTAAGATTCTTACTATGGATCTTTTCTGGTCTTTTGGCACCCTCCCCCCACCACCACCTATTACACATTCTCTAGACCCCAAAGGTGCTTCTGCGACAATCTGGTTTAAGCTCTCCAGTTTAATATTTGCTCCACATCTCCAGGGCTCAGGGAACAGTTGCTTCATAGGGCATCTTGACTGTTCAATTGAAAAATAAAGAGACCAGTTACAGTCTAATAATACTTCTCTTTGGGTCGGTTTTGTTACTCTTCAGGTGACAGCAGATGGCAGTATTAATTGTGCTAATCAACCCGATGAACAAGAAAGTCTTGTGGGGCAATTAATCTTCTGTGAGGCAGTAGCTGCTATGAACCTACTTTGCCAAGGAGGAAACTTTGTGTTCAAAATGTTCACTGCACTTGAACATCAAATGGTTTCTCTGATGTATCTTCTTGCTTGTGTTTTTCAAGAAATACAAGTCATTAAACCAGGTAGGAACATGTATATAGCTCATTGCGCAGCTTGTATTCAAAATGTTCACTGCATTTGAGCATCAAATGGTTTCTCTGATGTATCTTCTTACTTGTGTTTTTCAAGAAATACAAGTTATTAAACCAGGTAGGAACATGTATATAACTCATTGCACAGCTTATAGGAGAGATCTACTGAGTTGTATGGGATACCTTCTGTGTCATAGTGAGAAAAGGTGGTAAACCCCGTTAGACACTGACTTGGGAACTCCCTAACACTTAATCTTCCAGAAGTGATTAACATGTAACTTCTCCCTATAATATCCTCACGTTACCTAGCAAACTGGTAATGAGAATACTCAAATTAGACACTGTCAGGTAGAAATGATTTTCTTGATTTATCACCAAATTCTCAAAACTAATTACAAGGTAATGAGTAGAAGCTAGAGGGGAGAATTAAAAATGAGTTCTTGAAAGTTAAGGGGTTAATGGAAAATCTTACCTAGACTCCTCTAACTTAAGACACCCCATACTTATTTTGAACAATCGAAACACTGAAATATATCAAGTCTTACAAAAAAAAGTTTTAAAGAGGAACAAATTATTTCATTGTTTTCTTCTAGGTACTAGTAAATCTGGTAATTCAGAAGTATATATTGTATGCCTCCGATTTATTGGAGAACAGCAAATTCCAAGTTGTATTTTGGAAGAACTGAGAAAGGCTTTCACTCCACACTGCCCATTACCAAGCCTCTTTTCTTTACAATCAATTCCCACTACTTTTCTGGAGAGATTGAGAACATGCCAGAAGTACTTTACAGGACTTCAAATGGAAGCCATTGATCTGAACATTCAACAGTTCCACTACATGACTTCTGCAGAGAGAAAGGCACACAATCAACTTCGTCAGCTTGTGGTGGAAAACTTTGTAGAAAAATTCCATTTGCAGCCAATCAGTGAAGAGGAGCATGTAGTAATGAGTACCAGCTTAGATGGGACACAGTTAAGCTTCAACAGAGGGCCCACAAATTGTGTCCCTTTTGCTGAGACTTTTGCTGGTACACGTCAGAGGGGAAGTTACAACCAGAGACAAGGAAATCTTCATCAGAACTGGCTGGACAAAATCAAAGTTGATAGTCAGTTAAAATTTTGTCCATCTCATTCTAGAACTTTGCAAGGTAGGCTGATGGGTTTTTCATTTCCTTGATTGAAGCAACCTATGTAAACTATTGTATTTTTTTTAAGACCTTGTCAAAAAATGGTTATGTTGTGGACATTTCTCAGAAGAGCACTTTCAGACCTGCTGTATTACAAGTTTTACTTAGGAGAGGTAACTTTTCAAACTGTAAAATTAGGCAACCACCTAAAATGTCTTAATAATGTTAGACTAATTTTCTCAATTGAAAGCCCAAGCATAGCCCCATACAAATTACTGAGCCCAAAATCCAATGGCATGTCTTGTATATATGCATTCTGTGATTTACCAAAATCTATTTTTGGAACACTAGTCAAATAACTGGAAAAAAAATTTACAGTTCTACAATTTGGTAACATTGTCATTACCGTGGTACTGATGAGCCTATATTCATCTGTAACTAAGGAATACAATTTATCTCATTTCAGGCTTAGTACCTGATAGCCTATCTTTAAATTCCTAAATAAATCACTTGTGGTTGTTGGGGAAAAACAACCACAAATTCTGTAAATTATCCCCTGAAGGGATGTGTTGTTGAGGCCTATTATTTTTTCTTTTTTTTTTTTTTTTTTGCTGAATTTCATAACAAAAAAATTATTCAGCCCATGACCCACAATTATTTGGTATGCCACACATTCCAATCTTTCACAAACGGCCTTCAAGTGTCTATGAAACAAGACAGAGAGGAAGATAAATTTTTTGATAATTTGTTTCATAAACATATTCCGATCTTGTTGCAGACCTTTCTCAAGTCAGTAGCAGCGTCCCTCTTATTCCACTTTCTCATGATCAAGTTGTATGGTTACCAAGGACAAAGAGTTCTTCACCAGAGAGCTGGAAACCTAAGACTGCAGCTCGTTTTTTGGGCATTTTGAATTCACGTTTCTGCACCCCAATCTACATTAGCAAGCTGCAGGAGGCACATCAACAGGCAGCAATTCTGAGAGAAGAAAATGCTGACAATCTCAGAGCTCTTTTGGACAAAGTGAATCCTTCAAACATTGTCAAGATGTCAAGTGGAGGGGAAGCAGAACTGCGAAATCTTGATAATCTTGTTTTCTTTTCAGAAATGGCAAAGGGTGAAAATTATGGAATTGTGCTGAATCTTGTCAGTCGCCCATACTCCTTAGAACAATACTTACAAGAGAAGAACGCAAGATTCAACTCCGTTCAGTTGCACATGTCAACAGAAAGTGGAACACCTCATGGAGCTATTAACAATGAAAAACTTTGTAAATCTCAGAGAGTAAACCTTGTCTTTGCCAATTTCAGCCACACTGATGAGTTGAGTTCAAAACGAGAGATGGTTTATCTTTGCATAGTTGCTCTGAGGCTTTTAGAAAGTGGAGGAATGTTTGTCCTTAACTTTCACCAGACACTGACAAGGTTCAGTGTCGGCATTTTGTTTATATTGCACCAGGTGTTTGATAAATTAGCCATTGTTAAACCAGTGGTGTCACATCTTTTCAGCCCACAGAGGTTTCTGGTATGCAAAGGATTTCTCAGTGATGTTGAACATTACATAACCTATCTTGCACAGGTTTTTGATCAGCTCTCAAAACTGGACCAGGAGAAATCAGCATTTGATGTTGTTGAGATTGTTCCGATGGATCTTCTGTATAGTGAACAGTTTTACTTATTTGTTAAGCGGACAAATGAGCAATTGGCTTATTTACAACTTAAGGAAATTGTTCAACTGGAAAATTTCTTTCTTAATCCTGATCAATTGCCATTGTCAGAAGAAATTTCAAATCTCAAAAAGGAGGTTACTGCATACTTAAAATAATTGTATGACCCTCATACCCCAGAACAGCTTTAGACTATGGAATGAATGTTGATCCACTGAAATGAAAAGATAGCAAATAAATATAGATTGGTGGCTTGTGTTAGATTACCTTTAAATTAGCAACTGTGTGATCAAGAGTTCTTTTAACCTCTAACTCCTGGAAGTGATTGACATGCAACTTCTTCCTATAATATCCATACATCATCCAACAATACTCAAACTTGTCAGGTGAAGGTTATCTTGATCTTATACCAAATTCTTGTAACTTGTTAACAAGAAAATGTGTTCCAGCTAGAGGGGGGAATTAACAATCAGATCTTTGAGAAGTGGAAAAAGGCAGTAGAGACAAGACCAACTTATACCTCAGCCCATCGCTTGCTTTAGTTTTTTGCACTGATGGGAAAATTAACTCCTTGTCATACATTAATCAAGATGGGGCAGCAGGCAAAGTGACTAGTCTGGTCTAGCTTGAAGCTCTGAAAACTGTGAACACCTTCAATTTGACTGTGACAGGTCAGTTGCCTGCTAATCAATTCCAAGTAAGTTCAGGACAAGCAAACAATCCTCAAATCCACAACCTGGTTACCAGTTGATTATGGTTTAGTTGTCTCACACCTAGTTACAATGAACATTTTTTGGGGAGCATGATAACATTTTCGCACAAATCTTCATGTTCATAGTTGTTAGACTTTAACAAAAATGTTTAAAGCTTTCACCCACAAGATCTCATTAGTTATTCTCCTTACTGTCTGCCACTCAATTCTCATGATGTTATTTAGGAGCATTTGGTACTGGACCAACTGATGAACCCCTTATTGATACATTTCTTTATTCTTATTACTTTTCTGCTTGTTATTGTATTGATTTGTAGGGAGAAATTCTGTCTTGGTCGGGCATGAGAATTAAAAGCCAAGGGAGCTATGGGAAGTTATCCTTTCTTTGCACTTTTATCTGGGACATTCTTTTAGACACTCTAAAATGAAGGTGAAAAGAACTGCCACTTTTGTATTTTTCATTCAAAAGGAAACAATTAAATACATAGTTGCCAAAGTGATTTCATTCAGATTTTGTTGTAGTTTATTTTTCTCTCCCTTGCCATGTAGCCAGCCATATGAAGACAATGGCTAGCAGGAAAAACTGAGTGTCAAAAGGACACAGCCAATTCCTATTTCTTTTAATTATTCCTTGCTCCTCAGTTTTAATCAAACTTTTTGGTTACATATCTAGTAAATAAAGCAGAAGCTAAAACATATTACAGTTCAAGACACTTGTTGTCCTATTGAAGTTGCTGGTCATTGAGAAATATGTAGTCAGTAAGACACTGGCTTACAAAGAGCACTGGTTGGTTTCATTATGCAACAAAGCAAACTCCAATTGATCTGGAATCCCTACAACACAATAAGGCATTCATGCAAGTAAAACAACAGTAAAGTCAGACTGCAAGCAAAGTTATTTTGCTTTAGTTTTCTTGTATTTCACTCCAACACTTGTGTCACTTGCAAGAAATAAGTAAAAGAAAGGCACTACTCAGAGCCCCCTCTGGTAATACAATTGACAAGGGTTTTCCTTAATCACACTTTGGGAATTTCAATCAACAAAAATATAAACATTGATGCTGCTATAATTGTACAATAACTCTAACAATAGTTACTTTGATTAATTGTTTCTATAATTTTCTTTACCTTAAGTTTTTCAAAGAATTGAAACTTTGCAAGTGCATGTGCTAATGAAGAAAACACCTAGCTTCCACTCAACTTAGAAAAATAAACAAACTTGTTTAAAATTTATTTAGGGTGCAGGATTGTGGTTTGAAAATTCACTTCTGCCACAATACCAAGTCACCCTTAGTGCACAATATAAACAGGGGAATAGCTAGATTTAAAACCAAATTCTCAAAACAAACATTGTTAAGACTGGGTGACACACAATAACATAGGTTTGTGCACAGATCTTGGGAGTAGAAGGGTTGAGATCATCACAGGGGTGTTAACCCTTTAACTCCCAGGAGTGATTAACATGTTACGTCTCCCTATAATATCCATACCATATCCAGCAAAGATATGATGAGAATTCTCAAACTTATCAAGTACAGGTTTTTGTCTTGATCTAACACCAAATTCTCATAACTTAGTTACAGGGAAATGTGTTGCAGCTATAGGGGAGAATTAACATCAGATCTGTGGGCTTTAAAGGGTTAACAGGTAAACCATGTTGAGTAATGACTGTGTAGTTTCTTCTTTACTTCATTAAGTTTAACGACATTTTAAACACAACTAGATGCATAATATGAATTGGGGTAATCATGTCCAATGAATGTCTAATCGGCATTCAGTTACTTATCTTTTGAAGGTACAGTTTTGACCAAATCTTCTAGTACCTTTCTTGCAAAATCACAAGTGTATCCAGTATAAATGTTGAATTTTTCCATGTTTGATATATGACTGTCAACTCCATTGATGACCTTCTCACAGCTGTTAGTATCAATATCTTTAAACTTCCTTTTCAGAGAGTGATTCTTCAAGGAAAGATTCTTTGCTGAAGTAAATGCATTATTGTCATTCGCATCCTTGCATTTGATCTTGCAGTTGGAAATATTTCCCTTGGGGGAACTCAAATGTTCATCAAACAAACACTTGGTTTTGTTGGCTGAAGTAGATGTAATGTGTTTAACCCTATTAACATCCACACTGTAAAAAACCTTGGGTTCCTCTTGCACTTGACTTTCTGTTAAGTCTTTTCTGCCTGATGACAAATCAACCCAACTATTTTCATTTCCACTTGTCTCCTGGACCATACTTTCACACTGAAAACCTTCTCCATTGGAAACATCGGTGAGATGCAGGTTTCCTTCTGGTTTGCTACCGGACATGAAAGGTTCAATGGTGGAGGAGGCAACTAGATTGACTTCATTGGCAGGGATGATTACATCAAAGTAATCAATATCCACTTCTGACATTCCTTGTGGTTCACTGCCAATTTTGCCACATTCTATGTTTGGTGAAACAATAGTACTGATCTCATCTTCTGTGATCATCTGTTCCTTGGAATTAGTGTCTTCACAATTGAGAGCACTTTTGTTTGATCTTTCTATCTTGTCATTGTCAGATAAGCTTGATTTGTTGTCTATTGATGAGGCTAATTTATTTTCATCTTCTGTGGTCTCTTCTCTTATACTGAGTACTGGTTTATCTGACATTCCCCCTTTTTGAAGGTCTTCAGCTGTGACTGGACTTCTCTGATCTCTTGGGACCTCTTTGGAAGGACTACACTCTGTATTGCCTGTGTCTAACCCACACTTTTCATCTTTCTCTACTTTTTTCCCAGGACTGGTAGGAAAGACTACCCCTTGAGGTTTCTTGATCTTAGCAGCCTTTCTTGTGAAGAGCTGACCTCTTGCCTTCGTCTTCTTGGGCTGCTGTGCTATGGAACTCATGAAGCATGTTACAGAATGAGGGATCCTGTACTTCTGTAATGGAGAATAATCCAGCAAAGATTGGAAGACATGCATGTTCACTCTAGTATTTATAGTTTCCCCTTGTGACAGTCTGTGTTTATGCACAATTGGAATGATTCTCCTCGGCCTGACAACCTGAACAAACTTTTGCAGCTCTTCAAAAGAACAATGATCAGAGTATGGAACTACAAAAACATTATCCAAATTGGCAAAGGGGTTTTTCCCACCAACATAAAGGCATGTTGGTAAAATAGCAATGGTTGGTTCTTCAGAGTTCCAAGCCTGCATGTTCTTCCTAGTTATTTCATTATTTTTCACAACCCTAATTCTGACTTTGTCAATCTCACAAGTAAATACATTCGGCATTTCAATTAGTTCCAAAGTTTCTATTCTTGAAGGATCCACTCCAATCCACGTTCGGAACGCTTTAGCGATGGTGTGGAGAAGCATCTCTTTGCCTAGGTTATGAAGCCCCATAACCACCTTGTGCTCTGAATGTCTTCGAATAATCTCGAGGATCTTGATAGTTGCTTCAGTACGAGAAGGAAAAATACAATTGGGATCACAGTAAGTATTGTCAAGATACAGCACATCAAATACTCTTCTGTTAATGGCAGAATGTGTTGCTATGCGTTCACAGTGACGAAAATCCCCGGTATAGAGGATTTTCCCAAAGTAACCTTCGAAAATAAACATAACAGAACCTGGGCAATGGTTTGCGTCGATCAAAGTTACGGACATAGTTTCTTGGCCTTGCTCGTCCAGGTTTATAATGATGTGTTCGTCCAAAGGTAAACCAGTCACGAGGTCGCTATTAACTCCAAGCTTTGCTGTTACAAGCTTCTTCGTCAGTTCTGAACAGTAAATGGTGTGAGTGTTCCAAGAAGAAGTAAGACCAGCCGTATGGTCTGCATGCATGTGAGAAAGAAAGAAAATCCTCGAGTGTGGACACTGCCTCAATCTCCAAAAGTCCACTGCTATTGGTGTACCAGGAATTACCGCTCCGTTCATTGCTAATGCCTCACTTCTTTTAATTCTTCTAGCTTTCAAAAGAAGACTGTTAATAATCTGAAAGGCCTACCGTCTGGTGACGACGCCATACAACAACTCTTCTAGACCAGATGTCCCTTGTGTTTCGATTTCGCGCGTTTTGGAATTTTTATGACCCAGAATTCCCTGGGGGTAACCAGTCACCTCACCACAAGCAACATCACAACCAAGTCGCCACCATTAAACAACTAGTATCTCTAACGACGCACGCGAACTTGAATGGTACATTTAACACGCACTCATAAAAAAGAAAAACAAATAAAAAAAAATAACTATTTTCGAAGGAAATGGATGCCTGAACTCTAAGTAACAGAGAATTGAGTCGGGATGGTATGTAATGATACAAAACAAACAGGGTTCCTGAAAACACTTCTACAAAATATTTGAAAACATAACGACTAAGGTGTACATGCACGAGCGTTGGAGTTGTTTCGTATTAATTTACGTTCATATTTTCTTGCTGTGGTGACATCTACACCGGTAATTGATGAAAGTTTAATTTCATAAGCAACTGTTTTCAGCAGCGGAAAAGTCAAGTCGAAGAACGCAAAATCTAGATGAATATTTAAAATCGCCTGAAAGGATGCGAATCCATGGGTGCTTATATGCTACGGGTGTGTAGAGAGCTGGACCTCTAGAAACTTCAATTCTCAAGAAATAAATACTAACAGAAGTAACAGCAGAACCATGTCTCTTTTAATCTGTTCTTTGCATTACTCTTACACCTTCAATAAATAAATAGATAGCCACCTCGCGCGAAATAAAGAACATGTACAGACTGAAGGCTGTACAAAAAAAATTATTGTGGCCCGAAAAAGGTAAATCTTCCGGGAGGAGAATATCTAAAGTCCAGAAAAGAGTACCCATCTTTCTTCATTCCCAGACTTGAGAAATGTTTTGGGACCCAAAAACCCTAAAATGAGGCCTAACAGACCTTTAAATCTTTACAGTATTTAACCCTCAAACTTTAGCGGTTCTTAAAATTTACTTCAAACGTTGGCAACTTTTATTCGAATAACAAGCAAATCAAACACTTGAAAAATTTAGAATTCTCATCTGATAAATAAATTCATCTCTATAACTTAAATCTCTTTTTTTCCTTTACACAACTTCAGATCAAAAATCTAATTCAATTTAATTTCTTCGCTCTATACAAAATTAGCCACGTCTAAAAAAAACGGTCTATACGATCAAAATATGTTGCTGCTTGAAATATTTCGTCTTTAGTCTACTTCGGTTTCTTCCAGGATGTATTCGAAATGAAAGCGGAAATTCAACGTAAGGCTTGTAAATGCATCAGGTATCATGCAGTCCCATAGTTAATTTTGCGCACACTTTTAACATACGATGGCCCGTCACAAAGCCTTTTTACAAAAGGATTTAGGAAATTTTATAAGCTTTAAATGTGAGCCCCTCTCTCACAGGGAGTTCACGCTCTCCACCACCCCCAATCCGTCCTCCCTCTCAAGCGCACCCGCTTGTATGTACTGTAACACAACCCTTGGAGTCGTGGTGCGCTGCTCTTAGTTGGAAACACTAGAGTAACTACTACAATTGTGAAAGTACTAGAGTAACTACAAGATCCGAGCTTACCCCCCCAAACCCACCCGTGCCTATCCTCTTGTCCCTCCCCGGGATTGAGCATATGGTTTAAAGATTCTTTGTTCCATCTCCATCCATCTATTGTTCTTCCCCATGTCTGCCTTCAGAGGAGCTGCTTCTTGAACTGTTTGTCCTGGTTCCTCTGTGCACCTGTTTGAGTTCATTAAACGACGAGGCAAACTGAGTCTTCTTCTGTGGTCGGGGAGGTTTCCTAAAATAAAGTACATGGAAAACGTTGACACTCAGTTATAATGATAGACACGACTTCATCTTCCCCCAAAAAGAAAAGCAAAATCTGAGACAAAGTTACAAGAAAATACCCAACCTTTGTACGTTCTGATCAGTAGACCACAAAATTATACTCATTGCAATATTGCACAGCCTCCATTTAAAACACTTACGCATCATTTCCTTCAGAGATCTGAAGAGAAGCAACCTCCCCTGCGATTTTAGTGACTCTTAGAGTAGAGGAAGACCCACTGAAAAAAAATACATAAATAAATAAATAAATAAATAAATAAATAAATAGATAAACAAAAAGACTCAATGGATCGGATGTACTTCAAGTCACTTCATGGTCGATACGTAAAATATCTTTGTCACGCTCATTCTCTACCATCAGTACGCAATTTCTCCACAGTGTTCTCTCCACATTTACTATGATAATGACTGTGAGGATTTGTTTAACAATCCATATCATAATGTTCTTGGAAAAATCAATTTAATTTCCACAAAAGTACGGATGGGCACCAACACCGATAAATTAACGAGGAAACGTGATAATGTGCCGAGGGCAACGCGCCGTACATTAGCATATCATCCGGAAGAGAGTACCGGTAATCCTCTTCACCTTGTGCTACAGCAACCGGGAAGGGGTCCAGCAGCTAAGCTGGTCCTCCACGGATACTCCTCTCCCCACCGCCGCCACCACCATTTTCAATGACAAAGACCTTGCTAATCAATACATCAATACATGTTCGACTGATTTGCACGAACAGTCCCAGAGTCTGTTAGTTTGATGTACCTTTGCCTGTCCTTAGAAGTCGAAGGAGAATCTTCTCCAATTGTTATTTGTGGTGTTTTAACTGTAGTGGATCTAGATGAGGATCTTTTACCAGATACCCCTCCGCTCCCCGGAAGACTTGACCTTCTCATCATTATTGGACCTGAAAAGAAAAGCAAGCAAAAACCAAGAGAAATCAACTTGTAGAATGAATAAGCTTAACGTTATTTAACAGTTCTTCCCACAACACAATGATCCCCAGATTTCACTCGTCACATAGGACACATAAATTGACGACTTAATTTTAGCGGGAAAAAAACTTAGGGGACTATGACTGTGTAAAGCTCAGTGATACACTGTTGAGTCACGACATAATCATGGAATTTTTCATTTTTAACTAATTGAGCCACTTCACGACATTGCCCTCAACTTACAAAAACACTCACTTGAAAAATTTACACGAATGGATCAATGTCAGTATATGAGCAACTGTGCACCTACCTGCCCCCCCCCCTCCCAACCCAACATTAACTCTAAGTTCACCCTTAGTTGTTCTCAGTTGACTGTTGTCGGGTAAGAAGGGGCGGGAGGGTGCGCAGTTGCTCAGATACTGACTTGATCCACTTTTTTTTATGATAAATCAAATGTGCAGTACCCCCTTAAATTTCAAGCGAGGAAAACAGTGTTCAGCGCGAGAACAGAGATGCGCTATCCAAAGTATAAGGCCAGCACTGACCTTTTCCAGCCCTTTCTTTTGTTAACGAGGATGCCGAGCCTCCCAGCTGAGAATTACGTTTTGTCAGTTTTTTCCCAATTTCTATTTGAGCAGCATCACTCACAGCTCTCCTGTCCTTCACTTCACAACTGGCTGATGAAGCTGAGCTGGAGCCACTTAATGAATGGCTTGTACTCTGGATGAAATTAAAATAAGCATATCATATAAACTATCTTTCCAAATGGCATTTAAGTGTCGCAAAACCCGAAAACAACATAGTCAGAGCGGCCAATCAGAGCAAAAAAATTATCACGAGGGGCGAATAGGAGCTCAAGGTGACATAACAAGCCAGCTTCTTGAAATGCTGAATAACCGCTAAAAATCTTCTCACAAACGTTGCCGTAGGATTATAAATCCTCGGACAATCATTCAAAATCCCCCTCTTCCTTCCAAAAACACAATATCGGAGGTGTTAATAAGCCTTCGATCTCAGACTACGCAATACGAAATAACTTGCTCAAAAAGATAGCATTACTACCTTTGAATCGTCACTATCCTTCCCCAAGGACTCGAGTGACTGCGACAGACTAGGCGACTGAGACTTGGTTGTTTTACGCCCTAACAAGAGACACATGGACAGCTTGGTTACATTTGAACCTAGTATGTGGCTACCTTACTATAAAATTCAGAAATTCGAAGGTCTAGGGTTTGACTCTTAACTGGGATTCAGATTTTCCCTCACTCAGATGTTTTCCTTTTTCCCAAGTTTGTGACTAAAAGAATCACATCTCAGATGTTCTTTGATACCACTCCAGTGCAAAATATTTTCGAGTGAAATCCGAAACTGTGATGCTAGGCAATAAGATAGAAAAGGAATGTAAAGCCACAAAATAATGAAACTATATATAACGCTACAAATTAAGAACTATTACTTCATTGTGCCGAAAAAGGTGTTACGTCTTCTTGCTATGTTTATTTTCGATCAGGGAGCCGTTGACCAAAAAAGGGTTTGTTGAACTTTCAACAACCCTGCCGCAAAAAAACCATATAACCGCCAGAAAAGGAAGTGCCACTGTCCTTTTTAGTTCACGATTTAACATCGTAAACTAGCATTCTTTGGATAATCTTCTTGAAGTAAAAGGATAAAACTCTGATACGCCAATTGTTTTCTTTTCTTCTGCCAGCAATGAAAAGGCTAATTACCAGAGAGCATATGATGATAAAGTCATTACCAGTGGGTTTCTTGATAGATTGCTGGGAGTTGTTCAACACATCTTCCCTTCCTATGGTTGTATGAGGACGAGTCTTCTTCTCAGTTGTTATCTAAGGGTAAAACAAAAAAGATTAACGCAATGTCATCAACGCGATCCATTGGCGGAGGTAATCACTAACATTTCAGCAGAAAGTAAGACCTGAAAAAAGAATTCAGCTTTCCACAAAGCTTGAATATGTGACTTCCAGATACAAGTAGAGCCACAAACAAACTTTAGAGCTTATGGGTTTTTTTGCCCGAGCTACCCATTGATTTCTATCTTATGCTGAAATTCAAAATATCAAAACTACGCTGAATGAATTTGTTGTCTGCAATTGCTTCAAATGTAGATGAGTCCGGCATGAATTCGTCGTTCATTTTTTAATGACACAGATTCCTTAATGTCATAGTTATAAACCTCAAGATAAGTTTACCCCGTTCCTCTTGAGTTTTGCCTCCCTACTGTCCGCTGTTAGTGTACTATCTCCTGTTGGAACTCTCAGCACTTCGGCAGTCCTTGCTCTTCTTAGTACTGGAAAAAGTAATGACGAGTAAAGACTGGTAAAAACTGAAAAACCGCTGTTTATAACTCAGAGAAATGAGAGAGAACTTTTAACTGTGGAACTCTGGTAAAATGAATCCTTTCTGACGATGACTGTAAAAGGAAAGTAATAGAAACCCAAACCCATAAAATGCACCTCCCACAAAGCAGAAACAAATGAGCACGTACCACACATAGTTCGTCCATCATCGCAGATGGTACAAATTTTCTTTTCTTTTTTCCCTACTAAGTTATTTTGGTTCAGCGCCGTTTAAATGCGAGCGAGTGCGAATCTAACAGCCACGCCCTCAGTTCTCTACAAATACACCGAGCCAAGTGTAATAACAGAACCCTAACATAAGAGTACATTTGGTTGCAAACATTTCACCAAATTTAACAAGATGTCGCTTAAAATCAAACCCTCACCCTTTTCTTGCTTAACTGGTACAGTTTTCTTTTCAAATGGATATAAAGGCTTCCTGGTAGGAGCTGCAAAGAAATCTTCAAATTAGGAACAAGACCAAGTAAGGCTTGATGTTAGGGAACAAGCCGAATAAACTGGTCAATTATGCGCTTAGGTAAGGAAGGTATTCCCGCAATTATTGTTACCAAATGCACATCTGAAAAAATATATAAACGTCTAGCTAAAAAACTAGTCAAAACATTTGACAGCGCTTGCTGTGAGAAAAATACCCTGAACTGCTCACGTTTTCCAGATACATGCTGTCTTGAAGCATTCTATGGAGTGGTAATTCTTGTAACGATAGGATTTTTAGTTATCGAGTTCTTTCATGCTTACGCTTCAAAATACAATATTCCACGTAGAAAACTTAGTTCAGAAAAGCGTAAACACTACCAGTTCTCCTTTAGTCACCCGTAAGCAGTTGTTATTAGTGTTAAACTGTAACAGCCACCTGTCATGTCCTTTTGTGTAACTGTTATCCACCGGAACTCTTTAAAGTAATTAATATTGTAAAAGGCGAAATTCCTACTTAGCCAATAGTGTAGTAGATTACATGATCCTGTAGATTATTCATGGCATTACGTTATCCATGTACGTTAGGTATAAATAGGACTGTTCTGTAAAGCTTAGCGGTTGGGTGAGAAAGTTAGGGAGTAGAACGGGGTCGAACCAGCCCTGGCCAGGTCCGTTCTGGTCAAAATTGTAGTCGAGCTTGCAGAATAAATCTACGTTGGAGCCAACCCTGTTGTTGTTAGTCATTCTCTCAAGGATAGTCAGCAGCCGTAATAGATTCCGGTTACCTCCCCGCAGCCAGCGAGTGCCCCCAAGGAGAGCCTTTACCCACAAGAGTTTTAAGAGTTGTCCCCGTCCGTCCGTTCATTTGTGAAGGCAAAACCCTGTTTTCACACTGGTAGAGGAGAGCGGCAAATTACGGAAAGACTATCAGAGAGAAGTGCTTCACGAAGAGTTGGTTTGACCCCTGGAGCGAACAAGAAAGAAGACGCCCAAGTAAGTGGAATTACATAGCAAAACGAAAAAGAAAAAAAAACACAACAAAAAACGAAACGAGAGAGAGACCGTTACCCATTTCATGTCGAGGTTTTTCAGAAAGAAGACCAACCCATATAATTTGAGAAGTAAAGGAAAATTACGTGGGAAAAACACACCACCTACGAGAGTGGACGCCTGTGTTGAGACCGATTTGCCATTCGACGAAAGTGACATAGCCCCGGAAGTAAGACAGGGACCGACCGCCGAAAAAGACACTGATTCTGAGCCATTAGAAAACCATCAAAGAGACTCTGACAAGTTTAACAAGACCAACTTGGAACTTGTAGATATCAGCGAAGTTTCTACTAGCGAAGACAGTTCTGACAGTTTGGAGCCACCTTGCCCTGGTAATACCCAGGATACTGAGGAAATAAACACGTTAACAGAAGAAATAGACATTTTCCAGGAAGAGGAAAATTTTACAGATACCGCCCTTGCGACAGGTGGACAACAGGTACCAGAGAGTACATTACACCTCGTTGATCATACGTCATTCACGCCACCTGGTACAACTTTCGTAGTGAATAACAGTACATCTTCTGGTGGACAACAGTTGCCAATTATTACTTCACCTGGCGACATTTACGAACATTTCCAGCGTGGTAGTTACGAGGGAGGATCACTCTGTGACGACTCTCCCAACGCTGATTCGAGTCCCTTACTCGTAAACCTTACTGACGCTGATACCAGTTCGATTACCTCTAGCAGCGCTGATAGCTCAATTTCAACTACCATGGAGGGAGAATACATCCGTGCCCTTCAGGAACTCACTCAGAAATTATTGAATAAGGATGTTCACATTAATAAATATCACGGATATGAAAACGAGGACATAAACCGCTGGTTTGAGAAACTAGAGTTGGTTTTGGAGTCTAAGGGAATTCCACTGGATGTTCCAGCCGCTAGAACACAGCTCATTAATAACCTCGCTGGGCCAGCAGAAACATTCATGTTTGAATTACCGCCTGAGGAGCGAGGAAGCTTTATGCTTTTAAAACAGGCCCTGGTGAAACGTTATTCGACTAAGGACCGTGCTTGGGTTAAGCGACGGAGGCTAGTTGCTCGCCGTCAAGGCCCCCACGAATTATTGTCAGACTATATCAATGACATGCACGAACTATTTAGCGGGTTAAACATGGCCGAGGTAGACAAAGTCACGTATTTCACTGAGGGTCTAACCCAACCATTAAAAATTAAAGTGCTCGAGCGAATGCCAGAAACACTTTTACAAGCAGAGGAAGTGGCTAGGACCGTTAATTCAATATCTCAACGTGAGAATACCACTAAAGAGGGTGACCAGATCGAGCGATTGATCGAGGCGCTCAACCGTAGCCAGCAGGTACCATCTCAAGTACCATCTAATAGTGCCCGTAATACCCTTCAGCCTCAACTTATTCAAGCTCATCTTGAGAAATTGACTCAAGGACTAGACGGCCTGACACCTATAACCACACACAAGGTTGCTGCGTGTTCAGAGCCCCGAGGAAACTATGAACGAAAACTGGACGAGCTTACGAACCTTATGCAGCGTATGGAGGGTCAGTTACAAGACCAAATTAAAAACCTAGATCGACGATTTGACGCACGCATAAATGGTCTAGCGCAACGCAGACAAGGTACTCGGGGTAACCGAGAAAGATCAAGAGATGGGAGACCAGTATGTTATCGCTGCGGAATGATGGGACACTTTCAGAACAGTTGCCCCCAAAGAGATACTGACCAGCGTCAACTGGTACCCAGGTACCCAAACACCGCTCCTAACAACAATGTACGTTATTCCGCTGGTCCACAGTCACACTTGAGAGCGCTGCCTTCGGCGCAGAGTCAGAACCGTGTTGCTGTTCTGGGTAATGACGGTGTTGCTCCTTCGGGACATTACATGATAGATGCCACACCAAGCAGAGCTCCGAATCTGCACACCGAAGAGCCCTTTTACCATGAGCCTTATAATGGAATGAGTTATAACTATGGTTACTATGCTGACGATCTAGAAAATGATGAAGTGGATGAATGGGATTATGATGATGAACATTACAACGTCGATCTAGCTTACGATGGAGTAGGTGACTTTGATACAGCACCATATGCCGAAGACACGATGCCACCCTCCAGTATCTCGTCCATACGGAGAGAGTCCCCCTATACCTCAGCAACTCACCAGTTTCAGCCATACTTCGCCCAGTTTGCGCAACGAGGGCCCCAGTCACTGCCAAGAGAGGAAATCGCTGGCCACCTAGACTCAGATCCTCTCAAGTCATCTCCTGTAACTGCCACTAGCTTCCAGTTAGAGAAGGAATGTAAATTAGAAAATGGGTTTCCGAAGGAAGATTTCACGCCACCTCCCGAATCGGAAACTGCGCCCCAGTTGGCCGACCGTTTGGAGCCACCCAGAAGTGTGCAAGAAGGCCCACGCCCTAGAGATATCTTGTCACAGACGACAGAAATGCCATTACAGAATTTTCCAGCCTCTAGTGATGTCCCTGCAGAAAATCCAGATGCTGCAGAAAATGTGTATGAAGAGACTCGCCCAGATCATCGAAAAATGACTGAAGGCAAGGGCACATCAAGTATTGATGTCAAAAAGGAGGTACCATCGACTACGAATCGCCATATCGCCAGTGGCACGAAGCTAGCGCCGGCCTGTCAACCAGCTATAGGGACTACACCAGAGTACCAGTCCCTTCCTACTATCCCTGGCAGTGGTGACATTACGAGCACACCCCAGAAGAAATTGGCTGCCAACTCCACCCAGAGGGACAAACCCGGAGAACTTATGGTCGAGGTGGGCATTAATGGTAAAACTATGCGTTGTCTAGTGGATACTGGAGCAGCCATATCTGTGCTAGATGCAAAGCACCTCGCAGACTTATATGACGGGAAAATACCACCCCTTAAGCCAAGCGCCATGGACTCAATTCGAACTGTTAGTGGTCAGCCTATGCCTATTCGGGGAGTCCTACAGACTGACATCGAAATTGCTGGTGGTCAATATCCTTGTGACTTCAAAGTGATAGACGGACTGGACTACAAAGGAGTCCTTGGCCGAGATTTCTGCTATGCCCAACAGGCACAAATCAGTTTTGGAACTCTAACAATTGCCTTGAAGAACCCCCCGACAGTACTCTTTTCGGACGCTTTAGTGGCAGTGGTAGCACCATCAACGTACGTTATTCCGCCCAGAAGTGAAGTAGTGTTTCCAGCTAGTATACTCGAAAAGACCGCACCTGGTGTTACCGGTCTCGTAGAATCCTCTCCACAAATGGCAGAGTGTTATCAGCTACAGGAGCAGCTGCTTTGGTAAAGATTGCAGATGATCACACGGTGCCGTTCCGTCTCATTAACCCGACAAGTCAACCAGTCACTCTGCAGAAAGGTGCTACCTTGGGCACTTTTTCCGAAGCCTACGGAGATTCCGGAGTACTCCCTTTTAAAGAATCTGCTACGGATCCACAGAATCCAGGACCATTGGACTCAGTCCCAGTTGATCTGGATAATTCTGCACTGTCGTCCGCGGAACAGTCGCGTCTGCGAGAGCTCCTGCAAGACTACCGAGATATTTTTGCAATACACCCCGACGAGCTTGGGCGTACCAACATCGTCCAGCACCATATCGAAACAGGTGACCACCCGCCTATACGATCACGCCCTTACCGGGTGCCATATGCTCAGAAAGAGACAATAGAGAAACACATTGAGGACATGCTTCACCGTAACGTCATCCAACCGTCTGTATCTCCATGGGCCAGTCCAGTAGTCCTCGTGCCTAAATCTGATGGTTCTTCCAGATTTTGTGTGGATTTCCGTAAGGTTAACAAGATAACCAAAAGGATTCTTATCCTCTACCGTTGATATCCGAAAGCCTTGACGCCTTAGGAGGAGCCAAGTTCTTTTCGAGTCTTGACTTGGTTTCGGGATACTGGCAGGTTGAAATGGACCCCGCTTCTCGTGAGAAGACTGCTTTCGTCACGCATGCAGGATTGTACGAATATACCACAATGCCTTTTGGGCTCTGCAACGCCCCTGGAACCTTCCAGCGATTAATGGAATGTGTTCTACGCGGACTCAACTGGCAGATTGCACTCATCTATCTTGATGATGTATTGGTATACTCTCAAAACTTCGAGGACCATCTACACCATCTACGCTTGGTCTTCGACAGATTCCGCGAGGCTGGCCTCAAACTCAAGCCGAGTAAGTGCCATTTTGGGCAAAAGGAGGTAAACTACCTGGGTCACGTGATCACTACCGAGGGAATACAACCAGATCCCAAGAAAGTCAAGGTCGTTCAGGAATATCCTGCCCCAACGTCCGTCAAAGAGGTACGAGCGTTTATGGGCCTGACAAATTATTATCGTAAGTTTGTCAAGGGGTTCGCTCAGGTTGCCAGTCCGTTACATGACTTGACAAAGAAGGGTGCGTCGTTCCTCTGGACTGAGGATTGTCAAAAGGCTTTTGACACGTTAAAGAAGGCCCTCACTGAAGCTCCAATACTTGCCTATCCTGACTTCACGCAGTCTTTTCAGCTGGCCACCGATGCAAGCAATGATGCCATAGGCATGGTACTTGGCCAAAAGCAGAACGGAAGAGAAGTCGTCATAGCTTACGCCGGAAGGAAGTTGAATCCCGCCGAACGAAACTACAGCGTCACGGAACGTGAAGCCCTGGCAGTTGTTGAAGGGGTTAAACAATTCCAACATTACGTGTATGGACGGCAGTTTACAGTACTAACTGACCACAGCGCTGTCCGTTGGTTGATGAACATCAAGGAACCTACCGGTCGTCTGGCACGTTGGGCCCTTCTCCTGCAGCAACACGACTTCACTATCCAGCATCGCTCTGGGCCGACCAACGGTAACGCTGACGCCCTTTCTCGTCGACCCTACGAATCAGTCGTCGCCGCCCTCGATCAGCCTGGTGTACAGGTTGACCGCGTAAAAGACGCTCAACGTCGAGACCACACCTTGGCTGACATCATTAGCTACTTAGAGGAAGAGAGTCTGCCCAATAACAGTGCTGCAGCAAAAGCCGTCTTGCATTCCATTGACAACTATTATTTGGACCCTGATGGGCTCCTCTGTCACATTTGGGTACCGGGAGGTCGACGTGTCCCCGGGATTCGCTCTCAGCTGGTCATACCTACTTCGCTAAGGCAGGAAATTTTGATTGGAGGTCACGACGATCCCTTGGCAGGTCACTTAGGAGTGAACAAGACTTATGAGAAACTCCGTGAACGTTACTACTGGCCTAAAATGTTTGCAGACGTACAATTTTGGTGTCTTTCTTGTACACATTGCCAGATGAAGAAAAGCCCTAAACAGCGACAGACAGCCCCCATCTTACCGATACCAGTAGAAGGTGCTTTTGATCGGGTAGCTGTTGATTGCCTTGGCCCCTTTCCTGTGAGTGACTCTGGAAATCGCTACATTGTCGTGTTTTCTGATTATCTGACCCGTTACCCAGAAGCCTTTGCTGTACCCACGATTGATGCCCCGACAATCGCAGACTTGCTGGTCAATGAAATTCTACCCCGTCATGGTGCCCCTCGTACATTGCTCTCAGACAGAGGGTCTAATTTTCTCTCCCGCTTAGTAAAGGAGGTTTGCTTCCTCATGGATACAAAGAAAACGTTTACAACAAGCTATCATCCTCAATGCGACGGCCTTGTAGAACGATTCAACGGAACTTTAGCACAGAGCTTATCACACTACGTCAATTCTTCTCAGAAAGATTGGGACCGCTATTTAAACCCAGTACTTTTCGGCTATCGTGTCTCACCGTCAGAAGTAACTGGTGAATCGCCCTTTTTCTTACTCTATGGAAGACAACCTAGACTCCCTATGGATGTTTCCATGCTTCCGCCTCGAGAAGTCTCTGCTTCAGTTGCGGAACATCGCGCACGAGTAGTAGAAAACATCGAGATTGCACATCGCATTGCAAAAGAGAATATACAGCGCGCTCAGCAGCGCATGAAAGATTATCATGATGTCCACGCCGTTCCTATCAGGCATCAAGTTGGTGACAGTGTCTGGGTTTACACGCCGCGCAATCGGAAGGGGTTATCTAAGAAATTAGCCCATAATTGGCATGGACCTTACAAGATTGTTGAATTCTTGTCCCCAGTTCATTGTATCTTACGGGCCACCGACAACCGCCGTGTCTCCACTACCGTCCACGTTTCTCGTCTCAAGCGTTACGTTTCACCGGATTCGCGCCCTATTCGCCAACCACCAGAGCTTGTTGAAGAATCTTATTTGGCTGAGAATGATTTACCGTCGGACAGCTTTGTAACGGACAACAATGAAGTGCTTCCTGAATCTCCCACCCCTGACCAAGAGGTTAACACTGGACAACCAATACCAGACACCGACGAATGTACGACTGGCCCCTCTCCTATTCTTCAGGAAACTCGTCCCCAGGCTGCTCCTCTCACTCGTTCGCAAACCTCTGAAACCAGGAGCCCCATTCCCTCGGTGTTACAAGCTCAGGAGGACGATTCTCCACGCTTATCCAGCGACCCTACCCCAGTTCCAGACAACGTCTACCAAGTTGAGAAGCTGCTCAAACAAAGGATGACAGATGGAGAACACCAGTTCTTGATTAAATGGCTAGGGTTTCCTTCGAGCCAAAACTCTTGGGAACCGGCTGACAACATTCTTGACAAGCGCTTGATCGCGACCTTCTATAAGAACCACCCGCGTGCTAATCGCCTCCAGGATTCAAACTTTCATGCACGAATAGCACCTTTGAATATGGTGGACGCCCCGACTGACACCCCTATAATTGCAGCTTTGTCTGTTCAACCGAAAGCTTGATTACCTTTTCGTACTTGCTGTTGCTTAATTTGAACCCCCGAGGCCCTTATATTTCGGCTTGTTCGGTTTATGCCGCGGTTCAGGCACAAAACAAAATCAAATACAAAATTTATAAAACAAACAAACAAACAAACAAAAACACCCCTATAGTTTTACTTCGCTGCGCTTTTTTTCGTTTCTTGTATTTATTATGCCTTCTCCTTTTTCGCTCGACCAGGAGGTCTCGATTTAAGGTGGGAGGAATGTAACGATAGGATTTTTAGTTATCGAGTTCTTTCATGCTTACGCTTCAAAATACAATATTCCACGTAGAAAACTTAGTTCAGAAAAGCGTAAACACTACCAGTTCTCCTTTAGTCACCCGTAAGCAGTTGTTATTAGTGTTAAACTGTAACAGCCACCTGTCATGTCCTTTTGTGTAACTGTTATCCACCGGAACTCTTTAAAGTAATTAATATTGTAAAAGGCGAAATTCCTACTTAGCCAATAGTGTAGTAGATTACATGATCCTGTAGATTATTCATGGCATTACGTTATCCATGTACGTTAGGTATAAATAGGACTGTTCTGTAAAGCTTAGCGGTTGGGTGAGAAAGTTAGGGAGTAGAACGGGGTCGAACCAGCCCTGGCCAGGTCCGTTCTGGTCAAAATTGTAGTCGAGCTTGCAGAATAAATCTACGTTGGAGCCAACCCTGTTGTTGTTAGTCATTCTCTCAAGGATAGTCAGCAGCCGTAATAGATTCCGGTTACCTCCCCGCAGCCAGCGAGTGCCCCCAAGGAGAGCCTTTACCCACAAGAGTTTTAAGAGTTGTCCCCGTCCGTCCGTTCATTTGTGAAGGCAAAACCCTGTTTTCACACTCTAAGCGAGGTGGTCTATGTACACAACTGTCATTTAACTTGCCACTTAGTCGGCCTCTTGGTGTTATTCTGATCCATACTCAGATTTATACCGTATCTTCAATTCAGTCAGGTTAAAATTTAGAAGATAAATTGTAATTTCAGAAAATGTTATATTATTATATTAGATATTTCACTCAGCTCGGAATTACAAACTTTGGAAATATCATTGAAAAGTGAATATTAATGTACATGGTGATCAGTATTATTTAGTTTTTAGTGATGAGTTATAGCCACGAGACTATGAAATGGGTTGAGATTATTAGAATTGTATTTTGTTATAGAATCATCATCATCATCATCATCATCATCACCGAAATGTGCTAAAGAACGTAACACAATGACGGAGATCGAAATTTATATCATGGATAATGAATTGGGCGTATCTAAAAGAAGGTATCGTCAAGCGCACAAATTTATTCGATGTTACTGAGCTGGTCATGATAGCACACATCAGTTTTCAACGGCCAAGTTTATCATCTATAGTGCTGTTGCGCATTACTTTATGCGTTTGAATTTTACATTTCAATTTATAATTTAGCTAGCTATACAAACAGCACCTTTAGCTTTTGTTTTACTGGTAGAAGCTTTAGCAGCAGCTGAAGCAGTTGTCTTTGTGGATGTACGTGCATTTCTTGGTCTTGTGGAGCCCTTCGCTGTACACAAAGGGTCTGTTAAAAAACGTGCATGTGCAGTGTGAGTGCAATACGCAAACTGTTACCTTCTAATTCAAGTGGCTAGTTTACATTTACAAAAGTCGTCATTTACAATCCATCTCAATCTTCGACATCCTAACTAAGCCATCGTTGCTTCTTCTTGATTTATCAATACCTCAATTGTGTTTTTCTATCTCACCAGACTGTTTTGTAATCTCCTTCAAGGTGAAGACAGTTTTGCAAGACTTAGATGGAATCAAAATGTCTTGACGAAGTTACTGAAACCTTCTTGTTCCCCAAGAGAGAATTTGGTCTTAAAGTGACACTCCATTAATACCCTTCCTATTCAACCTAACAGTGAAATATGTTTGCCAGTTTTATGGCCACCATCAATTATATGAAAGAAAATGAAAACTTAACACGTCAGAAAAAAGTACTTCCTATGCTATTGGCGAGGTGAGAGATGCCTGTACTACTTTCGTTGACAACAGTAAAGAGCTACGGTTTTGGAATGGGACAGGCATCAAATACAACTCCTGTTGAATAACATCTAGAGAGGAAGTAGATAACAGAGAAGAAAAACACGGCGGACAGACTGCTAAACTGAGCCCGTTTACATAGTGCAGGTGCAAAGAAATCATTAATCAAACAGAAGTAAAAATGAAGTAGTTAACACATTCACCCCTAAGAGTGACTAGCATGTAATTTCTCCTCACATCATCACAACTCAATCAAACATTAGGGTCATGAGAATAAAGGAAGTGACCACCAAAGAGGATCGTCTATCAGATTCTCCTTATCAGTGCCATAGGATAGTATGGATAACTGTGTAGAGAATATGCATAATGATGTTGGGGTATAAATGACTAAGAGTTGAATAAGGAACTATACACTTGTTACAGCAACATTTTCAAAACAAGATGAAGAAAAGAAACGAGCAAGTCTTCCCAAACGGTAAAAAGAGCTAAGTGTTACTGATTTTTAGTTAAATAAATTACATATTTAGTTAGTTTGGTTGTGTTCTCTATTCATCTAGGGGCAAGTAGATTTTGTTGTTTGTCGATAAAAAATTAATTGAGCGAAAAACTAATACCTGAGTTCAGAGTCTATTTTGGCAAAATTCCCTTTACGGTTAGAAAATTAATGGAATTGTTAATTAGGCAGAAACAGCAACAGAAATGGTTATTTACTGTATTGGAAAGTCATTGTAGTCTTCATACAGTTAATGAGTTAATGTTACTTATTACTGTTTTTTTTTTACACCATGTAGTTTCATCATCATAGACCATTGTTGTAGAGTGAATGTCACAGGCAGCCACTGCCTTGTCAGGGGTGACAAAAATGAGTGACTACATACTGGCCTGCTACATTACTGCTTAGCTTGTGTCAGTTGAGAGCAATATTTGAATTTATGTCCAAAATAATCTAAGACAACATCAGTTTTGCTAAACTATTCTCATCCAATCAGATGAAATCCACACCCAACGGCAACTTTATCATGTTTGTGGCTTTATCACTTTGTCACTTATTATAACAGTGTCATGAGTAATTGTTCCTTAATTGGGGCATATGTCTACAATCCTAGACTCCTCTTTTAAATATCAACAGATCATAAGTATCTCACTGTATACTTCTCTTCCTGTCCTCTTCTTGGTTGGGACACTTTCACACCTACCCTCACTGCACCATGCACTGACCTAAAAGACAACAGACTCACTGATTCAACACCTCAAAAAGAGGAGGAGAGTTATTTTTTCCAAATCACTGCCATTAACTTCCCAAGATTAGTCAATTATTTATATGCCATGCCTTCAGCCTGTTACCCTCTGCACCCCTGACTTAAGCTGTCTATAGACACTTTTTCTGTCTGTTTATTAAAAAAATGGTTAAATCTACATGAACTGGCTGTATTGTACAGGAACTAAGTTTTCTTATGGAGTGCCAATGTGTAGACTTACTGTGATTGAGTATTCTGTATTGGGTTTGAGAGACTTGGCAGTGCAGCTCTTTTCAACTCCATTGTAAATTGCCTGTTAAAGCAAGATAATGATTCATACAAGGAGTAATACATGCATTCTCCAAGCATTTATTTGCTGAATGCATGGGCACTAGTCAAAATAAAAGCATTATCATTAAAAAGAATCATGTTACATTAAGACTGATAGCAGGCTGACACAAGAAATGAAGCAAAACGTTACAAACATGACTGGGATATTTCAAGGTAACTGTACAAGGGTGTTGAATTCTGCATGACTAATTTGCACGATATACCTTTTTTGAGGTGCTTTAAAGTTTTGTTTTTTAAGAAACCGTGGTTATATCACTAGAGTAGTAACTGTTACAGTAACGTGTTCATTAGACAAACATTGATAGAAAGCTTAGATCACCGTTAACACTGTAAAAATAAACTATAAGATGTTTATTCTCACAACATACATACCACATCATCTACTCTGACTTCATAGCTGTTAATCCTTCCAAGTGGTTTGGGAGGACTCTCCCAAGATATCATCAGTTCATGACGACCCAGCACCTGAACCACTGGCTTAGGTGGAGCATGTGATGCTGCAAGAGATAAATTGATATAGTATTAATGACATACAGTTCTATTGCTCATGATGCTTCAGAGATCACAGAATTTTATTAACCCTTCCACTCCCAATATCTAAATATCAGTCTTCAGCAGTGTCTGCCATGCATTTCAAGTAATTTGATCTCTAAGAAATTGGTTTAAAAGCAAACTAAGTCCCTTATAGTTTATATTTTCCCTTCTTGCTACTTTTGTACTTTAAAATGTACTGACTTTGTAAGGAGAAATTCCTCTTTATAGGTCACTCCTGGGAGTGTAAGGGTTAATATTGAATAATGCTCAAGGAAGGATGAGTAGCAGCAATACAAACTATGAAATAAAAAATAAAATAATACACTAAAATGTCTAGAATGATAAATATTGTTGGCACAAGTGTAAAAGTAAGGAATTTAAGTACTGAGCCACGTAACTCATTTACTAGATTACTGTTATTGAACAACCACCAGTTTTTAATTAATATCATTGGGTATAAGACATCAATATTCAATTTTTTTTTCGACTCAACCTAAATCATCAGTAGCTGTTGTTAGAATGGCTGCTTCTCCTCGTCCCTTGCTTGTCAGAGCAAACACCTTAAAGTCAAATAAAGCAGAAAAATGCTTAGGTTGGTTGCTTGTGGTACCCATCCTGTGTGTAAGCAAAGACTGTGGGATCTTTTTACATACCTGGAATGTAAATTCAGTGTCAGGAGGCAAACTGGATAAAATGAAGTAATTCTCATGGACTTCAAGACTGGATGTCTTACCTCAATAGTACAGAAAAACATGATAATTACTTTTAATGTCTTGTGGCCTACACTTCATTCAAATGACTGATTGAAGGTCTTCTGACACATGCATTGTTGTTATAGAAAATATTGTTGTTCATCATGGTTTTATTTAGATAAACAAACAGTTCATCATTTGTTTCATGATGTTAAGGTAGGCAAATCAATTGTATTTATCATGATTTTTCAATGGCTATACTGCTAAGCCTGCATTTTTGTTAGGTATTACATACAAAATCAAAATTATATACATATAATATAATATATAATACAATATATAATACAATATGATGTCAATGACACAAATTTTCACTGCAACTGAGTATGGAAAAATACTTTAAAAGATATACCTCTCACAACAATTTGATATCCCTTAAGTACCCCATTGGAAGTTTCTGGTGGTTCCCACATTATTTTTATCTGTGATGTAGATTTGTTTAACACTTGGAGAGACTGAGGTGCACTTGGAACTGTGTATTACATAGGACATCATTAGAAATGAAATTGTTATTACTCACACACTACTAATTTATGAAAAAAGGCTTTATATACAGTAGAGGGTTTGAACATGCAATTATATCCATTAAGATCAACTTTTAAGGGGTGCTAAGATAACAGAGAATCTGAAAGAAAGGGAGCGCTGACAATACACCCACTCAGTCTCTAGAGTTTAAGGATTACAAGACTTTGACTAACAGAGAATTTCTCATTTTTCAGTTTTTAATCAAGTTTTGATGTTTTTCCTACTCAGATAAAGATCTAGCTAACATCAACAATGGCCCTTTCTGGGGGTGTTTCAGCCTTCCTTTACAATCAATTAGATTCAAATTCAAATTAAATTCTAATTAACTTAATCCACAAGACAAGAGAGCCATCACTGTGGACAGCTAACTACTTTGCTTTTGTTGAAATAGACCTCAAGGATCACACTAATCAAGTGTTGACTTGACCTGTTTACTGGTAGGAGTTTCAATGGGATTAGAAGTACCTGATTCAGGAGTAACAACAGACACATTCTTGCTTAGAGGACTGTCATCCCCTTCTGTTGAGGCTTGTAAATAGAAGCTGTACTTTGTGTTTGGTGTTAAGTCATTGGCTATGTAACTTGTTCTTGGACCAGAGTAAACCAATTTCTCATCTGGAGTGAATGAACATTTAACAGAGATGCAAAGTTTCTTGGCTATAGGTTCTAATCTCTACAGCAGTTTATTACCCTTTAATTTTCAGATCTGATGTGAATTCTCTCAAATAACAATGAAACAAACAACCTGAGTTTCACGAGTCAACATTTTACAAGTTTATTCCTTGCAATTTACTTAAGATTAAACTTTTCTTCAAGTTTAAACACTTGATAAAATTTTGGGCAACCTGACTTAGGATTTCAGGCAACATGACTATGAATTTCAGGCAACATGACTCTGGTTTCAGGCGACATGACTTGGGGCAAGATGACTTTTGGCCGACTTGACCGTTAACCAGTCTAAAAGGTGGACATAAATTGCAATCACGACAAAAAACAAATTCTAACTTCTAAGAGGTATGAAAATGGCCTCCACCATCTTTTGTTGAGAATCATGTTTAGCTACCTTTTGAGATATGAATTTATTACCTTGGAAAAGAAGGTATGTGACATCAAGACCACTTTTTGGATGAATAGGATCCCAGCTCACAATAACACTGTAGGCACTCTCCACTTGCAAGTTAAAAACAAGGCAACTTACATCATTTCTACCAAACTTCAACCTACTTTACATTACCATGTTTAACTTTTGATATAACTATATTATTACAACATCATTAAAGCTGAAAAATAACCGTAAGTCATTGAACATTGTCTAACCCAATTTTCAATATGCCCAGCCAATTTCACACAAAAATCAGGTATGATTTCCAAAGATTTCATGAACACCCATTGACTACCTCTTTTGAAGTTCTTCTCGATTGATAAAAGTTGCTGAGATAACTTGTTTGAGCTACATCTTAAAGATTACTCAACACAAGTGCCCTTCTTTTCTTCACTTCCAACTTTACAATCAAGTATACGATTTTGGACACTATTGTACAGTTTGGATACTAGTGTCAAATATTGGACACAGGTCTTCAAGTTTGGACTTTGTCGACTGATTGAGGACACTGGTGTCAAAATCGTCTCTAGTCTCTCAAAATAGAACACTACATATAGCAACTAATATTGGACACTAGTGTCCAAAATCAGACACCACCACAAAACAGACTTCAGAAGTAACTACCATACTAACCAAATATCGCATTTAATTTGCCAAGAGTGTATAGGACCCTAAAATAAAACCTGAGTCGATCGATCCCCCACATTAGGAATCAAACCTAATAGACCTTTGGATTTCATGCTCATATACCTTACTGTGGGGATACGGAAAACTCTGTGACAAGCAAGAAAGCCGCAAAGTTCATAGATAACAAGTGTCATGTATGATGCTAGGATTAAAAATGTCAAATGCATGAGTTGAGTTAGGGTAATAGAACTACTATACTACAATGCACAATATTATTGCAAACCTTTAATGTTTGGTGGTTTAGGTCGGGGAAGTTTTTCTAAAATGGCCAGAGTTGCTTCCACTTCCTCCTTAGTATCCTCTTTCAGACTTGGCCTCTCTAAGAGAGCCTACCAAGTAAAAACAAAAAATTAATCTTAGCACTCCATGAGTGACCAAAAAGGGATTCCTCCTTGAAACACCACTAACTTGTTAATTAGCAGAAAGGTTATAAGAAAGGAAAATATCAGATAGGGAACATTGTTCTTAGATCTTATATTATAAGAAATGCACGACATGTGATGTGGAGAATAGCTATTTACATGAAGTGAAAATGAAAGGATAAAATGACAAACTAACCAGTGCCCTTAAATTAAAGGCATTATTAGAGATTGCAACTTGATGTTATTGTATACCATCTAATACATGCAACACAACAACAAACATGTACTAGTCTATTACTTAAATGAATAGTGAATTTGTCTTTTCAAAAGTGCCCAATATCTAGCCTTATTTCCCACATGACAATGGAAGGACCGAATTTAACACAGAAAACATATTGAGTACCAACCTCTAAGGATTCCCTCACATTGGGCTGAGTCCTAAGATACAAACAGCCACTTTTTTGACTGGCGAAGGTATGCAACATCCTTTAATGTTTTCCAGAAAAGTAAAGAATATGCAATGTTAGTGTATTTGTTGTAAGTACATGGCATAGAAAACTATGAGTTCCAATAAGAAAGGGTTTTAACCACACACATACCTATTAAAATCATTCTAGTCAAAATAGGTTATCAAAAGAACTTCAAAACACAGTATTCATTTACTGGTAGTGAGTAGTAGACATGCCTAATAATTAATGTTAATTTTTGTTAGAATGTTTTTTAAAGGTTTTATATCTTTGCTCTTTCTACATAATGCACCTGTTGCGCGTCAATTTGTTCTTCAGGTCAATTTGTTTCAATCTACTACACATTACTTTGTTCTTCATCAAGTTATCCATATCAACCTGGATTAGTTTGAATTCAACCTGGATCAGTTTGCCAATCTTTCTTTTGTTTTGATTTGTTTTTTTCTTTTCCCCTTTGTTTGTGGCTCAACATATCTTTCAACAATAAACAGACTAACTAACTAGCAAAAGAAGTACATTTATATCACTTATATGGTCAGTAAAACACAGTCAATTTGCAATCCTATTTTCACTTACATTGATGCAAACCAGATGCTTTCTTCATCACTTGCAGCCAAGAGAGAGCAAAGAATGTCAACAATGCTATTAATCTTCTCATGATTCAGCAGGCGCTGATGTCCTTGAGCTAAGGATGCTATACAGCTTAATGCAAAGCAAGCATTCTTGCAACATCCAGAATCAGCAGAGTGCAGCATGTCAATGAGAGAGTTGATCTATTCAATAACAGAAATAAGTTTATTAGTAAAATTAAATTCAAGGTTTTAATTAAAGAATAATATGTTGTAAAATAGCCACAAAATATTCTCCAAATTTGAATAAGAAACTACTCAAGCCAGCAAAATTTAGCCAGAGAATTCTGCACAGTACGCTGAGAATTCTCAGTTTTTTGATACCTAGTGAAACACCTGCAATAACAATGTCCCTGCAGGGTAGTTATTAAATTTCCAAATGAACAGGATAAAAGAGCAAGGGGAAAATCAACATATTTAACATTATAAATGAACAAGTGTAATAATCTCATCTGATTTGGTAATCAACATATGTGCTAATACTTATAAGAAATAATTAATCTTTGAATTTTGCAATGAGCACATGGAAAACAATCATTAGAAAAGAACTCATACATACATCTGTAACAGTCAAGAAACATATAATTCTATCAAAAACATGTCGCTAAGTATTCCACCTGCTCATGGTGTAGAAACCAATCAGTTTTCAACAGTATGGTACTGACAGGTGTTATGCATATAAACATGATTAGCATCCTGTGATTTCAATTTCAGCAATAATTAATTGGAAGGGGAAAGTTTGATGAAATATAAAATCACAATGAAAATTGGAGTTGTGGACTGCTACATACAGCTACTTTTATTACCATTAGGTTGGATGTTTTCAAAGATAACATTCTTTTGCATCCAGCTTCAAAGTCACACAGTCTCCCAATAGCAAAAGCTGCATTCATCCCTCTACCTGTGGGTTAAATAAGGTCATTGTTAAACTTAAACAACAATATTACAAAAGGTTGGACCAATGACCTTTCCTTGGGCTTTTACATATTATTTCATAGCTTTAAATTGTTTTCAAAATAATTTTCATTAGTTAGGACCATTCTGCTTGTTTTCTTTCCCCATGATTCAACAATCTTCTATTAGTCTAATGGACAAGAGTGAAAGCTGCAAAAACCCACGTAACACCTTTTTATCTCAATCCAGCTCTCTATAATTAACCATCTACACCTTAAGATCAGTAAGTATATTCTCCATAATGTTCACCATATATTTCCTGAGGCGCTGTCAAGGTGAATTTGTTGAACAATCAAGAGCTTCTTAGTTGTAGTGATCAATTCCTATTATAATATTCTTGCAGTGACCCTAATGTTTGATTCAAGGGTGATACACCTTGGGGAAATTAGTTACCAATCACTCTTAGAGATTAAAGGGTTAAAGCAACCCATCAGGTACATAATATGGTAATATTGGCCAACTGATGTGAAATTGTTGCCTGAAAAAATCTTTATTAATTTTTAATTTAGGGCACATTAATTGACGATGCATTTCCACCCTGAATAACTTAGAATCAAGTAAGATCAGATTGAAACAACTTGTTTCCATCTTGAGCCTCTGTTACAGAGCCTCTGTTACAGATGACATGTTATAGGCACAATGAAAAAAGCCCTATACCTGTCTCATCAGATCCCAATGCTCTGCACAGCTGTACTAACGTATGACTCGAACTACGATGGTTCAAAATCCTTGCACAGCCTTCTTCTGCAATTGTCAGCCTGAAATTTGTGAACAACAAATCTTACATGAATTGTTCTTTTAACACTCAGTTGAAAACCAATCTACTCTCACTGTCAATTAAGCTAATTCGCATTTTGATAACTCTAACTGTCAATAAGAGATGCAGATATACTTCTTCATGTAGAATTTTCCTTTTTTATCTTGAAAATAAAATTACCTGGCTAAGACCAAGGCCGCATTACTGGCTGTACACATGTCTTTGGAAGATAGAAGGTTTGTTAGTTTGATGATAGCTTCATCCAAGCAGTCCTCACGTAGCATCCACATACGGCATTCCCCATCTTCTGCCTAGAGATATTATCAAAATTTGGATATTCAATACCCACTGGATCAGCTGAATGTAATTCAGACTTGTATATAACTCCTGAATAAGGGATAAGACTCTATAATAGGTTATAATAGGTTGGGTCATATTATGTGCAGTAACATGCAAAAATAATGCAAACGAAAATCACAGAATTTTGTTTAAAGTTCTTCTGAAGTTTCCTCCAACTTTTGAGCAAAAGTTTGTGGGAAGATTCTCACCTGCACTTCGCATCATATCACAAGAACAAAGAGTGATATTTGTTCAAATTTTTGTTACCAAAAGTGATTTGCTGCAGGTACCAGTTGAAAACCTGGATTTCATGTTGTCCTGCATATACTCAGTGGTAGATCACAGATGACAATAAAATGTAATAAGAACAAAAAAGCCACACATGAGGCACAGCTGAGTGTGTTGCTGATGTTTTTTTTACCACATTTTGATGTCTTCTGTGATCCATTATTAAACATAAATGTAGAAACATGGAACCATTTTGTCTTCCACAATAGAGAAGTGAAATTTTTTTTAAGGTGACATCATCTAAGAATCTATTGTCCTATAAAACAAAATTTTCTCAATCATGCTAATTATCTCTCTGTAAAACAGTTACTCAATGTAAAGCCTTACCAATGTTCCCATAGTTCCTGCAGCATTCATGACAGTTTCTGTATCAGCCATGTCCAGCATGTTTGTGAGTGCCGGCAAAATTTTCTTGGCCTGGTCACCTTTGTCTGTGCATATCTGAACAATTCGTCTTTTACCTAGGTCTGTCTCAGCCAGTGTTCCAATCACATATGATGCATTACCAGCAGTTCTATAAGAAAAGTGATCCATCCTCAAGTTATCAATAGCAATGATTTATTATGGGTCTTCTGAAAATTTACAGAGCTCAGTATTACCTAGAAAAGGGGTTTCTTCCTGTAGTTTACTAAGCTTTGCACAGGGACATATTAACAGCCCTGAGTTCCATAATCTTTACCCCCAGGGGTGAACTCTGGTTAACAACTGGATAACCTCACTTCTTTTGCACACTTTTTATATCTAGTCATATCTATGACCCTCAGGAAAACTCCCATTCCATTTAGGGTTCTCATGGTTTCAAAAATCCTTAAAACTTTTCCTAGTTGAAGAGTAATAGCCAAAAAAGTCAATGTAGATTGATATTACAAAAGCAAAAAAAAAAAAAACTCCAGGTAATATAAAACTGTTACCACTTCATCACCAATCCTGAGTCATGATAGCTAGTGGAAATTCAGTCTCAAAGTTTCAGGATCAAATGGTTTCCATGGAAACACGAAACAATTTGGATAGTAAATTTTACTCTTTCATTCCCAGGAGAGATTCAAAGGAAATCTCCTTACAATATAAAGCAGAAGGGAAGTAGAAATATATCAATTGGGATGTTTTTTTGATTTAGCAACAAATTCTTAGTAAAAAGATAAATAAAATGTGGAATGTGTGGAAGACAGTACAGAGAAATGATATTTTGATCTTGGAAGTGAAAGGGTGGCAGGTGCAAAAAGAAATTTCCATAAGGAAAACAGAAAAGACAAGCTTGTCATGACAAGCAGGAAATAAATTATTCTTAACACGTTAAGCCACTTATGGGCACCACAGGAAATACTTGTAATCAACAGAGGAAATAAGCAGGGTGTCAATAAGGATAATTATCACAAAATTAGTCTGAAAAGAGACGCATGTTGAGATCAAACCACAAAAATGACAATGAAGTTTTTCTCTCAACTTTGAAATATCACTAATTATCTAACTTTTAAAATTTAACATGAGAATAATTTAGGAAAGCTTACGTCAAATGGCATGCAAAGTAAACATTACTCAAGTATAAAATTACACAAAAATTTCCTGTGGTCGGGAAAAGCGGATGAAAAATATAAAACTAAATATATAGGATAAATTAAACTTAGCATAATAATTGCAATGATCCAATCTATCATTTACCGAAAAAAATTCAGACTAACAATCCTTTGAACAAAAACACCGAGAGCATATTAAACTGTTTTGTGTTGCCTCATTTTAATGTGATCTTTTCCTAGAATCAAGAGATCGCGGCCCGCAATTTTAAGGAAGGCAGGTTTTTTTAACGATTATTGCAAAAATAAATCATCCAGAACATTGTGCCTTTTTAAGAAATGAATGCAAGATTCAATTAGTGGTTAATATAACCTTGCAGTTATCTTGTTTTCGCTAGGCTTTTGTGTAATCCCAAACACAACACAAATGAAGACAATAGTTAACTAATCGACTCATTAACATCACCCTCGCAACCCGCTGGTTTGTTACTGCAATTGATACTGACCTTTTCGAAAATGTTTTTGCTGATTTAATTTTGTTTATAGTTAGCTCTTCATTCAAAACCAACTACGCTTTTGTTCAACAGTGTTGAAAGTTTCACACAACAACCTTTCAAATTTTCAGCTGTTCACTTGAACATAAACAAAACGCGTTCTCACCGTGAATCTTCCATCAAGAGGTTCATAAGCCCCCACAGCATGTCCTCTGAGCCAGGATGATTTAAAAACAAGTAACTGCATAGCTCTTTGTCACTGTGAAGCTCGTGAACCAGCCGGTCGAGAACGTGCGGAGTTTGCAGATTGTGCCGAAAGAGGCTCGTCAAATCTTTGTTCAAAGTGCGCCCAGCTTCTGCTAATAACAGCATCGTTATCGACAACTGCTATCTGAGGGAGTTTAAGTCCAACACCAAAGATTGCCACCTTTTGAAGCGCGACATTTTTCAAAGAGCACACGGTTTCATAGAAACCTTTTCACACCTCTAATCCTTAGTTTCCTTACTTGGTGTTTATTTGATCACGAACGGCCCGCTTCTTTACATTTCTAACAGATGTTTTGATTGGTTTGCTACTAAAGTGCAGCTAAACTGACCAATCAGGCGGTAGAACACAAATTTCCGCACCGGAATACAATAACAGAAGGAAATCCAGAATTGAATATCCTTTGTTTAGGCTTACAAAAATAAACAATAGCTAAATAAAATTGAATGAAATTGTTATATAGGAAAAATATTTTTTTATTTTGGTACACCTTAACAGAAACCAATCATATCATCATCACAAACAGACCCTCTAGGAGGAAGGGGTGGGAGAGGAGGGGGGGAGAGGAGGGGGGAGCAAAAGAAATAGTTTCGACCCTTCACAAGTCCATCATAACTCTACCTGTATCATGCTGAAAGAGACCAATCCTCCCAAATACTAATCACCGATTTTTGTTTCTTTTTCTTTCCGTGATTTCTTTTTTCTCTTTTTTGCGAAGATCGAAGGTGAAAGGTAGTTGTTTTGGTTTGGCAGCGGATATGTCGTGGTGAGGGTTGGGAGGGGGACGGAACACTAGAGAGGAGTACTGATTTTAACTCCTCCTTGCTCTTCCCACGTAATCAAAAACTTTCAAATACCACCTTTGTTCTTATTCATTAAAGCCAAGTAGGGTTAGGGTAAAAATTATACCCGTGTCTGAAATAATTTTTAATTTTTCCGTTTCAATTATCATAAACTTTGAACCAGTAGAATTTATATTATTTAAGTGGTTCCTTGAATTAGGGCGATATGGCGGAAGAAAAATTTAAACTCGAATTTTGGCCTTCAGTTTTCAATATACCTACCGTGTCTTGAGGTGGTACAAACGGAAGACGGAAGATGAGCAAATAAAATGGTAAAGTGCAAACTGTCTTTGCTGTGCTTAATATTAAATTGACTCCTACTCAGTGAAATCCCCATTCTAGTACTACTGATATCTTCAAATTTTGTGAACTCCTGTAAGTCCATGGTATATGACCTTTCATCACTTTCTTTCCAAGCAATCTTTCATTTCTACTCAACATTGGTCATTCACCTTCCCGCAAAGGTGCGCTTGCTTTTTGCTGAACTGGGTGTCGGAGATGATACCGAGCCAAATCAATAAGATCAAAGGGATAAAAATAACAAATAATAATAAACTGTCCAACTTCTGACAACTGATCCAAGCAAATCAACCAAGCATGCAGCCCGCGAAGTGCTCTAAGAACATAACCAAATCATGAATTTGATTGTGAATGGACTAATTACAAAATTGCCTGTCTGTACGCAAGACTCACATGCCGGAAAAAGTGACCAAGCTGGTTCGGTCAAGATGGCTGGATATAGGCCGGGTTTTCTTTTCGAGTTTTTATGGAGCGAGACGTGGTCGAGGTCTGTAAAGAACGCGAAAAGAGAACGAGACTAATATCTAGCCATCTTGATCGAACCAGCTTGGTCAGTAAATAATTTATCATAAAGCAAAAATATTTCGCTTCATTGAGTACCAAGAATGACTTGTTTATTACAAGAAACGGGAAGGAAAGCCAAATGTGTTTTAGCACAAAAAAACCCACGAGCGTCGTTTATGTTTTCTTCATTTTGACTGTCTTTAACTGCTTTTGAAACTCCACGCCCACACTGTCCAAAAATGACGAGCTTTTGAGCGAGTTCGCTCCGAGCAATTTTCCCTCTAGCGCGGGACCCATGCGGGCATTTAGATCCCGAGCGGGCAAGATGGGCCCATCTTGCCTGCTTGGTCAGCCAATCAAGACAGAATTCACTTAATATTGCCACTGACAGCAATATAATAATTAAAAGTATCATCATCACTACCATTGTCATTGATATGATGATAACTATCATCAACATGAGTACACAAAGGTGGGGGGGAGCCTGAAGGCCTTCAAGCCGCTCGCTGTGTTTGATCCCAGATCTAAGAAGCCCCAATCTCTATAAATCTCTCTACATGGCAGCTCGAAAAATTAATGAACCCCTCGGAACATTTGGAAGCTTATAAAATCTTATAAGGACGTTTGTGGAGACCAACATACATCAAAATGCATATCCCTAGGACCCATTTCCCTTTCAGAGCAGCTTGTGGGAGACGATCACATGATGGAACGATCTAATTGAAAGACATTTTTAAATGTAGATTCTTTTTTCTTAGATTCTTTGGGCGACTGAAGGAATCAAGCGAACAAAACTGGCCTTTGGAGACAATAGCTACTGATCCGCAAAAAGGGAAGAGATTAAAGAATATAAAAGAAAAAATTCCTTGCCCAGACGCAATTCTAAGAATACTTGAGCTAGAAATTCAAAATATGCGTGGAATGTAAAATACCTGCTCTTAAATAAAAAGGGAATTTATCTAAAAATGCTGAAGTAAGCCATACATGAATGATGCTATGATGAAGGTTGGGTAAAATTTCCAAAGAAAAAAGTGTTACATTTTTCTTCCTTAAAAAATACAGTAGACTATGGGTCTTGTAGGAATCCTTTGAAAATATTTAAGTTATGTAGATAGTTCAACGTTACCAAACGGGGAATCCCCGACGAGGAGCTGTGCTGTAGTGAACAAGTGACGTCACAGTTTTCTTAGTTGTCGGTTTTCTGTCGTGAATTACTAGCACTTAGCAGTTCAGCCAATTTTCGAACCTACAATCAACTCTATACATATACAAAGGTTAGTTTTCACTAATTCGATCGATCGGTTGAACAAATATTAATTTATGTTTTTCTCTATCGAGGTACTATAAGAGCGAATTTGATACTAGAAGTACATTTTACATCTTTCTACTTCATTTTACAGTTTTCTATTTTAGGGAAACGAGCGATGAACTTTCCTCCTGTATATTTGTCCATACCTTTCTTTAAGAGGGACACGATGTTAATCGCAAAATTTTTTGCGATTTTGGTAAGTTGCAGTGTCAGCAATTATTGTAGGAAAATACTAAAGGAAAACGTCAGATCGTTGTCTCAACGAAAACTTTCAAATCTCCATTACGCTCTCGTTCCAAAGTACACGATGGCAGCCTTCAGTAATTAAGCTAAGCTAAACGTATCTCGCAACAAATAAGTACGCAGAAAAAAACAAGTCGTCCTCGCGAGACATTTATGTTTCATGTAATCTATATGTTTAAATCTGACCCTTCTGATTTTAGCTACTTGAATTGTTTCTTTGGTAAATAACCGACCACATTTCTCCGAATTTTAGTGAATTCCAACTAATGGACTCTCTTTTGGTAGCGAGACTTTCGATTTAATATTTCTCCAGGACCATGTCTAAGGCAGATAGATCTCTTTCTTAAAAGGAAAACAGAGAGGTTTTTCTCTGCTTGTTTGTTCTTCACACCTTCTTGATGTTGTCTTTTATTCCTCAGGTATTTCTTGCACTTTCAACATTCAGTGCTGGTAGAGGTATTAAAGGCCAGTGCCCAGATTGCATTGAGGAAGGATATATCAAGATCATAGATCCTAGAACTGGCAAGTGTGAAGGATGCTGGCCTTGTCCCGAATGTCAGGAGGGTGCAGGTTCCTCTGTTCAGTGTGGATCAGCTGTACCAAAGGGAACAGACATTCACTGTGTTTCTTGCACCATGGGCATAAACTTCTCTAACAGCCTAAGTACTGAAAAGTGCAAACCTTGTGGAGTCTGTTCAGGGAAGCACAAGCATGTCTCAGCTGAATGTACCCCATCTAGTGATGTGCAATGTGAATGTGACAATGGATTTTATCAAAACAAAACAACCCATGAATGTCAGTCATGTGATTCCTGTTGCTTCACAGATGCTGATGATGACATCATTGAAAAATGTCAGAAAGATGCAGAAATCAAAGAGGATGAACAATCTATGTTCAGCCCCTCTACAGTCATTGCAACATCCTCATCTTTATTCAAATCAATCAAGATCCATACAGCTATAACTCCTTTTCTTCAAGGCTTCACTAGTATTTCAGTTCCTTCAAGGACCCAGCCAATCCAATCTTCATCAACAAGTGTTTCATCTGCAAATCAAAAGCATGATGTGGTACCTACAGAAAGTGTGATCATTATGCCTGTACACAAAACAGTACATGAACATGCTGAAAGCATGAGGTGGATCAAAGGAATGGCATACATTCTGGGTGTTTTTATTTTCATCATACTATGTTGTTTTTTAATCTATCTGTTTAAAAAGGTAAGGAAAAACAGACAAAGCAGAAGTGTACAAGTAGTCGAATTTTCTCCTTTAAATCAGAGTGAAGGAGACAGCCCTGATACGAGAAGGAAGATTAATGGGCACTGCACCCATGGTACTGATGGATCAAGAAGAAATTCAAATACAGTTTACTGTAATAAAGATCATGAGGTTGTAACAGGAGATCAGTTTGAGAACATGGCTGAGAAAGACTCAGTTCAGAAAGGAATTCCATCATCCCTTGATGATAAACCTTCAAATTCCACAGATAAAGGTCAGTGAAATTAGGGAAAACTAATTGTTCATTAATCTAATTTTTCAATTGAATAATTAGAAATTTAAGGGTTAATTACTGAGGCAAAATCACGATAGCTCTGGAGAAATATAACACAGTGCCATTTGAAGTGATTGTGATCTCTATAACAGAAACAATCATGTTAAGTATTTTCCTTATTTATACAAGTAATTCCATAATTAATACTTTTTACTATTTCCTCCTATGAAGGATAAAGTCATTTATTTTGTTTCTGTTTGGCAAGAAATATTTTAGAATTCAAGTCTCTAGCCTTCAAAATGATTCTTCACAGAATGAGATCCTCACTTACAGTGAATTTTGACAAAGTAAACTCCTGGTCTACAAACCTACAAGAAAGCTTTTAGATATGAAATTTTGTCACCACTGTTAGTGACATGTCTCATAATTTATTTGAAAATGTGATGCTAATTTTTTCATTTTTGATTTTGATCCATTAGTTGCTGATATGCAAGGGGAAAACCATAGAGCAGGCTGTAACTTAATTCCACCTCTTCAATCTGTGAAGGATAACCTTGGGTATTCAACCTACATAACAGATGTACCTCTACCTATCATCTGTGAAATGTGCAGGCTACTTGACATTGAAAGAGTCATAGATGAGAATGATTATAGAATGCTGGGATATGAACTTGGCCTTACATCATCAGAGATCACCTCAATCAAACAAAAAAGTAACAACCCATCACGTGTGCTACTAATGGAGAAGTTTGCAACCAAGCCAAACTCAGGAACACTTAATCACCTCAAATCCTTATTAACAAAACTTGAGCGACATGATGTGATTAAGGTTATAGATAAATGGGTGCAAAATCAAACATTGCCCACAAATTAGAAATTGGTCTGTAGATGATTGAAGTTCACTTAACCCTCTTAAACTCCCAGAAGTGATAAACATGAAATTTCCTCCTGTCATATCCATACATTATCCAGCAAACAGGTAATGAGAAAATTCAAACTCATCAGGTAGAAGTTTTATCTTGATCTAACACCAAATTTCTTGTTACTAATTTACAAAGAAATGTGTAGCAGCTAGGGAGAAGAATGAACAATCAGAACTTGGGAGTTAACCCTTTAACTTCCAAGATCTGATTGTTAATTCTCCCCTTTAACTGTTACACATTTCCTGGTAAATTAGTTATGAGAACTGGGTACTAGATCTAGATAGCAGCTTCTACCCAGTAAGTTTGAATATTCTCATTACCTGTTTGCTGAATAATGTATATGTATTGTAGGGAGATGTTTTATGTCAATCACTTCTGGGAGTTAAAGGGTTAAAGGGTTAACCAAGCCAAAAAAAGGGGAGATCTTTGTTTCATTTCAAAACTACAAAAAGTCTCTCAAGGTCAAATGTTGTCCCTTGCTGTTATGAGCAGTACTGGTTTATTTGGATCCAACATAATGACCAGCTCCCAATTGGCTTTTAAGCTCAGTTGGTAGAGCACTGCACCGGTATCACATAGGTCTTGGGTTCAAATCCTGCACAGGCCTTAATTTTTTCAGGCCTCATTTCAACTATTAGTTCAGTAGTGTTCATAACTGCAAGGGTTGCTTCAACATTTGTTTCTTCAACTGCAGGGCACATATATGATTTCCATATATTTACAGTCTCTCAAGGTATTTTTAAATGAGAATGAATTAATATTAACTTGATGCCTTAAAAGTAATACCATTTTATAACCTTCAAACCAGGAGAGAAAATGTTTTTAAAAAAGTAGGAAAGGGTTGGGAGTTAAAGAAAATCTTACTCCCACAGGCTCTATTTAGATGATGTTTCATTTGGTGAACAAGGTTTCAAAAAAAAATCCTGTTTCAGAAATGCCCAAAAAAATTTATTTGTGCAAACTGAAAATTCCCCCACTGCCACTCTCTATCACATTTGTGATATCCAGACCATGTAGCTTAAATACATACTTTTCAGATCTTATAATTTTAATATTATTTTTTTTCTACCTTTTAAAATCATTTTATTTCCTCAGTTTGGCTCAGTGACAATTACCCATTTCCTTTGATATATTTTTAAAATTATTTTTCACCCTAAAAACAAACTTGCTTCTATAAAAATATTGCACTATTTATTGTACCTTTAAATAGTTATTTGAAGTTATTCTTTTGATTCTGAAAAGGTTCGTCCACCAGCATTTTAACATGACATTACATTTGAACCCTTTCACTGAAGCCTCAATAATTATCCACTTGGAAGCTTCTAAAAGCGGAAAATGATATGGTGTGACTTCCCGTGTAGGACTTTTAACATATTTAACTGACCGTTACAAATACAAATTAATGAATAAAATGGCTTGCGAACAGCGCTGTATCTCAGTGGAAAATAATATTAAGAGTATTCAAAATATATATGCTTTCGAAAAATAATGCACTATTAAAAAAAAGATATTTTGTTTTTCCAGTGAAGCTCTGTTACCCAAGCAGTTTGTTAGTCTCGATCCAGTTAACTTAGATAGCTGAATTAAATAAACGAAAGCATGGATAAAACGAAGTGCATTAATTCAGGTTCTATTTTTGGTTCTTTTTTTTTCTCTTCTTGTTCTTTTGAATGTCCTTTGACCTTTGAAAAGATGCTGACTCACTTTTTTGTCGATCATGGTCAGATTTGCATTCAAGCACATTGTAAGAATTTTCATTCCTCAAATTGAAGAAATTAAACTATACAAGAAAATTGTACTACTTCGGCGAAGAGAAAAATGTAAAGAAAACAACATAAGAGGCCAAGTGCGTCTCTGCAAGTCTTGTTTTGTGGATTTGGTGTACTGCTTTTGACAAAAACGCTTGCTCAGCACAATGCAGACAATGAACGGCTACATCAGTACTCAAGGACGAACGTACGTGCTTCAAGTAGGATCGCGTGATCATTTACATTTTATCAAAAAAAAATTAAAATCTTAAAAACTATGGATGGGCAAGAACTTATCGATAGACTTTAAGTGAACTTAAAAAGAGGCCACCGATGTCTCAAAATAGTGTCTTTTTTTTTCTCCCGTTTTTTCGCTCTTTTTCCTTTCTTTGCCGTACAACCATATTTAGCATTGAAATGGTTGCATTAGCCAGACAAATGGATCCTAAACTACAGCGTTATGTTGCCAAAAGTTATTTCTTCCGTAATCAAAAAGGTGACAATTTATCGTATACCATTCAAGTTGTTTTACTGCACATATTTTTAACTCTTATTTTTAGTTGCAAACATATTTCCTTTTAATTTTCGAATTTTCTCTCTCTCTATGATGAGCAACTTCGAGATTATCTAGCACGTTCTCGAAGAGGAGTTCATCAGGTCCCGCCCCCTGAATAATAATTAGGGGAAACCCCCTCCGCCAGAAAGAATCTTATTCGCTCAACGTTTCTTTTCAATGTCTAGTCGTACGTATCTGGTTCATTTCTTGTCCAAGATATCTAGTACACGATACTTGAAGGCTGAAGGAATAAGCTAGTAACCAAGTCGTTATAAGACTTGGAGTGAAATTGTTTAAATAATTTTCTTATCCTTTGAGGAACGGGATGGAAAGTCAACTGTGTTTTAGCACAATAAACCCACGAGCGTCGTTTGTCTTCTTCATTTTGACTGTCTTTAACTGCTTTTGAAACTCCACGCCGACACTGAGGGCAAGATGGGCCCATCTTGCCCGCTTGGTTAGCCAATCAAGACAGAATTCACTTAATATTGCCCACGGGCACTGACAGCAAAGTAATAATTAAAATTATCATTATCGCGATCATTCATCATATAGTCTGATCTTCACCTATCAATATTTTCGTAGTCACCAAACAGGTAAGAGATAAAACCACCAGAAAAGTAAAAAAAAATGGCCAGTCACGAAAACAACGCTTCGCTTGCCCTGTGAAAATTCGCCGGTTCCTCATGCCGTATGTCATCATCATGTAAAGATGTAAGTCATGATCCAGGCATGATCATGTTAAGATGAAAGTATGGACCACGTGTAAAGCTTTTAATTGTTTCTCGAATATTGCGCTATTAATCATAACCATTACAATTTTTTCAAATGTGATTAGTGTATTAGCTGCTTTATTTTTCACTAATCATTCTGTACAGTTGTAATCGGACATTCGGCTGCAATAGGACACCTGTAATCGGACGGTTAAAGCGGCCAATCATACTAAGTCCACTCAGAAAGATCCACCAATCACAGAATTGCTTAAAATAACATAGCAACAACCATTAATCCTGCAAAAAGACAGGGGAATTTTCAAAATGGAGGCATGTTTTTACTTTAGGTATTGTCTCTATCAGAGATTTTTGTCCTAAATGTATTTGCTTTTTTCGGAAATTGTAACAATTATGATTAATTGGTCATAGGACTTTGTGTCGTCCAATTCTATTAGTAATCATACGCGCGATTAACAAATCGGACTCTCGCTTCGCGGTCGTCCGATGTTGTTAATCACTCGTATGATTACAGACGATTTGGACTCCACTCGGCCATTACCATTATCTCTTGCGCGAAGTGAGAAAGACTATACGAAGGCTTCAAATTTCATTAAGAACGATTGTGGTCGCTTCGTTAGAAACCAAAATGCAATAGCCGCTCTGTTAAAAACAAAATATATCAAGAAACGGGCAAGGAATATTCCACAAAAGTGCAAAGGATCGTGAAAGATGATCGCGGAAAAGCGATTGCGTGACACTCGGTAATTAGTTGTAATTGTAAGATGACATGTTATAACGTAGCAAACGAAGAAACAGTTTAAATTCTCAGTCTGCATTTTGCACCCAGTCTGCAGTCTGCAGTCTGCATTTTATACTCGGCCTGCAGTCTGCATTTTGTACCGACCGATTATTTTCTCTTAGATTCTTTGGGCAACTGAAGGAATCAAGCGAATAAAACTGGCCTTTCGAGACAATACCTACTGATTCGCAAAAAAAATATATATATATATATATATAAATTTTAAAAATTAAAAAAAAAAACCTGAAGAGATCCAGACGCCATTCTAGAAGAGTAACGAGGCTAGAAATTCGAAATATGCACTAAAAACTCAAAATATGTGCTAGAAATTCTAAACGTGCGTGGAATGAAAATTACCTCATCTAGAAAAAAAGGTGCAAAGTTCATTTAAAAATGCTGCAGTTAGCTGTTACTGAATGATGCCATGATGAAAGTTGGGTAAAAATTTTCAAGGATAAAAGTGTTATTCTTACTTCATTAAAAAATACACCATACTATGAGTCTTGTAAGGATTCCTCTGAAGATATTTGTGTTACATACAAGTCCAACGTCACCGAAAGGGGAATCCCCAAGGAGCTGCGCTTGGTGCACGGCCAATGCGAGAGAAAAAGTGACGTCACAGTTCTGTATTCGTGGTCAGTTGACGGTTTCCTTCTTCGGGTACTAGCTCTTAGCAGTTCAGCCAATTTTCGAATCTGCAATCTACTCTATACGTATGCAAAGGTTTGTTTTCACTGATTTGATCAATCGGTTGAACAAAAATTAATTTGTGTTTTTTTCTATTGAGATACTTCAAGAACGAATTTGATATTACAAGTACATTTTACATTTATGTACTTAATTTTGCAATTTTCTATTTTAGGGAAACAAAAGCGACGAACTTTCCTCGTGGATATCACTCCATGCCCTTCTTTAAGGGTGACAAGGTGTTAATCTCAAAACTTTTTGCAATTTTGGTAAGTTGCAGTGTCAGCAATTAATACATGTGAGATAGGGAAAATACTGCCGGAAAACGTCAGATCGTTGTCTCCATAACGTAGAAACGAGAAACACGTCGAACTATGATCTGTAACCGAAAAAACTATGCTGAAATCGTTTGTCAGCCGTAGCCAGTAAACAATTATCTCAATCAGACAAGTGATTGCATAATCTACAGCCCACGACAAGCTGGGCTAAACGTATCTGGCAACAGATAAGCACGCGGAAGAAACAATTCATCGTCGCGAGACATTTATATGTAATGTAATCTATATGTTTTAATTTAACCTTCAATTATATTTAAATCAAGACTTAGAAAATGTCCTCAATTGGTTGAGAGCGAACAAAGTTACTCTAAATATGACTAAAACCGAGTTTATGCTCATCGGTTCAAGGCAGAGATGAAGTACTCTCGCAGTTTCTCCGACGATCACAATTTATGACGATCAAGTTAGCCAGGTTACCACCGCAAAATCACTTGGAGTGACCATCGATAATAAACTCGATTGGAGCATTCACTTCGATAAACTAACAAAGAAAGTCGCTTCTAGCATTGGAGTTATAAAACGAATAAGGCATCTTGTCCCTTAAGCGACTTTGCTTCTAATGTATAAAGCTTTGATTCAGCCTCATTTTGACTATTGTAATATTATTTGGGAAACTGGGAGATAACTTTGCAGAACAAGGTACAGAAACTACAAAACAGAGCAGTCCGTGTTTTGACCTATGTAAATTATGACGTCGATGCTGGTCACTTATTTGAGCTCCTGAGATGGAAAAAACCTAACTTCCCAGCAGCAAATACAAAGAGCCATAATGGTCTATAAGTCTCTGCACGGCTTAGCTTCAGATTATTAATGTTCTAAATTTGAAAGGCGAGAAACTGTGTATAACCTAAGAGACTCTGAGAAAAAGCTGAATGTTTCTTTGCCGCGCACAAACTATTACAAGAATAACTTTCAGCCATAGTGGCGCCACTCTTTGGAACAGACTTCCTCGTGACATAAGACATGCAGAGTCCCTTGGATTATTTAAGCGTTTAATTAACGAAGTACGTTCAGGCACGGCATTCGTGGAAAGCAGCTTTAGTTAGGTTTGTGCTTTAAGTATAGTTTTTAGAGTATCTTACCCATTTAATTCATGTTTATATATTTGAATGTTTTTATTGCTGATGAATTGTCCGTGGGTAAATAAAGATTATATATCTATCTATCTACCCTTCTGATTTTAGCTAATTTAATTGTTTCTTGTACTCCGTTACATATATTCCCCTAATATTCCGAATTTTGATGAATTCCAACCAATAAACTCTCTTGAAAGAGAGACTTTCAATTAACATTTCGATCTCCAGGGTTATGACTGAGGCAGATAGATCACTTTCTTAAAGGAAAGGGAAAACATAGAGGTTTTTCTCTGCTTGTTTGTTCTTCAGACACCTTCTCAATGTTTTTTTTTTATTCCTCAGGTATTTCTTACACTTTCAACATTCAGTGCAGGTAGAGGTATGAAAGGCCAGTGCCCAGATTGCAATGAGGAAGGTTTTATCAAAATCATTGATCCTAGAACTGGCAAGTGTGAAAGATGTTGGCCTTGCCCCGAATGTCCGGAGGGTGCAGGTTCCTCTGTTCAGTGCAGATCAAGTGTACCAAAGGGAACAGACATTCACTGTGTATCTTGCATCATGGGCATAAACTTCTCTAACAGCCCAAGTACTGAAATGTGCCAACCTTGTGGGGTCTGTTCCGGGAAGCACAAGCATGTCTCAGCCGAATGTACCCCATCTAGTGATGTGGAATGTGAATGTGACAGTGGATTTTATCAAAACAAAACAACCCATGAATGTCAGTCATGTGATTCTTGTTGCTTCAGTGATGCTGATGATAACATCATTGATAAATGTCAGAAAGATGATGAAATCAAAGAGAATGAACAATCCACGATCAGACCCTCTACATTCATTGCAACATCCTCATCTTTATTCAAATCAATCAAGATCCATACAACTGTAACTCCTTTTCTTCCAGGCCTTACTAGTATTACAGTTCCTTCAAGGACCAAGCCAATCCAATCTACATCAACAAGTGTTTCATCTTCAAATCAAAAGCATGATGTGGTACCTACAGAAAATGTGATCATTGTGTCTGTACATAAAACAGTACATGAACATGGTGAAATTATGAAGTGGATCAAAGGAATGACATGCATTCTGAGTGTTTCTTTACTATGTGGTTTTTCAATCTACCTGTTTAAAAAAATAAGGAAAAACAGATGAAGCAGAAATCTACAACAGTTAGATGAATTTTCTCCTTTAAATAAGAGTGAAGTGGACAGCCCCTACAGGAGAAGGAAGTTTAATGGACACTGCACCCATGGTGCTGCAGATGGATCAAGAAAAAATTCAAATACAGTTTACAGTAACAAACATAATGAAGTTGTAACAGGAGATCAGCTTGAGAACATGGCTGAGAAAGGTTCAGTTCAGAAAGGAATTCCATCATCCCTTGATGGTAAACCTTCAAATTCCACAGAAAAAGGTTAGAGAAATTATGGAAAACTAATGACTCAATAATCTAATATTTTGATTGTATAATTAGAAATTTAAGGGTTAATTACCCAGCCAAAATCGTGATAGCTAGCTTTGGAGAAATACAACACAGAGCCATTTGAAGTGATTGTGATTTCTATAATAGAAATAATTGCATTTAGTATTTCCTTATTCATTACAGTAATTACATAATACTTTTTACCATTCTTCTCCTTTGAATCCTTCAAAAGATTCAAAGTCATTTATTTTTGTTTCTGTCTGGCAAAAAATATTTAAGAATTCAAGTTTCTAGCCTTTAAAATGGTTCATCACAAGACGAGGTCCTCACTTACAGTGAATTTTGAGAGAGTAAATTATGCATGGTCTACAAACCTATAAGAAAGTTTTTAGATATTAAATTTTGCCACCACTGTTAGTGACATGTCTCATACTTTAAATTGAAAATATGACACTAATTTTGTCATTTTGATTCTTATCCACTAGTTGTTGATGTGCAAGGGGAAAACCATAGAGCAGGCCATAACTTAATTCCACCTCCTCAACCTGTGAAGGATAACCTTGGGTATTCAACCTACATAACAGATGTACCTACACCTGTCATCCATGAAATGTGCATGCTACTTGACATTGAAAGAGTCTCAGATGAGAATGACTATAAGATGCTGGGATGTGAACTTGGCCTTACATCATCAGAGATCACTTTGATCAAACAAAAAAGTAAAAACCCATCTCACGTGCTTCTCATGGAAAAGTTCGCAACCAAGCCAAATTCTGGAACACTTAATCATCTCAAATCCATATTGACAAAACTTGAGCGATATGATGTCATTCAGGTTATTGATAAATGGGTCCAAAATCAAACATCGCAAACAAATTAGAAATTAGTCTGTAGATAATTGAAGTTCACTTAGCCCTCTAACTCCCAAAAGTGATTAACAAGTAACTTCTTCCTGTCTTCTCCATACTTTATCCAGCAAACAGGTAATGAGAAAATTCAAACTCATCAGGTAGAAGTTTTTATCTTGATCTAACGCCAAATTTCTTGTTACTAATTTACTAAGGGAAGGAATAAACAATCAGAACTTAGGAGTTAACCCTTTAACTCCCAGATCAAATTTGTAATTCTCCTTATTGTCAATCATACAAATCTTGTATTGTATTGATATTGTAAGGAGAAATTCTGTCTTGGTCACTCAGGGGAGTTTAAGGGTGAAAGGGTTAACTAAGCAAAAAAAAAGATCTTTGTTTTCATCAAAAACCATAAAAAGTTTCTCAGAGTATTTTTAAATGAGATTGAATTGATATTGAGTCAACGCCTTGAAAGTAAAGTCATTTTATAGCCTTCAAACCTGGAGAAAAAAAGTTACAAAAAGTAGGAAAGGGTTAGGGGTTAAAGAAAATCTTACTCCTGCAGGCAGGCTCTATGTTTTAGTTGGTGAACAAGGTTTCAAAAAAAATCTTGTTTCTGGAATGGCCAGAAAAAATTTATTCCTGCAAACTGTAAATTTCCCGCTGGCCCTTCCTGTCACATTTGTAAATATCAAGACTATGCATCTGAAATACTTTTTAGATCTTATAATTTTAATATTCTATTTTTAAATCTTTCAAAATCAAATTTTTCCTAAGTTTGGCCCAGTGATAATTAACTATTTCCTTTAATATATATTTTTATCATTTTTCAGCCTAAAAACTGCCTTCCATAAAAATATCGCACTATCTATTTCACCTTTATATAGTTATTTACAGTTACACGTTTGATTCTGAATAGTTTTGTCCACCAGCATTTTAACATGACATTTTGAACCCTTTCACGGAAGCCTCGATGGTTATCCACTTGGAACCAATAATATAGCGTGACTTCCCTTCTAGAATTTTAAACACATTTAACTGTCCGTTTCAAACACAAATGAATGAAATGCGTTTTAGAGCATTTCATTCAAAATAGCTTGCAAAAAGCGTCGTATTTCGGTGGATAATAATCTTAATAGTCTTCATAATATAGATGCTTTAGGAAAATCATTAACCATAAAAAAAAAAGACATATTTCGTTCGTCCAGTGAATCTCTGTTACCCATGCAGTTAGTTAGTCCCGATCCTGTTAACTTAGATAGCTGAATTAAATAAACAAAAGCTTGGATAAAACGAGGTTCCTTGGTTTAGCTTCTATTTTTGGTTCTTCTTCTTATTTCTCTTCTTCTTCTCCCTCTTCTTTTGAATGGCCTTTGACCTTTGAAAAGATGCTGACTCATTGAAATTTAACTTTTTTGGTTGATTAGGGTTAGATTTGCATCCACCTCAATCGCTCTCAAGCACATTGTAAGAATTTTCATTCCTAAAATTGAAGAAATTAAACGATACGAGAAAATTGTACAACTTCGACGAAAAGAGAAATGTAAAGAAAAAAACATAATAAGAAGCCAAGTGTGTCCTTGCAAGTCTTGTTTTGTGGATTTGATGCACTGATTTTGATAAAGACGCTTGCTCAGCACAAAGCAGACAATGAACGGCTGCATCAGTAATCAATAGCGAGCGTGCGTGCTTCAAGGCGGGTCGCGTGATCATTTGCACATTAACAAAACAAAAACCAAAATCTTCAAAACTTTGGATGGGCTAGTACTTTATAATTAACTCCGATTGAACTTAAAAAGGCGACCAATGTCTTCGCTAGGTTCGTCAGGCGCAGGATTTTTCATTAAGATCGTGGCGTAGAAGTTACTAATCGAAATAGTGTTTTTTCTCTTCCGTCTTTTCGCTCTTTTTACTTTCATTACCATACAAAGAGTTGTGCAAATTGTAAAATTCTCTTCCTTGCTACCTCCTATCACATTTTTAAATATTCAGACCATTCATTCTGTGTACTTTTATATACTTTGTATTTTTTTTTTTTGTAATATTTCAAATTAAATTTTTTTTCATAGTTTGGCTCAGTGATAACCATTTTTTTTTGTTTTTTTTTTTTTGTTTGTTTGTTTTTTTTTTTACCCTGAAAGCCACCTTCTATAAAGATATTGCACCGGTTATTTTTACACACTTATTTAATGATATTCTGTTAACTCAGTCTGACCTAATTTCTCCACCAGCATTTTGACATGACATTTTTAACCTTTAAACCAAAGCCACAATGATAATCCGCTTGGTAACTTCTAAAATTGCAATGAATGAAATGCTTAATTAGCTTGGAGACAGCATTAATACCTCTGGAAAAAAAAAGTTCAAATAATAATACGGCTTGAGAATAATCATGCACCATTAAAAACATATTTCGTCAGTGCGTTGAATCAATTTGAAACCCAAGCAGCTATTTGGTCCCCATCCTGTTAACTTAGCTGAAGTAAAATGAACGAAAGCTCTGGAAATACGAGGTTCATTGTTCCAGCTTTTTTTTTTTTTTTAATACCCTTTGAACTTCACAACATGCTGACTCATGGGAATTTTTACATTTTTTTTCATGTACGCAAAAGTCAGATTTGTCCTCAGCTCAGGCGGTGATGCAAGCACATTAACAAAATTTCATTCTTTAAATGATCTTAAATGGAAGACATCAAAATATACAAGAAAAGCATACTACTTCGGAAAAAGAAAATTTTAACTAAATTGACAGAACTGTTGAAAGAAGAAGCCGAGTGTGTCGACGCTAGTCTTGTTTTGTGAATTTGAAGTTTTGACGAAAACGCTTGCTCAGCACAACATAGTGCTGAGCAAGCGTTTCCGTCAAAACCGGCTTCAAATCTACAAAACAAGACTCGAACGAAAAGTGCTTCAAACACATCAAACGGACGTGCTTTAAGTCACATCACTCGAAAATTACGATCATTTGCATATGGCGAAAAAAGAAAAAATCAATTAATGTTACGCTGTTTCCTTTCTTTCTGATAAACTTCAATCTCTGGTTGTATCTAGTTCATTTCTCGCTCAAGGTATGTAGTACTCGATGCTTAGGCTGATCAAGGCTGTAGGAATTAGCTAAGAAGCAAGTCAATCTAAAACTTTGAGGGAAATAGTTTAAAAAAATTTTCTCATACTTTATGTTCTTCGCAGAAAATGGCTTCTTTCGCGTTTCCCGAAGAAAGCTTAATCTGCAAAATGACAGCGGCGATCTTGCTGGTCCTCATCTCAACTGTAAGTAAGAAATGATTGGTTATTAGTTGGGATTTCACACATTTGATTAAAAGTTTTTGTAGAACCGATTTTCAACATTTCTAGTGCTAGAATCGACAATGGAATTTGATCTATGAAATTTAGACCTAATTGCCAAATCAAGATGTAGGTAATCCAAGATAAGAGTGAATTTTTCGTTTGGCTTCATAATAGTCTATGTTTCTTTTTTGTCTCTATTTAAGTTCTGTCCTTCATTAAAAATTAACTACCGGTAACGCCTCTTTACAAGTTTTTGCTTTGATTTGCGAAATTTGGACCAAGCATCAAAACTCTTCACACACGATTTTAAAATACTATGGTGGAGTTTTTAGCATGGAATTTAAGTAACTTCCCTGCGAACAAGCGGCCCCTAATGCTGACTAGGATAATATTGCTGTCGAGAAAGACGATATCGATATCTGGGCTGCATTGTGTTAGGGCATATAATTCCTCGGGCTTACATGATATGCCCTGACGTAGGCATACATGGCAACTATCGACTCGATTTCAACCGCTAAAATAGCGGACCTTTCCGAAGGAGGACTTCTCTCTAGTGGCCTCACTGGTACTTTTGCAAACTTAGATAGATTTTTCGTAGCCCATGGGTTTGGATTATGTTTGTATGCGATTCTGTTTGATTTCCCTTGAATGGTCAGAACAAGCGCAAATGTTATGTCCTGACGATTCGAGAATTCTATCGATCGAGGTTGTCAACCATGTGTAATAATCAAAACTGTAATGCCCTTTTCCACATAAATTTATGCTGCTATAATATTTGATAAGTTACATCTATAGAGCCGCTATCTTAGCCACGTAACTGATATGATTAAGGCAAGGAACTGGTGATGTAAGTTTGAATTTCCGAAATTAAGTAAAAGAAAGATTTCGCACCAAAAAATAAGCAGTCGTAATGGTCACATAATATTTTGATAGACTTAATAACCGTTGCTTTCACGCCTGATTATGCTATGGTTAATGCTCCATTTTACCATTTTTTGCTAGGTCCCTGCGCGAGTGGCATCGGCTCGATGCCCAGATTGTACGGGCGAGATAAAAAGAATTAATTCTACAGGCAAATGCCACAGTTGTTTTCCTTGCCCAGAATGCATTGAGGGATATTCAACTTCATCTGTCCCTTGCGGAGCGACTATTCCTTATGAGAGAGATATACATTGTGTGGAAATCCTACAGCACCCTCAGGAAAGTTCACAAACAAGCCATGCAATTTTTGCATCTGGAACAGTTACCTCTCCTTCCCAGATTTTCGCCACCACGGCAAATTTGGTCATTTCTGCCACTAGCTCCTTCGTTCGTGCTGGTTCCAGCATCATTCAAGAAAGAGAATCTAAGTCAACTAAAGACCCGAACACTGAGAACATATTGCCACCATTTGGCAGTTATTCAAACAACACCATCATATTCACATTGTTTGCAATATCTCTGGTGATCTTATCAGTGGCTATTGTGTTTAAGTTGCAAAAGAAAAATAAAGGTAGAAGTCAGTCAGCAGTAACTACAGTTGATGCACTTCCATCCTTGCCAGGGCAATCATTGTCAGAGCAAGATCATGAAACTTGTCATATTGATTTAGGAACAAACTGTGTCATTTATCAAGGTGCCCATTCAAGTGAGATGGGAGACGACACATTGCCAGGTTTGACTCATGGGACTGGAAATAATGGTTCAGGTAATTATTGTCAAACCTATTGTTGATTGATCTACATTTCCAAAATGTCAGCTGTTAGATCAGAGAGTAAGAAACTGACCAGAACTGTTTGCACTCATGTACACAGCTTTTAAAAATACAGTTGCTGTGTTAATTATTCTTTAACTTATCTTATTTCTTGTTTCATTTTTCTTCCAAAGTATGGTTAAATATGGTGACCTCATGCTTAACAGCTAGGCATCAGTAAGGGTTGATACTAATCTCATGTCTAATATATTCCCTTTCTCCTTTCAGGCACCATTTGTGATAAATGAACTTGAGGCTGTGATTATGCAGTCTCTCTGTTTTTTATCTTTGCTAGTCATATATTTAAAAAAAATGTTAATTTTATTGTAATTATACTACACCCATTAGTGTCAACCACCACTATGGTTTTTGAAGGCTGACATTTCAGACAGTAACCCTTTGCATTGCAGTAGCTAATTCAATTTGCTGATTAGCAATTTATTAATTTACCCAAAGCAGACAGAGTTGAGGTAGTAGCACAGCTTCCAGGTACTCCTTCTTGCATTGATGAAACACCAAGGGATTTACACCAACCAACTGACAAGAACACATTACACCCAAACTTTGTACCTTGGCTGGTGCCTGCTCCCATGGGTGAGTGTTGGTTTTAGTGCCTTGTACATATGAGTATTCAGCTTCATTTTAATTCTCTATTAATTTGGAATTTGTACATGAATTAAGCAAAAACATACAATTCAAAGAAAACTGAAATTATATAACCTTGTCTGCACTTCCCACAAAAGAAGAAAAACTGTTTTTCAAACCAGACATGTTAAGTCACTATGACTGCATGTTTTATGATGTAAATATTCAAGAACTGGAATAATTTTTTTCCAGTAATGCAGTACAGCACTTAGTATGTACCAAGCTGAACATATAAATTAATTACAAACCAGGTGATATTGAAGGATAATTAATGTACAGCTGCAAGAAGGGAGATTTGCTAATCAGATCTTGGGAGTGAAAGGGCTAAGAGGCCTTGTAGGTATCCAATTTAAAAAGAAGCCAGAATACAGTAATATTGTGCTCTTTTTTCTACATACAGGCGACATGGAATGGGGGAGGGGGGTCCTGTCCATAATTTAGAGTGTGTTAGAAACAGTTCTGGAGTGTTATTCTATACATGAACAGAACTCTTCAAATATGATGTGTCAACTAATTTTGACACTGATTGTAGCTGCATCTAGGAGGAACAGGTTCACTTTAATTGTGAGGAATTAACTGCTATGTAACTTTTTCATTTAACATAATGAAGTTTAAAGTACAGTTTAATCTTGGAGTGGAAAACTGAATATAATAAACAACCCTGACATGGTGATCAAATCTCTATTATGTTAAATTCTGATTATCCCATAAATTCCACTTCAAGTTTCAGTATCCACCTAGTTGAAACTAAGCTATTTACTAAATAGACATAATTGTTTTATTTGTTATAGGACTTAGGAAAAAATCTACATCCACCTCCACAACAGGGCTTTTTGACCAAACAGCTTCTTTACCACAAATTTCTGATATTCCCCAAGAATTCCTTAACTCTCTGCTCAGCCAAAAAGTTGCCAAGATACGTAACAAGTTTTACTGCAAGATTTGTCAGAAACTGGATGTTTTGCAGGATATAAGTTGTAATGATTATCGCCTCCTTGGGGAAAAAGTTGGTGTGGACAAAGATGCCATCTTGTTGCTAAAACAGAAGGGTAATCAAACACAGGAAATCTTACGGCACTTTGACTCAAAGAAAGAAACCTGTGTGGAAAGATTTAAAATCATTCTTGAAGACATGGAAAGAGATGATGTTGTTACTGTAATCAAGGACTGGATTCTGTTTGAGTGGCAAGAAAATATTCAGCCCTCAAGAGTGATTTAGAGGAACATAAACTATATAGCATCTGATACATGTTGCTTTCTTCAAAGATTATAATGATCCTTAAACCTTTACACCTAAACATCATTATTCATATTCTACACACTCTTCTCTATACATTTCCTTTGGTACTTACAAGGAGAATTTGTTTAACAATCAATTGGAGGGCTCAGAGCAAGAACGATCCCTTGATTTTTCGGCCATTTTTGAAAGTGTTCAGAAGTAGTTGAATTTTGGCATGTGGACACTTTCAAAAATGGCCGAAAAATCAAGGGATTGTTCTTCCTCTGAGCCCTCCAATTGAAATCCTCCTAGGTTGGTGATCATTTCTTTCAGTCTTGTGATCTTAATGAATAATTTAGCAACATTACCAAAGGGAGAACTTAGATGCCGCTCACTCTCAGGGTTGAAAGCTTTAGTCTATTTATCTTGAGCCCTTTAACACCCAGAATTTCTGTGAAGCTATAGCTTTAAACTGTTGATGTTAGGAGCTAAATGCTGGCATTTGGCATTGATTGAATTCTGTTTCCACTATGAATTTCTTTAAAGATGATCAAGTCAATTGTAGATTGCAGAATGCATTGAATCAATATATAATTTTTACCATCAACTTGTTACAACTGTGTGTGTTACAGTAGCTTGCTTTAATTAACTACTAGCTAGAAATGATTGCCTGTGTTGGCTGCATAATATTAGTTCAATGTTACTTTTAAAGTCACAATCGTAAAGTTTACTTTGTTTTAACCGAAGCTCAAAGAGTTTTCTTGTCAGCATTACTTCTATTCCAAAAGGAGCAATAAATTTCTGCAATCATTGGTAATCATATCATTTTATGTAATATGAGATAATCTCTTTATGCACAGATGTTTCACTTATAGTGAAACTGTGTAATGAATCAAAATAAGGTCAAGTTTGTTTTACCAAAATTAACCCTTTCATGTGTTCTTATCAGCATAATTGTAAAATGATGAATTTGACTCTAAAATTTAAAATTTTTTAACTTTTAACATCACTAGACTTTTCAAATAGGGTAGTAAATTTTATACATGTTGCTTGTAATAATGAAGTGTGATTATTTGAGAAGATTAATTTTTTTCTTATGATGGAGTTATTTGTATTCAAGAGCCACTTTTTTAGTAAACATTGTATTGTGTTATAGATGAGCTTATCAAAGATTAATTTTGCACCTTACTACTATACAAGGAATTTTTGTTTTTCATGAGGCAGTTTTACCAGTAGGTATAAAACTACCTCCTGGATATCGTTGCAGTCAGAAAGGTATGGGAGATCTATGATAGGACATTTATGTCTGTGCCATCTTGCAAACTTGCAAATTGTCATGGAAGCCTGATGAAACACTGAATCTCACTCAGAAGATAGAAGCTATTGGCCGTCCATTTTAAAACACCATATTATTTTTCATACTCATTTAAAAACACGCAAATTGGTTGAATTACATCACTTCGGATCCGGAGGGATCCGAAGTGGGATCCGAAGTGATGTCAAACCAAACTCTTCACGCTCCCACGCAGTCATGATCCGTCATTTAGTAAGTCATCGGCGCAGGCGCATTACAAACGGTTTACGTAATCGATTAGCAATACGTATTGCTCACGTACGTTTTCATGCATATGTGATACCTCAGCAAAATCTCCATGCAACGGCTGTAAATAACTTTGGAGCAGCGACAGTACTCGAGTTATCTATCCATAATATTGGCTGTAGAATTTGCACTTAAGGAGGTAAGTTTTTGTGCAATTCTGATAAACTGCTGCTTCGCCTAACCTCCAGAAAATTTTTGCGTACGCTTGATGATGAAATTTACGATGTAAACTTCCATCAATGACGAAAAATCTCTTAACAGCTGACCTAAATCCTCTTGAAATTGTATTCTGTAGATCTGTGTGTGCATGACGACTGTGGTCTGCTTATCTACGCAGCGGCATCATGAAAACAGCAAAGATCATTTGTTGTTTGGTAGGTGATCACAATTAAAGTTGCAAATCAGCATAATATTATTAGTACAGTATTTCTAAAAAAAGTTTCAGAACGCGCAGGAAAATGATTGAAAATGGAGTAATTTGATTTATCGTCACACGCCCTTTACGCGCTTTCTGTTAGCTTAGTAAAGTAAAATCGGAATCTATAGCTGCTTTACAGATTTTTTTCATAACTTATCTCGCTAACAACTATGTCGCAGTAAGTTTCATCGCGAGGGTTTCACTCAGAAGCTCACGCACCTTCATTGATCAAGATTTCTATTACAGTCTTCCAGAGAAACAAAAAAAAATTTATCAGAACCTGGACTCATGTAGTGTGCTGTGCGAAGGTTTTTTCTTCAAAATAATGTCATCATGAATTGAAAGTGTATTTCCTCTTTATTTTCAACCAGTTTCTTGACAACATGTTCTGAAACTTTTTTTTTCTACTTTACTTTTGCTCCTGTCTTTGAGTAAATGTTAAATTGTAGCATATAAAGCGCCAAATTGCGAATGCTGTGACAATAAACGTGCTTACTTAAGCAACAGTTATATCTATATTATCGTGCCCTAAGTTTTGGTTGTGCTTTATTTTTTATTTTACATTTTTGTTAACATGTGTAAATATTTTTCAAGTCTAGTTATTAGGAAAATCTGGTTAAAAAATGGGTACATGCGTGAACATGCATACATACCTATACTTTTTGTTGAGGCAGGTCAGTCTGAGGCAACCCCAAGGGCAGGTCTGGACCTGCTGTAAAACTTAAAAATGACATAAAATTTACAACTTTAAAATGACATGGAGTTAAGACTTTGGTTGGAATAGACCTGTAATCATTTCTGATAGCAATGACACGGTTGTTGATGTTTCTCTTTCCATGTAATTTCTGAGAAGTAATAACCTCTGCTTGTGTACATGTGCTTGTGTGTTAATAAATTAAGTTCTTAATAAAGTTCAAAAACTGTTTTGCAGTTGGCTGTTGTTTTATATGAAGCATTTGGGAATATTCAAAAACGTCGAAAGCCAGGACCTGATGAAATAGAACGAGTAATAAATGCTACTTATTCCATTTTCTGGAAATGTACTATGTTAAAATGCCCAATGGGGCATGGAGCAACTGTGCCTTGTGCTTCTAGTGTCTCAATTAGCACACCAATAAAATGTATCCCTTGTATTGGTGGGGTAAATTTCTCAGACAGTCATGATTACACCACTTGCAAAAGTTGCCAAAACTGTGACAAACATGAGAAAAAGTCTGGAGAGTGTACCCCTGAATCAGATACCACAAAGTGTCTAGGAACATGTCACAAGGGCTTCTATATGGATAAGATATCTGGTGGATGTCATCCATGCAGTGACTGCTGTGGGCAAGATAAAAAACATCATGAAAAACAGTGTGAAAATTCTAATCTTCCTTGGAGCATGCAGTGTAGAGAAAACAATTTTAATTGCCCTGAACAAGACACCAAGAACACCACAGGCAAGAGTCAACACAAAGGGGGTCTTGAGTCCTCAACAATTGTGGGTATTGTACTTGGTCCAGTTTGCTTTGCGTTGGTTGTTGGTGTGATCTTCTTCGTATATCGCTTCAGATCAGGCTCTGACTGTTTGAGTTCTCCTACTTTGGATATGTCTTTTCATAGCTCAGAAAACCACTTCCAAAATTCTGAATTTGACCCTGAGCTGGGCACAGGGAAGAGGGAAATTCATTTTGCAGGTAAATTCTGTTACTTAATATTTGTTGATAATTTACTTTACTCTGACTTTCTATTAAATCAACCAGCTTATGTTAACGTGTTACTATATAAGCAGGAGAGAATTGTTGTTACTTTTTTATGTACTAATATATCTACTATATATGTGTATTTATCATTCTTTTACAATTTTATTCCTTTCTGAAGATTTTAAGTCTACATTTCAAAATTTGTGTTGTTCAGGGACTACAGGGAGTACTCCTGAGCTAGGAAAGAAGCCATTTTACCAACGGATGCAATCTGTTCCAGTTGAAACCCTGCAAGAGCCAGTTAAGAAAATTCCTAGGTCACATTCACACCCAGGAGCTCTTCCTAAACTCATCCAGAAACCTAAAGAAGAATCAGATCTTGGGCAAAGCCCTTCTCAACCATTCAGGAGTCCAAGGACCCACAAATATTTTAAACAAGGATATAGTAAGTTAAAATGTCTCATAATGATATCATCCTGTGACTTCAAGTGACTTGAATTTTGATTTGAGGTTGAAACCATTACAATAGCCTAATATTCTGTTTTGAATCATAACATCTACTACATTGATATAGCCCATGCTGTCCCCAGATGTTTTTCAAAGAGACTTATGGCTGAGACTGCTTGAAAACTATAGTCACATATTTTCATTACTGGTGTTCTTAAACAGTGTCTTTCTCCAAAATTTCTGACATTCCCCAATTATGAATAAAAAAATAAGAATCCCTAAAAATCATGCATGTTGTTAACCCTTTAAGCACATCATTTCATGTTTTTTTTCTTGGGGGAGAAAGGTTGATGAATGATATGTACCTTGTAATGCATGCAAGTGAAGCCACTGTTCCTTCCAAGAAACTGACGCATCAAGAAACTGTTTCCTATGATAACATTAGCAATTATGATATTTCTATACAGATCGTTTGCCAACTAGTGCACAGTATGGACATGATGTGGAAGGCACCCCAAAGATTTCTCTGCAATCTATTGATATTGGAGAGCAACAATCAAGTAAGCCACAGAAAATTGGATTTTTTATTTCTGTTGGACTGTTGTCATGAATATACACAATAAAAATGTTTTGACTTGTTGATGACTGCAAATAAAAGAAAAACCTTGCAGGTGAATTGCTACTGAAATAAATTGAAGAAAATGAAGGAAACAATATTAAGAATTAGGGATTTGACGGAGTTCAAATGATAATTATTTTAGTTCTTTCTGATTACTTCCTTTTAAGGAACAAAGAACCCATCTAGGATTTATGAACTCCCAACTTGTTGCTTTGTAGCTCAGTTGGGATTATGGCACTTAATAGCCAGTATCTGGGAAGACCAGGTTCATTTTATTGGCAGGGAACTATTGAACTGTTATGTAACTTTTTCTTCTTACATGTGTCAAAAACTAAGACCTAAGTCCTACAAACTAGGAACAACTAAGACTTAAGATCGTGAAAACTAAGACCTGGAAACCTTATCAATAAATTGCCTTTGACTCTATTTGATGCTTAGAACAAATTTTTAAAAAATTGCCTACTTCATACAATTTCTTACAAGGTTGCATGATATTCTCAATTTCACTGCCAATTAGCAAAAGTATTGGAATTAGATAAGTCATCGTTGCTGACTCATCGGAATATTCAAACCTAGTTAACCAACCAGAAGTGCTGATTCACCTAAGTTAAATAGGGGTCAAAGCAATTGAAAAATAATTTTGCCCAGGAACTTCACTCAAAGCTCATTTAATGAATGTTCACAAATGGTTATGTCTTTCTTAGTTTTCAAAGTCTTAGTTTCAAAGGTCTTTAATTTTTCGACATCCTAGTTTTAGAGGTCTTCAAGTTTTTGAGGTCTTATTTTTCAAGGTGTGAGGTCTTTAAGGTCTTAAGTCCAACTTTTTGAGACACCCTTTTGAATTTATGTGATTTTTCAATATATGGATCTTGCCAACATACAGCTAACATTAAGGCCCTTAATGCATGTCAATGGGTATGATTTTACAAAATAAATTTTTAAGTATGATATAATTTTGTTTGAACAACCCTAACAAGGTGGTCTACTTTTAATTAAACTCTAATTATCCTGCAAATGTCACTTCAAGATAATAAATTTCATGTGCAGATTGGACTTCATTATTTACTAATATAAATATCATTATTTTTTATTTGTTACAGGACTTGATAAACAATCCACATCCACATCCACCTCAACAACAGGGCTCTTTGACCAAACTGCCACTTTCTCCAAATTTTCTGACATTCCCCAAGACTTCCTGAAGTCTTTGCTCAGAAAAAAAGTTGCCACAATACGTTACCAGTTTTACCGCAAGATTTGTCAGAAACTGGATGTTTTGCAGAATATAAGTTGGAGCGATTATCGCCTGCTTGGGGAAAAAGTTGGTGTGGACAAAGATGCCATCTTTTGGCTAAAACAGAAGGGTAATCAAACAGAGGAAATCTTACAGCACTTTGACTCAAAGAGAGAAAACTGTGTGGAAAGATTTAAAACCATTCTTGAAGAAATGGGACGAGATGATGTTATTACAGTAATTGAGAACTGGATTCTGTTTGAGTGGCAAGAATATGTAAGGTCTCAGACCGTAAGGCCTCAGATGTATGTGTAACTTCTATTTGGCTCTCAAGAGTGATTTAGTAGAAATATAGATTTTTTCTTCAATGATTGCAAAAACATTTAAGAAACAAACTTTTTACCCATGGCTATTGAAATTTGAAAAAAGAGGTCTGGGATGCATTTGTAGTAAATCAAAATATTTTAGGAATGCTTAAACCTTTTTTATCAATTATAGTAGAGATCAGGGCACACCACCCAATTGAAAAAACACAAAACAATGTTTTATCTGTGACTTAACAATCCATTTATCTTACATCTGATTGACTGTTTCTTCAGTAAAAATCCATTTCTAGAAACTCTTTTCATGAGTTAAGTCCCCATTGAGGACTCAGAATTTTTTTTGCATTTTTTGCAACTTTTAATCACAGATTGAAGCTCCTAGCAATAAATTGGAAACTGTGCATACATTTGTAAGTTTTGTGTTACTTGTGGCCTTATAGGTTTAGGTTTGTTGAAGCTACTGAAAAGTTTTGGGAATCATTTCCATAATTTGGTGATATATTGTATTCAGATTTCTGAGCAGCCATCATTTTTATCTTTTGATGTTTAACATAAACTGCTGGTCATTGGTATCAGTTGAATTTTGCTTTTGCCTCAAATTTTTTTTTACTTGTACAGGTCAACTAAAAATTGTAGGATGCAATAAAGGTGGCAAAGAGGTATTCTTAGCTTGCATGAAAACCTGCTTGATATGTTAATTTTTACAATCAGCCTTTTAAAACAGTGTGTTAGTTTAAAATTAATGTTACTTCTCAAATCACTATTGGAAAGTTTATTTGTTCTTCACTTTGTTTTTACTGAAAGGCCAAAGAATTTTTCTTTTTGCCATTACATCTCTACAAAAGGAGCAGTAAATTCTTGCAATTAACTGTATAGTTTTATGTAATATGAGATATTCTTCTCTTAATGCACAGATGTCTCACTTAACCCTTTAACTCCCATGAGTGACCAAGACATAATTTCTCCTTCAAATGTCTATACTGTATCAACCAGATAAGTGATGAGAATAAAGAAAAAGATCATTTGGGGATAATAAGTTGATCCAATACTAAATTCTCTGAACTTACATTATTAGAATTGTATGGTTGACAGTAAGGAGAATTACAAATTTGATCTGGGAGTTAAAGTGTTAGAGTGTGAGTGATTAATCAAAATTGGGTCAGCTTTTTTATTTGCACTTGTCATCAGAAAAGTGGTAAAATGATAAACTTTACGTAAATATTTAAAATTTCGAACTGTCCAAAGTTGCTAGGCTTTCCAAGAAATATAGTATTAAAACATATTGTATTTAAAATGAAGTGTGACTATTTGCAGGTAATAATTTTTTCTTATTTTTATTTAAGAAGCACTTTTTGACTAAACATTTTATGTAGTATGGATATTTAAGAGCTTTAACAATTTTAATTATTTTTGTAGCTAATATAACTTTACAAGGAAAATAACTTATTGAGAACAAAATGATGATGCCAGATAGAACAATTTTTGTTTTTTGTGACGCAGGTATACGTTTAAAAGAACCACCTTGGAGTTTTCATAGTCAGAAAGTGCAAGGAGATCTAGGATTGTGCGTGGCGTTTTCTTTCTGTCTCCATCTTTCAGACATCTTCCCATCAAATTAAGCAAGATTATTTTTTTAAAAAAAGATGTAATATCTGGCATCAGCTAAGTTATATCCCTTGTTTTTGCCAAGTAAATAATTTCATATGTTCAGATTCAAAATCTTTGAACATTATTTGTACCTATATTTTCTTATGAAATTGTTCAAAACATTTGCAATTCAAATTTATGGTGTAACTGTAACAGTAATTTGCGTGCAGCTCATTTTTACAGAAACTTATGATAAAGATTGTAGGAACCAGTCAAGTATTCAAAATGTATCCGGTTGGTCTCTTATGAATAAAAGTTAACGTCGAACCCTTTCTTTTGACAACTGACTCCCTCTAGTAACAACAAAGCTTACAACTTTGGTCATAAGGGTTTGAAATTTTTACCTTTGTGAATTGCATACCCCTTCACATTCCTACTGGGCTAAAGTCACAGTTGTTGTGCAAGAAATAGCGCCTCACTCCTTCTCCGAAGAGGGAAAGGATGATCAAAGACCAGACTAAGAAAAGGGCAGAAATCAATGTCGCGTCCTCATGAAAAGCGAAGTTTGCATTCTTAGCGATGTCCAATATAAAAAGTGTATGGGGTGGCTGAGATTTATTTTGAACTGAAATCGTATTTTTCTTTACCTATTTTCCAACCAGCAGATTTTCTAACAGAAGCCTACGATATGTGAAACGTGAACCCCACCCGCGACCAAAGATCCGTAGAGCCGTAGAGCCAAGTTGTAGACCCGCCGTATTTCCAAACGTGATTAGTTTCCCATCAACTTTATACCCGTACTTTGTTAACTTTTCAAGCTGAACACTTAACGATTACTTCCACTGCTAGTCTCTCATTTGGTACCAACTCGGGGGCCTTTGCCGTGTTAGTTACTCCCTTGCCGTATCCCTCGGCTCAGCATAATAAGCACACAACCGGTTCTCACAGCTTTTTTTTTTTTTTTAACTCGGGTGTCATTCGTAAACTATCTTTTTCGGAAAAATTATTTTAAAAGGTTCAGGGGAGCGTTGATAATTGCATCTTCTTAAAGTTTTCAACCAACATTTCTGTTTTACATTCCACACTTCTCAGGTCTTCCACCACGAACCCTTAAGATAAGATTGTGGCTCGGAGGTGAAATCATGTTTCGAGTGCGGACGAGTAATCCAAATCAAACGTTTGCAAACTAAACAGTGATGAGCTAACAAACTTAATGCACAGGGATCGGGAAGCTTTTGTCTTTTAGGTACAGTTTGAAGACTATCCTGTCACTCCTTTCGGTGTTTTTTTCCGAAAGAATCTCTACTTCCAAATAATTGTAGCTCGAATTTATCTTTGCATTTGTTTCTTCATTAATATACCGACTTCATGAATTTTCATTTTCATTGGCTTGTCTCCGCCTGTACAAATGACGGGGTAGTAAAAGATTCATAAGATTTGGTGGTAGTTCTCCAACGATCGTCAACTTAAAGCAAGAACAATTTTCCTGCGGTCAGTTTCGCAGCCTGTAAAGAAAGAAGAAAAATCGAGTTAAACAATACATTCTGTTCATAAAACTGACGACAACAAGCTTAACAAAGAGCGATCGATATTCACATCTGTTTTACAGGCTGAACGAGGGAATCTGATCAAATCACATTTTAGTCTGCAAGTCACATTCACTCGTCGATTAGCTCAGAGAACAATATATTTTGCCTGAGAGCCGAGGCAGGAATGGAACACTTTCTCGAAATACTTGGAAGACGTTACAAATACTCGATAGGACCTTTTCAGACCTAATCATTCTGATGATTATTTATGGGTTCGAAGAGTTTCTTAGAACCCAATTTCTCAGGTAAGTGGTCTTTTAAAATATTTTATTTTTCTTGGACAACAAATTTTCCCCAAATTACGTCGAATATTCTCATATTTGCGTGATTTTTCATGATCTTCATTTCCATTGAACAAAAGGAGTTAATTCTCAGCCAAATCCTAAAATCGTTAAGTTTTGTCCGTAAATAAGTAATCACTCATGAACAACTTTCCCGACAGAGTGAGTGGAAAGTAAATTTGCCCGGAAGAATGTAGCAAAAAGGTAAATCATCCGGAGAGAATATAGCAAAATGTTTAGCCACATCATTCATATTTTGAAATTATTTTCCCGTTTCTTATCGATAATCTTTAAACATAAAGGCATCCAGAATTGAATTTTACAGCTGGCCCTTGTCTCAATTAATTTACTTTATTCAGGAAAGGAAACAGGGGAAATTTTTCATTCTTTCTCTTTATATGGTAAATTGAGAGACCCACCCCATGCCCCTACTTGATAATGAACACGAGCTAAGCGAACGTCACACATGGGAAATTTAACAGTTCTTTTTTTTTTTTTTTTTTTTTTTTTTTTTGAAGAAGAAGAAGAAGAAGAAGTAGAAGAGGGGAGTTTAGTTTCTATTGAACTAAATGCTCACACAGCGGAATGTATGAATCCTTTATGTTCCACCACAGGCGGCCCAAGCTCACGTCTCGAGAAAAAGCCAACGATGAATTCATGAACGCGTTACGCGTTGTGTGACTCGGTGTTAAGTTACGGGAGGAACCGTTGAAATTTTGAACACGTTATAAGGAATAGTATGGGGAACGAAATATGGTCGATTTACAACGATAAATATTTCGAAATATGAATATTTTACACGTAAAATCAATAAAACTTACTCATGCCCTGTGTATCCGTCGTAGTTTCTGGCGATTTCTGCCGTTTTAAGCTTGCTTTACCATCACTGTTATCCATGTCAAAAGACGTTGGCTTTTTCTCGAGACGTGAGCTTGGGCCGCCTGTGGTTCCACTCGAGGCAGTAAGGGTCCTGCAAAAATTAAACATCTCGCTGAGCAGATGAAAAAGAAAATATGTTACCTTACAACATACATCTAACATTTTCCAGTAAGCATTCTGAAGCTCTACCTCTGAGTTACAGGAGACTGACTCATAACGGTTGAACTATTTCTTGAAGATGGTTAATGTGACTTACACCCAACACAATACAAGGATTTGAAAATCAACGGAGAGCCATCCTAGTATGGAAATTAAGTTTCCCCCAATTGCTCTCCCGTCATGTAACTCCCTTCTCCCCCTTTTACTAAATTTTTATAAAGATTTGCATGGCAAAGATCACTAAATCAAATCCCTCTCCTTTTAGTTTTGATAATTAAAGTACGAGGTGATATTTGTGAAGTAAGTGAAACAGCACACATGAAAAAACTTTTGGAGAGTTCCCAGGTTGAGAGTGAATTTTTCCTCTTTTTTTCATCCAGGCCAGAGCTTGTCTTTGACAAAAATGGGATAAGAGTTACTTGAGATCCTGCTGCAGATGAACATGATGTGATTGAATTTAAAGTAGACAGTGGAAAATACGGACAGATTGTGTTGATCATAAAGAACCTCAGTGAGGAGAACATCACCCTGAAGGCTATAACCTTACTGTGGAGTGTCAACTTTTTCGATTACAGGAAGTATCGATCAGGATGAGGACGAACTCTACCCAGGTAATTCTTGAATTCCTCTCTACAACCCTAATTGCCAACTTTCATCCAGCCGGTCTTCCTTAAAATTTTGGCCATTGATTTAAGGGAGATGAAATCATTGTAGAAAAGGAAGACATTTTTACAATGTTTACACGGTAAAAGGGCAAATCCGTTGTCTGTTGGATGAATGTGTGTATTTCTCATTATGATTGGCGAAGAATTTTCCAAAAATGCAATACACAGTACACCTTAGCTCTCTTAAGTACGTAGTCAAACTGAATTGCTGTTAAAAAAAAAAAAAAAAAAAAAGCCTTAAACACACCAATATCCGACACAGCCGGTCAAGGCCCACACACTTTCCATGCGATTTCAGAGTACAGTTAGATAAGAACTATTAACTTAATGCACTTCTTCTTGTTCTATTTCAGTTAGTTCTACCTGATTCCCGAACGCATACATACACACATACGCAGAACTGCATACGCCGGAACATGGCATTATCATGGTTAGATTCAGCTCATAGAAAACTGGTTTTGACTCAATCGAACGAGAGCAATCCGTGTAAACTTCTTTACGACTGAGCCCACAGTTCTGCGTAATGTTATGCATATCTCTACAGTGACGTGAGCAAATAAATTCATATTTTAGGTTGTCAGAAGAGGTTCAGGATTGGCTGCAAACGTCGCTGGGAGTTTGGATATTCGTATGTTCCTGGTGTGCTCACATTCCAAACGGAAGACGGGGGGGAGTTTCATAACCTGAGGTTTTTTTCCGTGCGCTCGTGAGTGACTTGTACCATGTATTGAAACCGACTTCAGAGTGTCGACCTCCCCAACGGGCACTAGAAATTCCCAGGGATGTTAAGAAATCTAGAGGGATACCCTTTCCACGGTATAGCATGGCATTCGTCACGATTCTCATTTTGTAATAATTGTCCTGTGTAATTGCTCTTTTCATTATTCGTCTGCATTGGTCCACGAAATACCCGAAGAAATGGAACTGAAATACTTTAATTCATCAATAAAGCTAGCATAAGCTTTTTCAATATATTTCAAAGTGTTTTATTCAAGATTTCCTCACTCTTGCTAGTGGGGTGTTTTTATTTTATTCCTTATAAAAATTACCTTCGAAACTATTCCGAGACTTTCACCGTTTCTGTTTGTTGTCATCAGATTACGTGAGTAACATGTACTCATAAAACCAAGGTATGAAGTCTAGCAACCTCCCCTTTCCAACGCTCAAAATTATACTTTTTTTCTCGGCTTTAAAATCAGGGAGATAACAAAGTAAATCAGTGGAAATAACACAGTGACTCACGTATTCAAAATAATTCAAATATTCAAAGTCACTGATTTTTTTATTTTGATTTTCCATGCCTGATTCACCCAAACCGCTACGATTCGTCTACGGTCGTAGACGAATTAACACACTGGAAGTCGAATCGTACGCTAACATACCGGAATTGGAGACAACAAGAAATCTGTTCTTATTTCCATTTTATTACCTCACCAGATCAAGTATTTGGGACTTCAAACTGCCTACCATGAGCACAGACCAACCCAGATGTTCTTGAGGAAAGTCATGGCTCTACCATATGTGCCCGCAGACGGCTCGTACAAGAGGCTGACCAGAACGCCACCCTACAAAACCTTATTGAATACGTGAGAAAGACATGGATAAACAGCAATCGATGGAATCCAACCTCTTAGTCGGTTTATCGAAGGTTGGTTCAATACCTAAGTCTATACTGCTTCTTACATACTTCGTATAGCATTGATATATGAGAAAATGGTAAAATTAAACATCATTTCATATACTTATAAAATTTT